CTGTAAAACACTCAAATCCCTCTTCAACAACAATTTTAAGAGACCTTTAGGCATATAGTGTTTTAACCTTGTTTACTACGAGGATTCTGTTTTGTAAAATTGTTTGAACAGACTATACAAATAGATCGTGCATTGAACATTATATAACAAATGGCTAAACAGCAAATAACCTCGTCAGACAATCTTCAACAAGTAATATAGTTTGAAACTTGCTACATAGGTTTCGGTGGGTTTTATAACTCCTCTATTGCCAGGCTAACAAAAGAATCCTCTTCATGAGGTTATGTCAGAAACTTGGTGAATGCCACACACAACACAAAAACAAGTCTACTTCAAGTGTGCCCGTGGCAAAGTACACGCGTGTAATTTATAGGCCTTTCTTTAATCGTTGTGTAACATGTGTTCAACTTATTTTTACGGTACCTCAAGAAGTGGATCCTTTTGTTAGCCTGAAAAAAACTGCCGAAACATGTGTAGCAAGTTTCAAACGATACTATTTGTTACACTTATGTATACTACATTTGATTATTACGCGCACGACAAATATATTGGATATTGTCAGTTACATTGGATATATAACGGTCTACAGGATCCAAGATGAACTATCGTGCACATAATTATAGTAGGTACTTGATTTTAAAGGTTCGTCTACTCTTTTCTCTTCGGTGCGTTAACAATCTAACTATTAAAGGTATTTTATTTAATTTTAATTCATCACAGCGACCACGCAAATATTGTACTGTATACTAAGTCCTGTATTTTTAGGATGGCACAGTTGGTGGCAATAGGATCGTAATTGGAATAACGAAATACGTTAAATCATTTTAAACTATGCGAATAATGAAATTGTTAGTTTAGACTCGATAGACTCGGAAAAAAGTAACTTTTATCCTGGTGATGTTATGTGATAAAAGAAAAAAAGAACAATTGCCATTCAAGAATAATATTTGAATATTGGAACAGTAGGATCCGATCAGTAATTAAAGCCTTGTTTGCACACCGAGTTTGCCGGTTGGGAAACTTCCTTGTGGTTCTGCAAAAAACCTTCTCTGGTGAACGCGTACGACAAAGACAGAGAAGGTAGGTCATGGCAACATTGTAACTGGAGACAATTATCACTTTACTTTACCACTGGAGTACTGGAGCATTGGAGAATGGACTCCAATCTTCATTGATGGTCATGGAGGTTTAGCGTGTTGCCAACTCCAACTGTTTCAGCAGTTGCATAAAACGTGATAAAACGCATTTATCTTTGACAGTGACATGTCAACATAGCTGAAAAATTATAAAATATTAAGTTAATGTATCTTAAATTAACATGAGCTGTAGCAAAGGACGATTTTTGTATATTATGTAAAATGTTTTGAATTTGGGTCAAGTTAGGTTTCATTACATGGTTCATAGAGAATTTGATTCAGTAATCGTTATTCAAATGTTTCCAGTAAACGTGAGGATACATCGAAAGGTTTTTGAAGACGTGTTTTAGCAAATTTCCCATTTAGGAAATAAATTGTTACCGTAGGTCTCATTGTAAGAACTAGACCAGGGACCGATTTCATACAAATCTATTAACATTTTACTGAAAACACACCAATACATTCCCTGTAGCATCAAACCTGATTACTAATTAATCTTAATTTTATTTCAACAGAGAATAAATCTGACATTTTAAATGATATATTTTTGTAAAAATATAATCAGACAAATGGAAATTCGCATAGTCTGCAGGATTGCTGTGGCGGGGTATTTTTTTATTATGTATTATTCGTACAAAGATTTGACTGCCACGTACAAAGCTTAGGAAACATTAACACTTTTTATTGTGTGAAGGAGACTAAATAAATTGGCATACTCTTTTAATTGACATGTCATATTTTCAATCAAGATGGTGTTTAAACATAACATAATCAATAAATAAAATACAAAACTATTACATTATTTGGAGATGTTATGAATGGATAAGATTTTAATTTAAAACGTAGAAGTGACTTTTCTCGAATATCATTAGTAATTAAGGAAAACTATTAGGAATATATTTTGGGTTGCATACGAACCATGTTATAACACCACCAACAACTGGTAGGGAAATACCAACATGAAATCTTGTTCTTAATGTTATTAATTGTGTTGCAATTAGCTTCGATCACAAAGCTTGCCGAAGAATATTCCTCGATGACATGTGTTGATGTACTTTGTGTTACTTGGTGTGTTCTTCAACACAAGTAACCTAATACAATACACGAAACCAACAAGTGAAGTGAGTTACACAACACACAACACAACAACACAAGTGAGTTAGTGTGTTGTATCCAAGTACACTAAACACTCACACTTTTATCTTACCCTCTAACACTAATCCATCACCCCCATCCCTTCAAGAGAAAGTAGGGTCTAGTAAACATGTTTGTAAGTCATGTTTTGATAGTTTTATTTGGTAGCTTCTAGTACAGAGAGTTCCAGACCATTACAGTTTCCAGCAGGATTATGTCACCTATAAATACTATGGTGCCAACGTACGACCTTGGGGGTACCTTCTCTATATTTGGCGACTCCTCTGTAATGTTTGTTATTGTTTCGTTGCCTTCGGTCACTCTGGGCATGACTGACCTACTACCCCCTCCAAGTGGTTTTCAAGGGCGTTAAGTGGAAGATTCCCTCCCCGTGACTTAGAAGTGTTATCTTTCGCGGAAAACCCGCGTTGCCGCACCTATATAACCCGCGGAGCGTCAGCGCCGACTCAGTGATAAGTGTGAGGCTATACGACGCGAATCGGATACTAGCAGTGAGGGACTAGGCATGAAAGACAGTGAGTGTTTGATTATTGATTAGTTTAATTAAATATTTTAAAGTGACAAATTAAGTGAATGTTTAATATTGGCTTGAAATAACTCCCTCGGATGCAATATGTATCATAAATTATTAGGATTATTTTAAAATATTTCTTATATTGCCTTTCGTTGAGATCCATATTATTTTATACGAAGAATTTCGATGACATGTTCTTACGAATATTAACTATTGTATTCTATTAGATGAAATTAATACGAGTGTTGTATTCGTGTCGTTTGGTGATTGGTTTTATATATTTTAAACCAACGACAAATGTATTGTATGTTTAATAATACGTGCGTCACTTTCAAATGCAAAATATAATAGAAAATGTTAGGATCATTGGGAAATATTTTAAAAATGCCTTTCGTTGTTACTTTACACGAAAAATTTTGTCGGAGTTGTTGTAATAAACGTAATTTGGTAATTAAATTACAATAAATAAGGTAACAGTTTTAATTGCAGCCTTTTAATACAAGTTTCCTGTATGAACTGGTTGCCCAAGCACATTGTTTAGCCAAAACTTTTTTGATTAATTTTACTAAAATTATAGAAAAACATACAAAACTATAATTTTAGTAAACATATTTTTTAACTAAAGATTTTTAAATTAGAAGAATAATGAGGTTAGACATTTGTTTGATCTTATAGTACTTTAGGATGTTCATGTACATGCAAAAATAATTTAAATTGAATAAAGTATGATGTATAAAAAAAGTATATACGCCTTAAGGTCAAATTGTACGTATATATAATTTAGTTGAATTTTTGAAAGCAATGCCAACTGTCTTAATTTTTTTTAAATTAGTGCTTCAATTTGGATGAAAATGGCTTGCCTCGTTTAGTGTTTTTTACATACTGTACCTACAAGTTATTATGATATAGATGTTATAACCTAGTTTCTTACATTTAGAACTAATGTACATTTAAATTTAAACTGCAAGTTTAACGAACGCGTGAACAATTCATTATCAATGTTCTATACAGGGTGTCCCGGAACTCTCTACCAATATTTTAGGGCACTGTTCCTAAGTAAGCTACAAAAATATTATGAATTGGAAAAATTTTCATAATCCTTTTGTCGCTTTTCCTAGTTGTTTTAAATGTTTGTGCAAAGTTTCAATTTCGTATCTTTAACTGCTATTTAGAAAAAAATAAGTAGAAAAAACAAAATAGCGGCTGTGTGAGTAACTAAGGACTTCCGGACAATTTAAATATGATATTTAGGTTTGTTTCTTACTCAGGAACAATGCCCTAAAATATTGGTAGACAGTTCCTGTACACTCTGTATAACAAATGTTTACATATCTCACAACTAATCTATTCGTAATGTTGAATTACAGTATGTGTATTTTATATCGTGCATTTAAAAAAATTATAGTAAAAAATGACACTTTTTTTGGTACCTTCACTATGAGAATGTAAATCGGTCTGTTCAACGGTATGGTATATTAAGGGTGAACAAATTTAAAATGAAACAGAATTAAGTAATCAAACACTGAATAATACTTTTGGTTATTTTTCTTTTCGTCAATCAGAAATTACCTTATTACCTCCTCCTTGGCTTGATACCAGCATAAGCTGGTTAGGCTGCGTCAATATTTACAATTATAAAATAAAAACTAATATAAATGGCTACGTCCCTATGATATAAAACTGAATAATGTGTAAACTTAATGGTAAAGCTTGCTAAAGAAGACCCTTTGATGACTTGTTTTGATATAACTAATTTTTACTAAACTTCCCTACAAGGAATTACCTTTATCTTCATGGTAAGGTAGGTCCTGTACATTTACCCCACTTTACATAGCTTACTCTAAGGCTGTGCGAGCCCAACACATGAATTTTATAAATAAAGCAGCTAAAAACTCACGATTTACTTTACTCATTACTTCATTTACTTCATTGATCATTTACTTTCTACTTCATTTCTTGGTTTTAGTTTTATTCAATCTTAACGATATCTTTCGAGCCCTAGCTGATAAAAAATGTGGAATTACTAACATTGAATCATCCATTTTATGTTACTCTTGGATAACAATTGAATCAAATTACCCTGGATTTGTACTGCTAAAATAATTATACCACATTCCCGAATGTATAAGTATTAACCAAGGATGTACGTTATGTGCAAAAATCCCATAAAATTGATTCAATACATTTGATTTCAGATCTTATAATGACAACGGATACTTTGGCGTCGCCGGGGACGGAGGCTCTAGATGCCCAAGGCACGGAGCTGGCGGAGGAGACGCCGATCCAGAAGTTCTACCGGGATTCTGTGGTCCTGATCACGGGAGGAACCGGGTTCATGGGGAAGGTTCTGATGGAGAAACTACTCAGGAGTTGCCCCGGAGTCAGTCAGATTCTGCTGATCGTGCGACCCAAGAAGGGCAAAGGTGTTCATCAACGAGTCGACGAAATCTTTGACGATCCTGTGAGTGACTTTTGTGACAACCTGAACATCCATGCACGATATTCCAAGATATAGATCTATGTGATATATATCTATGTGATATATATATATGTGTGTGTCCGTGAACGCGATAACTTTAGTAATTTTTGTCCGATTTTGATGAAATTTGGTTTAAAGGTGTAAGGTGGGATGAACTTGAACAAGTTCGCGAACCAGCATGGTCGGACCATGGGGGGTTTTATGGGGTTTTCTCATTTTTGAACTTCAAAACCTAAATTTCCCAATTTAACTCTTTTAAAGAGCTTAAAAAATAGTTTAGTATATCAAAGTGTTTTTGAACGGTTATTCATAACGGAGAAAATAAAAAAAAATTAAAGTTTAAATTTCCATGTTATTCTTATAGAGAATATTGTAAAATGTTGTAGTTTGCTTGTTTATGGATATATTTATAACTTGTCAAATTTATTTATTTTATACTAAACTATTAATATTTAATTTTATTAGTTTCCTTATAGCAGCAAACCTAGGTACTCGGTAAACCAACCGTCGGTTATTTAATTTAGATTAAATTGAAAATCAATTCAGACAAGTGGAAATTCTTTTAGTCGGCAGGTTCGCTGCAGTGGGGGTATTTTTTTCCACGTATGTTGTTTTTTGGCTCCTATTTAACCCCCACGGAGAATACATAAGTTGATGTGGGTTTATTTTTACGGAATTATATTCATAACAATTTTGTAAAGATCTTTCTTTCATTATAGGGTTTTAACATCAATCAGAAAATTTGTTGGATCATTGTAGCAGCAAACTCAATTTATTCATACTAGATTATATTATACAAAGAAATTTAGAATGAAAACTTGCTAAAGAAAATAGTAATTCATTTAGGCTGCAGGGTGTTTATGTATTTTGTATAGTAAGGATCGGCCATTTGATCAAGTATTTAAAGTTGGAGTGTTAGAATGCAGAAACTTATTCTTTAGCCTGCATTCTTGTAAACCGTTAAGCCCTATAAAGTACTGAGTTTTTTTAATACCTTATTGCCCTTTTGGTCTTTTAACCTAGAAAAGCCTATTAAAATTACCACTAAGTCTATTTTAAATTCATTCGTTTATATGGCTTTTTCAATTTTAGCGATGCACCTACATTCACTAGACGTTAGGTTATATTACGCATATTGCTGAAAATAATCATTAATGGTAACAACATTTTTTTTTAATAAGTCTACTACCACTTTCTACCTAATAATTTTACTTCTGTAATCTCAATACCGTTTGAATATTCCAATTATACCAACCAAGTGATATTTATTAGAAAAGAGTTGGTGTCATTATATGGTATAAATAAAATTTGTCTTCCAATTATTAAATGTGAATTGAGAATATAATAGCACAATTAAATGCTATAAACCATTCGCAAACGACGCCTCATCCTTCAAAATTTACTGGTACTGAGGTTATTGCATTTTCAGCTATTTCATAAAACTCACGGCTATTAATTTTTCAGTTAGTACAATATAGCATACTTAGAATTTTAACCGATATCAATCAACACTCGACACTATATATTATACGTATAGAGACATAATTAAATTGATTTATAATTCATTGAATGTAACAAAGAGTACCTAACACGACGCACATATGTTACATGCAATAGAGTAAATCCTCACCAAACTAAGAATAAATTGATTTTATTTTATTTATTCATATTTTTTAGTCCACCTAAAGATTTTTCCAGTGTAATTTCAAAAGCGACATTTTAAGGTCAAAAACCTCTGAGCTTGTGACTCATTATATATTGATCATCGTACATATATATTTTAATTAGTAGAATCCAAGGTTATACAAGTTAGCCATTTTATTTTTTATCTGCCCAATACTATATTCACAACACTACAGGGTCATTTAAAATGATAAATGTATATTTACCTCTTAATTCAACCTCCATTATTAAAACTTTTAAATTGTAGTATAATTTATTTCACCGTTATGTAGACAGAATGTCTAAAATAATTAATTTAGGAAGTAAATATTGCGTCATTGACACGGACAGTTCGGCCTTTAGTTGGCATTGGTTAATTCATCACCATTCATCAGCACATGCCATGCGCTTTGCTATGTGCAGTGCGCTAGCTGGACTTATGCGTTGGCGCTGTATTAACTTGGCATGTCAACTTTCATTACCTATTTCGACACTCATGAGCTTGCCAAACATTACTCTTTGCCACGTGAGGCAATTACCAAAATGAAAAATCTTGGTAATAACTTTCGCAGGCAAGTTTCACTCAGATTAATAGTACCTATTTGGAAGTTTCGTAACTAAGAGACTTTGTCTCTCAGAAATCTCTCAGAAATAACTATTTCTCAATTTAATTTATATGGCTTTAGTTTCCCTAGTTTCCAAACAAGTGAAATACTATTAAATATGACCAACTTTTATTATTACACACATTTAAATATACTATTCATTATTTATAAAATAATTATATATATTTTACTTATCTAAATACAATATATATAGTAAAATACAATGCACAGTATTGACAGTATATCCCTTACGTGGATATTTTAAATGGAATTTTAAAATTATCAATTGGTAGGAATTAATGTTCGTTTAACCAAACTCGTATTGTATGATGAGGAGAAAAGGAGATCTAAAAATATATCTGAGTAAGCAAAATTCCAAAATTTTGGTTTTAATTATACCTACACATGTTAATATTATACAGTAAGCATACCCATTTTGAAAATTCGTTTACTTATACCTTCATGTAAGTGTAAATTTCTCATCGGTATTTTACAAACAATTGTATTGTAAAATGGTAATATCAAATACATATTTCTTAAAGAATTTAGCTATCTCAAAGATATTTGTGCAGGCCCAGATGTGTAATAGCTACATTTGATTTGAAAATAAAACAGAATGGAATACCACAAGACCATTAGGATCAACAAATAGAGTTTGTGTAAATATGACGACCTTTACAGTATAGTTATTCACTGTTATGGTTAGGCTATTTAATATAGTTTATTCAACAAACTTGTATACCTAATTACAAGATATTTGTAATTACAAATAACATAGTATAAGATATTAGTTGTTAGTACAACTAGGACAAACATATAAGGTAGATAATTTGATTTTTTTCATCAACTCTGGACAATTGAAGTGTACTAAATACCTTGCAGCAAACCTGTATACTAAGCGAATTTCCATTTTGCCTGGTTGGATTATCACTGCTATATTTCCTTAAATTTATTTGATATATTCCCTGTTTAAGTAACATTAAGTTAAACAAGTAAGTACGTTTGCTTCTACAGGGAATATAATGAAGTGTGTATTATTGGAATGTTAATAGCTTAGTATTAAATAAATAAACTTCCTAAAATCTATCAAAATATATCCATAAAGAATCCAACTACAAGAGCTTATTCGTTTCCAATGGAAATTTAAAATTTACAGTTTTTTTCAGTTTTCCCCATAACTATTAGACGTACATCGGGGCATCAACATATTTAATTATTCGTTTTAAGCTATAGAAAATGGTTAGAAATAAATTGGGAAGTTGCATTTTTGGGGGTCAAGAATAGAACAAATAAACAACGCTCTTTATGTTTTTGGAGGTTCTCGAAGTCGTTAAAATAAACTCAGGATTAGGCATATGTACGAAATGTCATAAAAATTGGACAATATTGTAACCATTGTTACTCGAGTTGTCGTGCTCATGGACAACCCCCCCCCCCCAACACACACACACACACACACACATATAGGATCAGAATGTGGCATGCATTTGTTATGTATAACCTGCTATTGCTGGAGCCAAACCAATTATGCAAGTGATACAGTTCTGTAACCGACATTTGTTTACATCAGTAGTCAATGAAGTTCTTCGCATATAAACTGTTGATAAATTAGTCCGATGGTGAGTTACCACATAACTTAACCTTATGTGGTAATGCATCTATATAGTAACATGCTACAATTATAGTTACAACACACCAGTTACATAAATTAATGATAATGAATTAACAAAGAATGTGGTTAGTATTAGCATTGACTATACACAGGTGTATAGTAAATGGTATTAGTAACGAATATCTTACCTTAATACGTTCTAAATACAGTGTGTAAATTAAGTCTTGAAACAAATCTGTACTTTTTAAACCGAAATAGATGGAAATATTCTATTTGTGGCGTTGATTGTTCACAAAGGTCGCGTAATTTTTACATCAAAAATATTTTTTTTAATCTCCATAACAGGGTAGGGGGAGGGGATGATAATTTTTTAAATAACAACCCCTATTGAGTGACTCATTTTAAAGGGTTTGTCAAAAGAAATACATGACGAAACCCCGAGGTAGATATTTCATCCCTAGCTTAAATGGTGGGTATTCCAAAATTTGATTTATGTGAAAAAGCATCCATTTTGGAATGCCTGTCATTTTGGCTAGGGGTGAGATATTCACCTCGGGTTTGCGTCATTGTGTTTCTTTTGAGAAACCCTTCAAAATGAGGGGTCGCTATTTGAAAAAAATAAGTCACTTTTGGTGTAAAAAATGGCGGAACCTTTGTTAAAAATGAAATGAAATTAAAATCCTTCTTTATTGAGGCGAACTTAGGACCTCACGGTCCTTTCTTACAGTTAACCTCTAAAAAACTAACAATAATGATAAACATTAACAAAATAAAACAATAAAGATTGAAATAAACAAATAGGTGTAACAAAATTACATAAATGTATTTCCCTAACACACAATCACACACACATACACCCTCTGCTGCACCCAGGCCTAATGCAGGCCATCCCGCCACGCCACGGTCATCCGGTTAAGGTAAGAATCAATGCTACAAAAGAAAAAATATTTCTATCTATTTAGGTTTTAAAAATACATATTTGCTTCAAGACTTAATTTTCACACTGTATAACTGTTCAGTATTAATCAAGGTGTTCAGTATGATCAGATGTTCAGTATTAATTACTTGGCAATTAAGAGTAGGTTTGTGGTAAATGTACAGTCATTTCTACAGACATACCACGTAGGCGGGTGCATAATAAGTCGTGTTGTTATTCATTATACAACATTGAGGATACAGACTATGCCATTACAAGAATAAAACTCCTACACACACATGAACAATTTTGCGAAGCTTTATTTTTGTGAAAAAATAAAAAGGTGTTCGAATATTTGTTGTATGTTGAACAGAATTGTCTGTCTAATTTATTGTGACGCAAGTGTTTTGGAATGTTTTACGGAATGCAAACTTAGTATAAAAGATTTAAAGCTGTACATCTGTCTCTAAAACATAGTAACGACTGGTTAAATTATACTTAAGTTATAAAGTGGTGTCGTCAAGATGCAAAACTGCCAAAAACATCTTCAAATTGTTGATCAATGTAACAACTGTACACTTGTCAGATATATTGTACTTATGTCCCTTCTGGTTGGGAATTAAAGTGGTCTCGTGCTAAAATTAATTACTTAAGAAAAATAGTTTCAATCGTTAAGCACTAAATTATATATACTTTAATACTTTTCATACTCCGCAAAAAGGGCCAAAAATAAGTTTTCTAAGGTTTCTTAGGTGCGAATGCTATTTACCCCACCATGAAAAAACAATTAGTTATTTCATTATAAAAATATTCCGAGAACAAAGGATAACGTAATATTATTTACCAACCGTCAAGCCGTCGACCTTCTCCAAATGCACAGCTCGTACACAAAGCGCAGGGGCTAAAAAATGTAGTTTAATTTAACAAAGACGCTTTGATTGCCAAAAAGTCAGCTTCTATGACAAAAATATACACCAACAATATACAAAAATATGACATTTGTTCATAAAAAAAATATAATGTCACGATTTGGTCTTGAGGTTATGATCGCTAATCAACGATAAAATTAAAATGATGAGGTAATCATTAAACTGCGGTCAAAACACAGGGTGTTTCCAAATTGTCTGGACATATTTTGTGTCCAGTCTTAGCCCAAGAAACAAGTCCAAAAAATATATCCAGTCAATTTGGTAACACCCTGTATATAGAATATATTTATGTGTTGGGGCCAAGAAAAATTTAACTAAATAAATTATCAGGTGATTTACGCCCAAAAAAAAAAAAAAAAAAACAAACATATAGCACATAACTCAATAAACAGCTGATAAGTTGTGCATTACTATAGTATGGTAAAAAATATACAACCCCATCAGTTTTTAACCTTACATTACCATTCATGTTTCAATAATTGTTATGCCTTACCATCAATGATACGCTATTTGGATAGCCCGCTATGGCACCATCTTCCTCAAGACTTTCCGTTGTCTTACTGTAGGTGACTTACAGAACTCATCGCGACATCCCCCCCCACCTAATGACCAATTGTTAGTCTAAAAGAATTTCAAAAATAATTCTCAAAATTTAGAAAAAATCATAATTTAAGAACATAGTTGAAACTGTCGAAAGAGATTTTGGTAGAAACATGCAAGTGACGCAATCAACTTCTGCCCTCCGGACTCCTGAAGTCTTGGAATAGGAAAAGTGAATGACTGTTATTTTACCCACTGACTTTGTCTGTGTTGCAGCTCTTTTGCAAGATAGCCACGAAGGCTCGTCACAAGGTAGAGGCAGTCGAAGGAGACTGCTCATTGCCCGGATTGGGTCTATCAGACCAGGACCGATGTCTTCTGGTGTCCAAGGTGAGCATCGTCATCCACGCCGCCGCCACTGTGCGCTTTGACGAGCGTCTGTCCTTGGCCGTCGACATAAATGTCCGAGGCACCCAGGAAATGCTGGACCTCGCCAGGGAAATGTCCAACCTCAAAGTGAGTAGTTTTTTAATTATGACTTTTATTGACTTTTTTACATAAAACTAAAACGAAGGTTCCTCCACCCTGTTAGTGATCTGGTTTGCTGATACCTCGCAAATGTAACTCCCGTTGATGAAACCTCACTGTAAATAATGTTTGGAAAGTTTTGTCTAAATATTTTTGATCGAGAATTTTTCTAGTGCATATTAATTTTATGGTTTATTGGCAATCATCTAGCCAAGTATCTTATATACTAAAAAACTTTTGTAAAACTTATGACAGCTAGTCTCACCATACTACTGGACCGAATACACGTGGTTGGTACCAAATGAAAGATATTTTCCTTTAGAGGTGCAGAATCCCTTTATAAATTAAAATAGGCTAAAAAGAAGCACAACAAATGAATTTAAAATAAAAAATAACATGGGCCTAATGGGTTGACATGTAACAAAATAACAACAAAATGTAAACAGAAAATCAAACAAATGGAAGAAATTCGAACCACATGTTTTATTTACAGCGTGGGGTAAAAATAGAGAAGTTTGCACCATACATACTTTTGGTCGAGTTTTCGACCACGGGGCGAGCTCTCGTAATTAAGTATAATTTTATGAAGAGTGTGAAATACAGGGTCAGATTGTTTCACTCCAAATTATGATTCTAGAACTATCATTTATGGGCTTACTGAGGAAATATCTATTATAATTGGTGAAAACCAAGGTTTTTCACACCGTCTCGGGGTCTAAAATCTTATTCAGTTTTCATACTAAAACAATAAATATTTTTTAACGTCTCAGGTACTTTCTTACCCAAGGACGCAATCACGTTCCGGGATTCCCCGTCAATAATACTTTGTTTTTTACTAATCGTTATGGTAAACAATATAATCTTACCATTAATTGCAATACATTTTACTACTACCAGAAATTGTATTGTTATTGTGGTTTCCAGTACTTTTGTTTACTGTATTTTTGGTAAACAGGCATTTGTGCACGTCTCAACGGCGTTCGCCAACTGCCATCTTCGCGAGGTCGATGAGAAGTTCTACGCACCTCCGACGCCCTCTGAAGACCTTTGTCAAGTCACACGCTGCATCAAGCCCGACCTACTGGACAAGATTACGCCACAGTAAGTCAACAGATCAATGTAATAACTAAATAAAGCCAGCTAATAGGTTCACCTCTGATATGATTTGAAAATGCTAAATGTCAGGAAAAGATTATTTGAAACATTGTACGAGCCATATTCGATCCAACCGCAACCAAAACGAACCATTGAGTAGTACACGTGGACTACCGACATTGTACATTATTATAAGCTCGTAATACTGCAAGTAGTAGGCTAAGTAGACTACTCATCCTTCTGTAATATCTGAAGTCTGTTTTTATTTGCGTTTCCTGTTCGGATAGTTGTGTGTGCTGCTGTTGACACAATAATTCTCTCATATTTTAGGCTAAACTGCACAGTGTGCACTTTACTTTTTGATAATGGTAACTTTTTTTCGTAATCGTGACAGGTCTACAGTTTGGTAACATAGGAAATGAATGCTATATCAAAACAGTGTCTAAATATACCGGAAAGCAACATATTCTTTAAAATTGTTTTAGTTGATTCAAAAGAAAAATATAAGGGAGTATGTTTAGTAAATTTCACTACGATTTTCTAGGTATAAATTATTTTGATTCCAAATATTTTTTATCGAAATTTAAAACGGCACAAACATTCTAGTATTCGAGCTCGTGGGGAGGTCAATGCTCTCGGTCACGTGTTCAAACCAATCACTATGTACTCTATACTAACCCCCCAGTTCAAGGGTATGTCACTTATTACGAGGAAAGGTCGTTGTGGTGAATGTGGGCAAATAAGTAAATAATGAGTACGGTAACCGCGGAGAAGGAAAATCGGCAGAGCTTCCTCCGCGGGACCAGACTTGTAATTTGAATTGCAATAAGGAAATATGTACCACAATTGTTAGTGGGTTGGGTAGGTTGGGTAGCACGTGCTATTCTCTACGTTAGAGCATGTGACGCTCATTGATCCCGTAAAACGCTACAGATTTGTAAAATTACCTATCATATTTCTAGCTTGATTGAGCTTCGTTACTGATGAAGTTGATATGAATTAGACAAAACAAAATTTTCCTTTTTTTATTTTTGATGTGCTATTTCATCAGATACTTTGTTTTAATCATTGTTATGAGTCGGAAAGTTGAGACCCTTAAAACTTATTTATTCGGTTTATAAAAAATGCCAATTTTCATGTTTGAAAACACTGTTTATATATATCAACTATTTAGGTGTGTCTAGCCTAAAGAATATACGCCAGAGTGGGTTCCCTCAAGCAGGTCAAGTAGTATATTGTAGTAATACTAACCCAATTGTTGAAAAATATAACAACACCTTAAAATATTAAATAGTTTAAGTACATAAAATGTGAAACTATAGGTCATTCAAGGGGGAGATCGGTTCTACTACCGATCAAAATACTGTACTCCTATATTTTGGAGTAAGTTCAATATCACCATACTGAAAACAGTGGTTATTCAATCGATAATCAAGTTTGTAAATCACCGTTTCATATCCACAGGTTTGATTCAAACAATAATTATACTGAACAAATGTTTTCATAAAACATAGAGTTCAAATTTAATAAAACTCTATCGTATTTAAAACGATAAGTAAACAGCTTGGGAAAATACGAAGTAAATAATAGAAAGTGAAGTGCAAACATAATGATGGCAGGTTTCTATCTTAAGCAAACAATGAATAACAACATGACCAATTATTAACTGGATCATTGTGAGAAGAGAAAGTGTAATGATAACTTCAAGGACTGAGAGTATAAACAAGATGAATTGAGAAAATAACCAGTAAATCAATCAGACTTGTAAACACTAGTTCTGCTGACTGGAAACGGAACGCAGAACCTTCTGCTAACCGAACATCGTGCTTTTTATACTCATTGATTGTCCTTCAGCTTCAACCGAGGAAGTTCTGGGAACGACCGAATCTTAGGTTTTACGATGACTAAATTCTAATTTATAGTCTCATTTTGAGACCGAAGTATTTTGATTTGTTTGCTAGAATTGGTATTTTAGCCTTTACGTGATTTTGATTCCGCATTGTAGGTAGTAATAGGTTATTTGTTTAAGCTAATCAAAGATTTTACACCCTATATAAAGTGATCCCACAATTTTTCTGGACAATAAAATGAATATAAAAATATTATTAAAATTATCTTGGATTCCACCCTGAGTATTTAATTGGTATTGGCATAACTATCAACTATGACTCTGGCACATCCGGGAGCTTATGAGTTTTTAATTAATGAGATGACAGCCTCATTACTGACTCAGACAGTCAGGACCATCGGACCGATCAGGGATAGCTGAGCTGCTGGACCCAGTTGCGAAACATCAAAACGCTTATGGTTTTCTCGGGATCAAACTGGTTTACTCGTTTATTCTTTTAACACAATTATTCTATTTTCCAACAGAAATTGTAGACAAATATTAGTCTCTTTGCCAACAGGCATTTTAATGTTGGGGGATATTTATTTGCTCCCTGCCACCCTAAAGCTATATAATTGATTACTGTATACTGAAGTAGACATCCTATATATAAGGCTGTCACAATCTTTTTGATTATAACTTAACATAGATGTGTGAGCATGAGCTGGTGTCCAAGATTCTATTTTCTACCTTATTTTTTGTTGCCACCGTAGTTGATGGGTCATAGCAGTTGCTATGGATCATAAAGTCATTCCATCAGTTTGAAGTGGTAAAAAAGCTCGTGTATTCGACATAAATTGGTAATTTGCATCATCACAATCCGTCGATGGCTCACGTCAACTCAGACGATTTCGATAAAAAGCAACTGGAGACAACTTTAACATGGGGATGAAATGTTTAGTTTTACCAATTGTCAAAGGTTATCATGTATGTGGGTTGTGTGGAAAAAACTAAAAAAATGCTCACTCCAAACCACTGTTACACACACCGTATATAATTGCCTACCCCAGGTTACCCAAGTTATTTACAGAATTGGTCACACTCGGTGGGCCTACTTAGCACTCATGGCCCGTGGGCTCTCAGTGAACATGACCCAAATAACTGCTTCATCTAAGGTCAAACCGCGACCTTCGATTGTTTGAAGAAACACCCTCCAGACTACAATTAGTCCGATTATATTTTTAAGCTCAGCAGGAGTAAATTCGATCCCAGAACAATCGGGTAAAATGTGAATGTTGACACTACTTACGACTAAACAAATTTACAAATTTGTTATTTAAAAGTAAATTTAAGCGGTGGAATAACCCTTGTGATGGCTTAAATTCTGCTAATAAATGAAACGTATCTAGCATATAATATAGAAACTTTAGCATGGATAAATTTTCTAAGTGTTTAACTGAATAAACAGAAATGTGTGTTAAAGTAGTTATTCTTCCAGAAAATGCGTTTCTAACCCATTCTTGATACGAATTGGAAACAAGTTTGAATCCTTTATGGACAGATAAAATCCGTTAATTGTGTAGTTCATAGTCCGACGGCGTAAATCCCGAAACAGTATTCTTGCAAGTAATGACGATTAAGAGTCTTTATCCATATTGGTGTAGCCATATTGGATTTTAGTCCCGTAAGAGCAATGTTAGCTATGTAACCGAATTTCAAAAAAAAACCTGTAGTGATAAAGTAATGATTGAGGCGTTAAAATTAAGGTTTAGTGGTCCTCTAGGGGTGCGGATTTTACTTTTGTCATTTTTCCTCCACTTAATAAGTTAATTAATGATCATGAATTAAGCCTTTAATTAAAATTAAAATTTATTAATGAAAGAGAAAAACAAATATATGAAATACCATTACCTCATTCCCTACCACTCTATGTTATAAACCGAATTATACATTTTCAAAACTATATCTTTATAAAAACACCGGCATGCTGCTTCAAATGATGGTATGTTCTGTCAAATTTAACATTGCTCTTATGGGACTAATATTCAATATGACTACCACTGATGAAGACTCTTAAGAACACAGACTAAAAAATAAAACTCATTCTTAAAATGTGAAATAAATTACAGTCACTCATTCATTGGTCGGGAATATGGAGATCTAATTATCTTTGGAGACCGGGTCGAGTGATGTTGACGGGATTTGTTTGATGCTGGCAGGAGTTTCAAAGTTTGGCCGATACTAACAGAACTATCAACTATAGAGACATCATACTGTAGTTGATCTAAAATACAACCCCATCGACACCACCTAGATGCGAGATAGCTCTTATTTCTTTAGCACGTTTGGCCAAATGAATAATTCACTTTTACTAATAGTACATGAAGTCTTAACATAGTAAGATACGACATCAACTTAAAACATTAAAATGAAACTCAATTTTCAAAATTTATTTTTTAACTTACTACTGTATTACCAGTTCAGCAAATTATTAAGTTTCCAATCCTTGCATAGGTTATCAAAATTAGTAATAAAAGTCGAGTAAACATACAGCATATGTGTGATCTGATAGACTTCTTTGATAGTACTTTGTTGTGCCGAATCCGAAAAAGAGAGTTATAGTAAAATATAGTACATAGACTCTAAGTAATGATTATAATGCCATTTATATTTTATAAGTTATAAGTAGACAAAATTATAAGTTAATACAACTTCCAATTGTCTCCTGATATAAAAACGTTCACGAATGTTGTAGGCTGACAGGCTTTAACTAGTGGTACTTTGTGGTGATACAGTAATTCATTTCCTCCTTGCCATGCTCTTTCACGTTTCAGTTTTTTGGTCGTCCAATTTGTCGTTAGAAGTGTTAAGCAAACAATAAGATTCCTTGGAAACGATATAATACGAGTTCAAATCCACGCGTGGTTTCAGAGGAAGAAAAATAACAGATTCACTACGCCACTGACTTGTTCACTTGATTGAGAAGAGTTTTCCCACAAAGGTTTTCTTTAAGACGAAAACGATATTTTCTTAAATGGATTCTTTGGAATTTTTTTGAGGTGATCGGACCCAGTATTTTGACAGTGGAGGTAAACACCGACACAACTTACTACTGACCATATACTGTAACAGCAACCATCAGCTGACTGAAACCGACCCTTAACACTAACGACGTTTCCTGTAGTCAACCATTAATTTTTAGATTAGGACAAGCCTTGTAATTAAACAGATGGCCAGATGGATATAATGGTGTTAACAATTTTACCTACGACCGTTTTTTAAAGTTGCCGTTTCAGTTCAGTTCTTAGAATTCAATTATAATTATGTGAAACTTATCAGAGTTTCACATAACAGCATAGTTTTACTCATAACAACACAGGTAACGGACAAATGAGGTTCAAGGATTGAGAGAGAAGAAGTGAAATTGCAATGATTTGAACTTCAACTAAATCAGCTGTTCAGGCCAATTTAATTGTTGAGTGGGGCAATTAGTGTTTGGTACAATGTTTCGTTGCATCACTGTCAGTGGCAATGAGAGGTTATAAACGAAAACATAACCTCTCTTAGAATTTATGAGTGGTGATTTTTAGTAATTAAAACACTGTTGTAGGTAAAGTAGTGTACGCAACTCGCGTAAATTGTGTTTACCTACGACCGTTTTTTAAAGTAGCCATTTCAATTCAGTTCTTAGAATTGAAAAGTTTCGCTTAAAAGCTGTTTACTTTCATAACAGCATGGTTTCATTTCATAACAGTATAGTTTTTCTCATAACAACACGGGTAACAGACCAATGAGGTTCAAGGATTGAGAGAAAAGAAGTAAAATTGTAATGTTTCGAACGTCAACTAATCAGCTAATCAGCTGATCAGTTGACAATTTTAATTGTTTATCCGACTTGTTCTGTTGATACTCGCGTATTCTTAACCTAAGTTGGTGGAAGTTAAAGGAAGGTAGATTAAACTGATTTAAAAATATCAGTTAGTAAAAGTGAAGTTGACGAGATGGAAATGAGAGCACAAACTGTTTGTGCTAATCTTTTGCCTCCAAAATCGAAACAAAGGTATGAAATTACATACAAGCAATTCATTAAATGTACAAAACAAAATAAGGTTAAATTAATAAATGAAAATGTGCTTCTGGTTTATTTTGAAAACCTCTTAACCACTTTAACTCGAATATATTCTCGGACCACATATTCGATGCTAAAATCTAACTGTAAATCAACTGTTCAACTGATATATTACTCAGTTGTCCAAAAAATATGAAATATTTCCCTAATTGTACCTGATATTTATGGTAAGAATGCTGCCTGCAGAACTTATTATTTAACGATGTTTTACAAACACGCAATTACATGAAATCAGCTGATTATACAATAAGTCGTTGCATAACTTTTAGTGGCAATGACAATAAACGAAAACATAACCTCTCTTAAGAAGTTATGAGTAGTGATTGTTAGTAATTAAAAACCAGACTTTTAGTAATTAAAAAACTGTCGTAGGTATAGTAGTGTACGCAACTCGCGTTAATAGTCTTTACGACACTCGTAGAAGTTTTTAAGGCACTCGCCAAGGCTTGTGCCTTAAATTTTCTACTCGTGTCGTAAAGACTAACTTAACGCAATCGTTGCGTAAACTACTATAACGACACTCGTAGAAGTTTTTAAGGCACTCGCCAATGCTCGTACCTTAGATTTTCTACTCGTGTCGTTAACACTATCTTTGTAAAATCGTTGCGTAAACTACTATTAACATTTTGAATGTATAGTTTGGGATTATAATAGTTATTATTCTAAGAGGAATTTAAAAAAAACATTCCTTTCCATTAACTAACTAGATCTGGGAATATAAACACATACCTTATAAAAATAGAGCTCATTAGCCAATCACTGCAATAGTATGTTTGTGGACGCATTGAGTGTGGTCAATTTGGTTTAAGGTAAAGTGTATATGATTATAATTTTTTCCCATACTTTGTCATGTATTCGCTACATTTATTCGTCAACTAAATTTGATATAGGCTTAAAATCCATAGTTATAGTTTAAGAAAAAAAGAGTAGTTTACGAAAATAAGCAACGAAAAGTAAAAGCTATGTTGTTAGTTCAGTGTTTCCGTTTAAAACAAGGGGAAAATAATGAACATGTAATGATTAAGATGTGTTGATTTTCAGAACAGATAGGAAGTAGCTTACACGGTAACATGCATTTTCATTGTGGACGATTTTCGTTTCGGAGCATTTCATCTGGTAGTAAAAAGTGCTTTTAGTAAAATTATTTAGTAAATTAAGCTTACAACTAGAAACGATATTTATAACATATTAAATGGGAAATCACATTTTTCTAAGTAGCCTAAGTTAACTAATTATTAGGACTTGAGTTGTTCAATTACTTATATATTCAAGTGCTTGGTAAATTAGGGTTATCACTAGCCACTATTTAACGTTGTAAATGAAATCCATACTGTATATGAACTCGGGAGATTCTGGTATTTGTGACCGACTGACTGAAACACTGTATCAGCTGTTTTACATGTGCATTCAATCATAATCATAGTTTATGTGATCATATTTATATTTAGAAATAAATAACGATGGTGTAATATCCATACGATGGAGTAAACACACAGTCTACATCATGTACCCACTGCTGTGTTAGGGAGAGTGAATGCAAGACAAGAAGGAAGCTGATCGTGCGTATCGAATGTCGCAACACTCGCGACCGTTGTGAGACGGATCTAGTAGTTAGGCGTTCCGCTATCCTGGAGTTGGAAACATTTCCAGGTTGCGGTACAAGCTATATAGGAGCTTGGGACAAGGCCGGGCACTTAAAGTTTAACGCCCCAACAAATAGGTCAAATGATTAACAACTGAAACAAAACTAATAGTAAACAATCGCATGACTTGATAACTAAAATACCCCCGCCGCAGCAAACCTGCAGACTAAGCGAATTTCAACTTGTCTGCTTAAATTTTTACTAAAATATTTCCAGAAGACATATTTATTCTAAATTTAAATAACATTAGATTTAACGAGTAGGTTTGCTGCTACGGGGAAGTAAAACGTGTTTTTTTTACGATACTTCAATAGTATTGGATGAAATAAATAAATTTGCCAAATTTTATCAACATATATCCATAAACAAGTAAACTACGACAGTTTTCATTTTCTCCATAAGAATAACATGGGAATTAAAAAATTACACTTTTTTTGAATTTTCTCCGCGACCGTTAGGCATACAACGGTGCTTCAATATACTAAATTATTTCTTTTTTTAAGCTCTACAAAATGGTTTAGGAAGAAATTGCAGAATTTTTTGTTTTTAGGGTCAAAAATGGTAAAAACCCATTTTTACCCCATAAAACCCCCCATAAACCCCCTTACCCATGGTCCGATTATGCTGGTTTGCGAACTCGTTCGAATAAACATAGGTTTACACGTTTGTACCAAATTTCATCAAAATCGGATAATTTTTGCTCGAGTTATCGCGCTAACGGACACATATATATATATATATATGAATTTGAACGGATGGTGTTTTTGACCTCTGGGGACCTCAAAACAAAAAAGTAAATCGGTCCCGGGTCCAGGTCTTACTATGAGACCTACGGTAATAGCTTATTCCCTATATGGGAAATTCGCTAAAACATTTTATTTTTATAACTATCACTAATCTATCATGCAAAAATAATAATGTTACGAAAACCTACATTTACGAACTCTTGCCCCGTGGGTGGGGTAAGAGTTCGCACGTTAATGGGGCAAAAGGACGCACATTGTTCAGAAAAGTACTTACAGACATACTGAAACTGAAACAGATTTTATTAGTACGCCCAGACCAGCGTGGTGCGGCGCAACAATGGGAACAAATGAAAACATCATAAAATTCATATACACGGTCCTACAAAATTTATACTATTTTAATTGCTTATGAATTGGGGTTTTATAATCCAAGTGCCGTGGACTGGTCATAGAATTTGCTAAAAACATATCGCCTTGGCCCTTGATACACGTAGTTTTCGTAGAATTAGGCCTACTCGTTTTTAAAGCTATTTGACATAGAAATTTAAATGACTGCCAATTGAAATTGATTCAAATTCTAAACTTGATACTTTGTGTTGTATTGCTCCTGTTTATAACTACTTATGTACAATTTTTTAAGTCAATCTCACTAGGGTTCAAAAGTTACATTTTCAAAAATCACATACGGACACACAGAAAACCTGGCAGTTTAGACACATGTTAATGTTTTTTGTTGTTGTTTTGACCTGAGAAAAAAATACACAAAATGTTCAGGGAGTTACACCCCATATATGAATTTGACGTAATCTGTTGGCCTCTGAGGACATCAAACAGAAAAAATCAGTTCCAGGTCCAAACAATGATACATTTGGTAATAGCTTAAAAAATACTAAATTTAACCAAGTTTAGTATAAATATTCTGTAAATTATGTATATTATTTGTCAATCATTGGAACTATGGCTTAATCAGGTTAGTAAAATGTTCGTTTAACTTATAATGCTTAAAAAATAAAATAAAACTAACTACTGAAGCTAAATAACACTTATTGACAAATTTTGTTTTATTAATATTATTATTTTTGCTTAATCAGGTTTGTATCAAATAAGCATAACACACTCCCATATGTTAAAACAAATACTGTGCAGATTATATTGTACAGTATAACAATGTTAATGTTTCAGGTTGCTACAAGAATGGCCCAACACATATGTATACACAAAGTCTGTAGCTGAAGACTTAGTTCTGAGGCACAGCAAGAATCTGCCAGTAGTTGTGTTCAGACCTGCCATAGGTGAGATTAAAACTTGACTCTTTGCTTAACTTAAACAATTTTGTATTGGGCTTAAGCTAAAATTTTTTGAGAGTGAAAATGTTTCGAATTATACTAAATAAAACATTGGTTATTGAGTAAAAATAAATATTCACAAATAAGTTTTATCTTCAAAAAGAATTTTCCAAAAAAATATTTGTTGTGTTTAAGTTGATGGTATCTACTGGTTTTTATTAATCAGTTACTGTGACAAGTCAATCTAATGTTATGGACGTGAAAGTTTGTTATCCAAATATTTGTTTACTCAAAAAGGCATTAAGTACTAACATCATCATGTTGTATCACATTGATCAAAATTCTGATTGCGGGTTCTTATAAAACAGCCATTTGGAATCGTTGACAAACATACAATATACTAAAATGTTGTATTATGATGATGCGTTACACACTGTACTACTCACACAATACCTAAGATGCATTTCATACAAAGCGGACTTAAGAAATGTGGGAAAAAAATCGCCACAAGTTCAAAAAAGTTCTGGCAGCCTAGTAAACCAGAATAAATTACAAACTAAATCGAGCTCATGTATAACGTTTTGAGATCCTTGGTTTTAATTGCAGTGGTGGCAACCAATAGTGAGCCGATTCCTGGATGGATCGACAACTTGTATGGTGCGACTGGTGTGGTGGTCGGATGTGGTACAGGAGTTCTGCGTACTCTGCAGTGTGACTCGGAAGTCTGCGCACACATTGTCCCTGTAGACATGACCTGCGCAGCTATCATCGCTACTGCCTGGAAGATTGCTAACAAGTAAACATTTGATATCTCTAAACTTGAGCTAAAACATTAGTAATATTGCTTTTTGTGTAATTGAAATGGTCAACATAAACGTATATCAATATCTTTTTTTATGTACAGACCACATGACTTACAATACAAACACCAGTTTTAACATAATCAAGAATGATGTATGTAGTCTCAAATGCTTATATAGTTTCTTTGATTGTGTATGTTCCACAGCACTTACATACATTTGCAAATAATTTATAGAGTCGTGTGAGAAGTGTTTGTTACAAGAAACTGTTTTACTCTCAAGCTTTTATATGTTTCAACAGAACAGATGAAGACACTAACCACAATGTGATCAAGAGTGAGGTGAAAGAGCCACCCGTATACAACTACGTGTCTTCGGTAGAGAAACCTATCACTTGGAGAGACTTCATGAGTCTCAGCTATCAACACGGACTTGAAGTGCCACCAAGCCAGACCATGTGGTACATCTGCCTTACACTCCACACAAGCTGGTTCATGCACAAACTGTTTGTGGTTCTCTTCCACTTCCTACCAGCCTTCATCATCGACCTCATAGCAATGTTGTTTGGGAAACGCACAAAGTGAGTACTTCTTTCTCTTAGAAGTAGTTTGAGAAAGTCAAAACTTGACCCATTTCCCCTTGATCATTACACTTTTGATAAATCATCCTGATCAAAGAAACAGCTGATCTTAGTCAGTTGGCAAACACTCATTCATCTCTGGCTTGACCCTTGGGGGTTGTAGTTATACAAATTGAGTATTGTTGTTAGGTTTTGTGTTCGAAACAATTAGCGAGGTCTAACAAGCCTATAATCAATCATGTGCGTGTAGGCCTAATTTATTGGCTTCTAAACTAACCAAATTTTATTCTTAAATAGATATGAAAGAAGTGTTATGGTAAATGTTAACAAACTTTTATGAAAATTTAGAATTAAATGAATTGTATACATGTGGATGTGGCTCTATGGTGTTGAATTAATTAAAGCACAAGCTATTATGGTTTTTTGTCTTTGAATTTTTAGGAGGTTAAACTAAAGGTTAAACCAATTCAAAGTTACACCGATTCCATAAGGTCTTACTACTTCCGTTAACATATGAAATTTCAGTATTTAAATTTCAGAAAATCTTTGTAAGTGACTCTTCAAGCACAATGTACAAGAACTAATGAAACAACTGTATATTTTTCCTGATCAAAATATTAAATTTTGTCTAGTTTGGTCAACATATACAAGAAGATAAACAAGTTCTCAGATGTGATCGCCTACTTTGGTACCCGAAGCTGGGACTTCAAGAACAAGAATGTTCAGGCTCTGTGGCGTAGCTTAGACCATCGGGACCAAGAACTATTCTTCTTCGACATGTCCCAGCTAGACTGGGATCAGTACTTCTACTCGTATACTCGAGGAGTTAGGAAGTACCTCCTTAAGGATGATCTCAGCACAGTTCCTCAGGCCAAAAGGAGGCTTAGAAGGTATGTCGATGTGATGTGTTTGGTTTGATACATATAAGAAATTTTAGATATTACCTCTTCTCAAAAACATTTAGCATTTAATGTATTTAGATACACTATCCTCTAAACATGCCTTATGTTTGAGCCTGGGTATTTACCCATATAGGACCCATATATCTATGATAGTTGGCAATAGACTATATAACCAAAGATTTTGAAATTTGTATAGTAATCATTGAGCCAGTGTTATTGATATTGATGGACACAAATCTGATTTTTAGTGTTCCACTATTTCAGGTTATTTGGGTTGCAAGACTGCTGTGACAGGCATAGTAGTAGACAAAACTTGGTAAAAAGTTGAAAAATATGACTGAGTTTTTAGAACACAAATGTCAAAGTAATTGGATTGCATAGTATAATTTAGGAAGTGTAAACTGAGGTTAAATGGTGTTAAGACTCTGACATGTAAGCACAGTACGAGCCTGATAATCATTTTCTCTCTGAGACATGATGTGTTAAATGGTATTTTTAACTATTTGGATTTATAATAACCCCGTTGTTTCTGTCACTAAAGTGATTTCATGTCAAGCTCATATAAAGTTCAGGGATGTGTCTATAATAAAATAATTTCATTATTAATTCTTGAACAATTCTGGTAAACCAGGTTCTACTGGGCCCACCAAGGACTCAAAACTATTTTCGCCTATGTGGGTATCAACTTGATCTGGAGCTTAACAAGTGCCCTGCTGACGTAAGACGACAAAGACATCGACATCGACGTCGTCAGTTCATCAGTTTGTCAGCTGTATGCCTTGCATCTTGCCAGCTCCAGTGACTGAAAGCAAAACGCTGAGTCACAACATTACATTAATTTGTAGATTATTATTTGTATATTTTATATTATTAAAGCTTTATTTGTTATTTTTCTTGTCAATCAGCGTGCATTATTTTTACCCATTCAATTCAAAAGTTGTGTTTACCCATTTCTACTTAACTTTTGATTTTGAATTCATGAACACTATTAATACCACAGCAAACCTGCAGACCAAGCGAATATCCATTGGCCTGATCAGATTTTCACTAAAATATTTCCGTAATCATGTCAGATATATTCTCTATTTGAATATAGTTTTAGAGATTTAGTGAGTACCTACTTAGGATTGCTGCTACAGGGAGGGTAATAAAGTGTGTCTTTTATTAAAATATTAATAGCTAAAAAAATAATTGTGATCAAATTACATCCATAAACAAGCAAGATACAACAGTTAACTTATTCTCCTTAAGAATAACAAGGATTTTAAATTTACAGATTTTAAAATTGTATCCGCAACCATTCAGCATAACGCTTCAATGTACTAAATTATTAGTTTTCTCAAGCTCTAAAAAACGTAGGTTTGTACGTTTGTATTTGTACTAAATTTAATCAAAATCAAATGGCAGTTTTTTTAGTTATTGTGCTTGGACACATTCGTTGTATATACAGGGTTAGTAAAAAGTGTGGAGACCCCCTGTTATTTTTTTAACGGCCCATACTAGAAAAACTAAACTCGGCACACCTTTATGGCATGTTGTGAAGTACTTTTTGGGCATAACCGTCACTTGGTGTACATCCCTAAAATGGGGGATTTTGGGGGAAACTCAAAAATTTCAAATACAAAGACCTACCGAGTGACCCCTCATTTTGAAGGTCCTGGTAAAAGAAAACAAAAAACGCAAACTAGAGGTATTTATCTCAATCCAGTAAAAAATGGCAGCCAATTGAAATTCTCAGAAATTGAATTTAACTTGCAGCTTTCCAAGTCTGGAGACCCCCTGTAAATTTTGTAGCGGCTCACACTAGGAAAACTGAACTCTACACACCTTTTTGGCATGTTATGAAGTACTTTTTAAGCATAATAGCCACTTGCTTACCAAACCCAAAATGGGGGATTTTGGGGGAAACTCAAAAGTTTTAAATGATAAGCCCCATCAAGTGATCCCTCATTTTGAAGGTCCTGGTAAAAGAAAACTTACAACGCAAACTAGAGGTTTCTATCTCAATCCAGTAAAAAATGGAAGCTGATTGAAATCTTTAGAAATTGGAAATAACTTGCAATTTTATATTCAATTGGCTGCCATATTTTACTGTGTTAAGATAGAGACCTATAGTTTGCGTTGTTAGTTTTCTTTTATTATGGCCTTCGAAATGAGGGGTCACTCGATGGGGCTTATCATTAAAAAATTTTGAGTTTCCCCCAAAATCCCCCATTTTGGGTTTGGGAACTTATGAGAATTTCAATGGGCTGCCATTTTGTACTGAGCTGAGATAGAGACCTCTAGTTTGCGTTGTTGGTTTTCTTTTACCAGGACCTTCAAAATGAGGGGTCACTCGATGGGTCTTTGTATTTGAAATTTTTTAGTTTACCCCAAAATTTCCCATTTTGGGGATGAACACCCAGTGGCGGTTGTGCCCAAAAAGTACTTAATAACATGCCATAATGGTGTGCCGAGTTTAGTTTTTCTAGTATGGGCCGTTAAAAAAATAACGGGGGGTCTCCACACTTTTTACTAACCCTGTATATGAATTTGAACGGATGGGGTTTTAGGCTTTTGAGAACATAAAAAAAGCAAATTGGTCCCCGCTCTAGCTAGGTCTTACCATGAGACTTATGGTACCTAATAGCTTATTCCTATATAGGAAATTTGCTAATATTCCCTAGGCCTATATGGGAAATTAGTTTTTGACCAAAAAATCAAATGAAAGTACACTTTACACCTTCACTAAAGCGTAATTGTAAAAAAGTACAGTTTATACTGTATTGTTTCCTTGAGTTTATATGTATTTTATCAAATACATCTTCCAACATTTCCTGATATATGATGTATTTGCTCTTTTATACTTGTTAGATGTCGTGCAGTAGAGATAAATAAATAAATAATAAATGTTATAAGAAAAGAAAAATAATCAACTAAAAAGAATAATTAATTTGTATTAAATGTTAGGAATCCTATTTTATTGATCTGAAATTAATTTCAGACCTGAAGGTCCATCATCAGTCGAGGGTCTAGGTTGACAAAATTTTAACACAATGAATTTTTTTATGAGGTAAAGTGTTATAATATCAATTAATTATAAGCAATCAAGAGGATAAAATGATTGATAAAATAATACATTTGCTGTAGTTTCAATTTTACTCATTTTACAATCAGGTTAGACCAAGAAGTCAGTAAACAGCAGTAAGTAAGGCCAAGGTTGCTATAATGGTAAAACAGCTTCAAGCAAGACTATGAATTCATGAATATTTAAATGCAGATATTTTTAATACCCTTCAAACGGAACCCTATACTTGTGCTTCTACTTGAAATAAAAATGTTTGAATTCCACGTGTAATCTCTTTACAAGCTATTTTAGTCTTTACGATATGTTAATAGTCTCCTAAAATTTTCATAGTTTTCTTCATCTATTTATACAAGAATAAGTAGGAGCAGAAGTTACAAATGGTCTCAAATAGAGGTAAAATGAAAAATTTGAAGGATGTTTAATGAATTTTCCTTTCTATTAAATTTGTTTTCTGGCTAGTCTAGTAAGATTCGTCTGCTTAAAAGTCATAAGTAATTTTGTAGCCTACTTGCTTATTTTTATGTTTATTGCATATTACATAACTGTCGGACAATGTACATTTATTGATCCATTTACTACAATTTGTACAGTAGTCTATGTCGATTTAAGATTTAAAAGTATAATATAATATGGAGAAACATTAATTGACTTGAAGAAAAGGATGAAATATTTTTTTAAATTCATCTTAGTAAGCTGATTTAAAAAAAACCTGACAGTTTTGTGTGACCCTTGTTGTCATAAATATTGGTACTCATTCCATCAGAGATTTTTGTATGTTAGAGTTTGACTATTTGACCTTTGGTTATCCACCCCTCTGTGTTATCTATCTGACCCTACCTGTGAGCAATCACGTACTTGAGATCGAGCGAGATCACATGCCATATAGTACAACCGTACCATATGATTGTCCACCGTCACAACCCTCAAATTACACATAACTTTTTAAGCACCTGTACTCACATTTTTTAGGGCGCTTCATACCATCAAACATTTAAAATACCACACATTTGTTAACTTATCGTACCTGTATACCTTTCTGCTCACGTATAAGTCCATGTGCTGCTGAAAATAATAAAGGGCATTTTAAAATTTCTGCCTTTTAAGTTTTAAGTGTTTTTGTTTAAATGGTACCTTATTATTGATAAAAAATACATGCATGAAGTGTATTTAGTTTCATTCTATTTCTTTGAGATGGTTAAGAAAATAATGTCCATGTGGTGATAATGTGATTGACGTGATATGGAAAATAAACACCATTAAAATATATAAAATCGAGAAAGGAAAGAAAGGTCAATAAATCACTGAGTGAGGATTATAAATGGAACTATATTACATACTATATTAGGTCATAACCAAAGTACAGTATAACATTTGATTTGATGTTAAGAAACTCTCTATAGATCTCTTGAAGGTCTATTGGATCTGTTTGAGTACTGTTGTTGAAGTTGCTGTTGCTGTTGTTGTCTACTCTGGTACAACTGTCGCTTGGCTTCTATTTGAGCCTTTCTTTGGCTTTCTACATCTCCCCGCTGTTGTTGTTGTTGTTGTTGAAGTCTAGGCACTTGCTCCTGCGACTGCTCCATGGACTGCCGAGGCTGTTGGATATCTCTGTTGTTTGCAGGGTGTTGTTCTCTAGTCGGTTGCTGGGTATGACTGTTAGTTTGTTGGGGGTGGTTGGAAAACGCTTGTGTTGGATGAGGTGTAGTGGGTGCTGGAGTGGGTGGTGCTTGGTAAGGGTCTCTAGGATAGTTGGGTTGAGGAGTAAAGCCACCATCAACCACCGGAGGAGCTGAAGGTGAAGGTGGAGGAGGGGGAGGAGGTGGAGGAGGAGGAACTAGTGACTTTGGTGTTGTTATCTGGTTTGTGTTCATTGAATTAAAATCTCGAAAGTCTGGCCCCATGGAGTTATAATCTCGATAATCGGGAATAAACATATCTTCTTGGGACTGTTGGGGGTAAAGGTATTGCTTGGGAGGCTGAGTAGGCAATTGGAATGATGGAACCAATTCAATTATTTCTTCCTCCATAATTTCTTCCAATATAATCTCTTCTTCCTTGATATCATTTAAAACTTTCTCAATAACCTCAACAACTTCTTCGGGGACTAGTTGACTTCTCGGTAGGTAGTCGACAATATGTTCGAGGGGTGAAGCGTGGGAGTAATGTCCTTTCATGTCCGGTTCGTTACGTTGATTATCTTTCTTTTCTTTTTCAGGGACTTCTTCAAAGACTACTTCTTCGTGGACTTCTGTAGACCACGGGTTCGGTGCTGTTGTATAAGATGTAATGGATGTGGGGTTCATATTTTTTAAATATGACATTTTATCGAGTATTGTCTTACTCTTACCATTTTCTTCCTCAAATATAACATCCTCAAATCCTTGTAAGTACCATGGTACAGGTCCCGATGTTGTCGTTTTACTCGTCTTTACATACTTCCCCTTCAATGGACTGGGTTTTATGTCAATCTCTTCAGACACCACAATTTCATTGTCACTATTGATATACCAAGTGGTTGTTTTAGTTATAGTCGTGGTTCTCGAAAACAATTCTATCTCACGAGGTGGTTCAACAACTGGTTCCTCTATTACTGGTTTTATATCTTTAATAGGTTTCACTGAAGGACCTGAAGTACTCCTGGTAGGTTTTGAGACTCTTTCTCTCGATTTAGATTTAATTTCACTCTCACCAGAGTCATTGTCACTCATAAGAGAGTTAGCTGCCATCTGAGAAGCAGCTGCCATTTGCTTTGCTTGTTGCTGCATCTGCTGTATTTGCTGCTGCATGGGTGGAGGGAGTGGCTTCTGAGTCAATGGAGGTGGAGGCGGAGGAGGTAGTAGAGGTTTCTGGATGCTCCAGCCACTACTGGGAGGCATAGGTGGAGGTGGGGGTGGCTGAGTGGGAGGAGTCATCAAAGAAACCACATCACTCATGTCATCATCAGAATAGTCATCATCTTCATCAGAAGCCAACTCTAGTTCAGCTTCTACTTCCAGTTCTAACTCGTACTCTAATTCAGGATTGTTGAAATCATTTCCCATGTACATTTGATAACCTGTATTTACATACGGATTACCGTAGATGTTGTTAGATTCTACAGCGTAGTTCATCTGAGACGATTCATAACTATTCTCTCCCGAGTACATCGAGTCATAATTTGTCTCTTCGTCTTCGATGTAGTAGTCCTCTTCAGGGTAGTATCCCTCTGGCTCATAGTTATTATTATAGTAATTGTTTCCAAAGTCTGGTTGTACATTACTAGGTTCTATCATACTCCGGGGATCTTGTTCCTTGAAATTGTTGGGGTTGTAGAGTTCTGGTGGAGGTGGGCCCCAGTTACGAGGGTATTTCTTCCCAGGGTAGTCATAGCCATCTTTGTCAAAGGGTTGCGGCAGAAAGCGGCCTGGAGGGAGAGGCAGCGGAGTCGTCGGTATCGGTAGTCCACTCGATTCTTTCTGGGAAACAAGAAAAGAATCAGTACAGTAATACTAACCTACTGGTTGACATAAGGTGAATGAATCGAGTACTTACTGAGTCAGTTTAATTATTTATTGCTAATATTCGCTGAATGTGTTCCTAATTTTACTGCTACAATGGCTATAGCAATATATTTAAGAGGATATTTTTTAAACCCGCAGTAAAATAAATAAATATTTGCACACAACGTGACTTTTGATCAAATAAATGTTATGTGTTTTGTTGTGTACGTGTGTTCTGTGTTTTAATTTTAAGTTTATGACAAACCTGAGAAGAGGATAAACCTAATGATGTGGCAGTTGCCACGAAACATGTAGTTTACTAACAAGAAACAAGGATATTGTAAGGTAACAAAATAATTTTATTAATATAAATCATTATCCAAAAGTAGGGTGATGAATAATAAAAAAAAAACAATCTAATGAACAGTGATTTTGGCTCCTTGGCACCCAAAACAAAAAAGTACTTAAGCCCCGTTCACACGGGGTGAGTTTACAAGCTACACGCCGGCTTTTTTACACGCAGCTAGTAAAATAGCTCAGTGTGAACGACGTACTCGCTCAAAAGCTGCTTGTAAAAAAGCTCTGGAAAAAGTTTACGCTGCCGCTACTTTACACGCCAACTCGCCAGCTTTTGAGCGAGTAGGCTTGTAAAGTAGCCCAGTGTGAACACAGTTGCTTGTGCTTGTGCGCGTGTTATTCAAAGATGGTGGAGGATTTGGTTCGAGCCAGCTACTGAGCGAGTGGGAAAAGCATCGTGTGAACGACTACAAGCGCACTCGCCGACTCTGTGGCGTCTTTTTACACGTCGGCGAGTGGACAAGCTCCGTGTGAACGAATACAAGCACAATCACCAACTCGCCGGCTTCTTACATGCTGGTGAGTAGCTTGTAAACTCGCCCCGTGTGAACGAGGCTTTTACATGAGTATATCATAAACACAGAGAGAAAACTGTTTGAGCTTTTTTATCACAGAGGTGGTTGTAGCACCTCATAAGGTTATATCAATGTAACTCTTTTTTAAAACTGAAAAATGTGTTAATAGTTACTTCTTTATGGTGAAACTTTCTTTAAAGGACAACATTCTAAGACTTGATTTCAGAAAATTCATAATAGCTATAGTAAGCAATGAATTTGAATGGACAAAAAATAATTAAATTACTAGACACATTTCATATTTCATACCGATTTGCAGGACAGAGATACACGTGAAAGCGGGTCTATTTTTGTTGTCTTCAACTTTATACAACTTTCTTAAAATACTTTAACCATTTTGGTAAATTTGCAATGTTGTGCGTTGTTAAAAGTATTCTGTGTCTACTGTTATGTTGTTTTCTTGCTTGAGCTGTAAATGTTAGAAGGTTTTACATTTTGACCTAGTTTGATTAAAATAACAGGCATTGATTAATATTTGCAAACCAACGGCTAATCCAACTAGTCTCCGTATCAACACTCCCTTAACGAAGTGCCACTAGCTGTACAGAAGCCTGAAGCCACCAATGTGGGGTACATGCAGCCATTGCTATCTTCGAGTGCATCGCTACCTATGAGCAAACCTGCAAATGCGATACACCTGAAATTTCTTTGATACTTTCCACTAGTTGAACACTGTGTGATTGCGTTTCAACTTTGGAAGACTCTGTTCAGAAATACTCACGGCTCATGTGTATACAAAATACACTGCTCAAAAATAGAAACAAACAGCATAATTGCCGAGTAATTATTATTTGTTTCAGTTTTACAAACAGCTTAAAGGAAAATACTGTAAAGGTCCCTAAATTGAAAGGCAAAAAGAATTATGGATGTGGAGTCGGCTTTGTATAACATAATGTAACCAACATAGACATTGAATCTGATGGATTATCTTATACTCCTTGTAAAATGTAATAACTTACTCTTACTTACTTACTCCCAGGACCATGTATATCCAAGGAGATATTTTGGCTGCACCAAATAACAACTTGAATTAATTCCGAACAATGATGAAGCACAAAACCCACTGTTTGAACCTTGCAATGCTTATCATAAAGGTTGACAGTATTTATAAAAAGGTAAATTAGGTCGAGATAAATAATCAAAAATCAAAAGAACTAAATATGACGGATTTAACTTAATCTTATTCAAAACAAGAAAGATCTGAGAAAATTAACAATTTAAAAATCCAAAATTCAGCTAGCGACAAAAGACAGAAACTGCAATGAATTAATTATTGAATGTATTGAGCAATCTGATAATGGTATTTATTCAATTGCTGCAAAAAAAATATCACCTTGGAATTAGTAGATCCAATCAATGGCCGTTTCTACCCCGGGTCAACAATGAACAGATTTGAACCTCTCGCTTTATTAAGCATTGGCGGATCCAGGGGGGGGGAGGCTGCAGACGGTAATCGAGGAAATATTATGTAAAAATAAAAACTAAGAAGTTGAGATGCCGAGGGGGTCCATGCGTAATAATATTATTTTGTAAATTTTAAAGCAAAAAGTTTTAAGGCGATAGGTTGCGTCCCCATCTCAATGATTGATAATTGAATAATAATAAATAATTAATTGAGCATTTAAAATCTCTTATTTTGATTAATTACGGACCATAGGAAAATGTAAGACAAAAAGTGTAAGACTTTGTGCCTTACCTTTACCGTTCGACAATTTACCATCATATTCAAATAAAGTAAGTCAAATTCATTAGGATAAAAAAAATAATAACTAAAAATGTGATTTTTATAAGTTTAAAAAAGTTAAAATTGCTAATTGCTTTGATGGCATGGCATCAAAGACTACAAGAGAACAAGCTTCCAGGGCATGCTTGCCATTACGTCCAGTACTTGTTCTGGTGAAACACTGACATTGCCGATGCGTATAGTCTGTGCCAACTAACTTCGCTCATTCGTTCGATATACCAACCGGCATGACATCCAAACAGGTTTATTGAGCAGGTTAAAAAACCTCACTTAGTTAATAGTTAAATACCCCCACCACAGCAAACCTGCAGACTAAGCGGATTTCTATTTACCAGTATTGGATTTTAAATTAAATTTATATAAATAACATTAGGTTTAACAAGTACCTAGGTTTGCTGCTACAGGGAGGATAATAGCGTGTTTTTAAGTAAAATATTAATAGCTTAGTATAAAATAAATAAATTTGCCAAAATTTAATCAAAATATATCCATAAACAAGCTAACTACAACAGTTTACTTATTCTCCATTAGAATAACAAAGGAATTTTAAATTTATAATTTATAAAATTTTCTCCTTAACCAGTAACCTCACAAAACACTCCAATATACTAATTGGAACTGGAAATTGAAAATCGCAAGTTCATGCCATTGCCATTTCTCCAGTTGTTGAAAATTTATATTTTATGTGTTTCTATGGACCTATTTAAAGGTAAGCCTGCTTTCCTGTCAATTTCGCTAACAATATACTAAATTGTTTGTTTTTTTAAGCTCTTTGAATTGGTGTAAAGAAAAATGGGGAAATTTTATGTTTTGAGGTTCAAAAATGAGTCAAACCAATTTTTACCTTATGAAACCCCTTTCCCATAGTCCGATCATGCTGGTTCGCGAACTCATTTAAGTTTATCCTGCCCTACAAATTTGAAATTCAAGCCAAATTTCATACATAAAAATTTGAACGAATAGTGTTGTTGGCCTCTAGAGATGTGAAAATGAAAAAGTATATCATATCGGGCCTGTCTTATTGTGTCCCTATGGTAATAGCTACTTCCCTAAAGGGAAATTCGCTAAAACTTAATTTTATGAAAATTTTGGGGGGTGCTGGAGCACCTTCAGCACCCCCCCCCCTGGCTACGCCCCTGTTGCCAACAGAAATGATGGTGTTTTTAACATTATTGTATTAGTTTTAAGTATTTGTTTCAAAATATTATGCATTCAATGTACTAACTCTATGTACAAAACAATGAATAAAGCATGTTTTGACTTGACTTGACTAGAGGATGCTCTTGAAAAATTACAGAATGTAGCTAGTCTCTTCTGTGATCTGTCAAGAGGATTTGATTGTGTAAACCATGATATCCTGGGGAAATTACGGATCTATGAAACATCAGGCAGGACTACTAATTTGTTTCACCAGTGCTTACGCCTGATTATTATAGATTCATCACTGAGGGTGTTCCTCAAGATTCCATTTTCAGACCCTTACTCTTCTTAATTTATGCCAATGACTTTTCTATGACCTTAAATTCAAAATTTGTTGTTTGCTGATGACTTCTTGGCTATCTTTACTCGGACAGGTAAATCAATGTTTTAGGCTTCAGCTATTAAAACAAATCCCATGAGCTGTAAAGTTGGTTTCTAGCTAGTGGGCTTTTATTAAATCAAAGCAAATAACTTTTAATGAAAAAAAATCCTAATGTTAACAACAACAATACAACTCTACCATGCAGTTTTACTGACTGTACCGATCTTTTAGGAATAACCATAGATCATAAATTAACCTGGAAAACTAACATTGCAGACATTATCAAAAAGTTAAATACTGTAAAGCATATTAGGAATTCTCATTCTATGTAGGTCAGTCTCTTTTCCCACTCTTATGCTGTTTGATTTGGATATGTTTACCTTACTGTTAACTACGGGCTAATTTTTTTGAGGTAGTTCTGGCAAAAGAAAAAAAAATATTTAATTTGCAAAAACATATCATTATGATAGTGTCAAAGCTAGAGATTCGTGCAAAAATGTATCTAAAAGTAATAACATTCTATCCGTTCCTTGCTTTTAGATTTATTATCTGCTAATGTTTATGTAACAAAATATTTCTGATATTTGTATTAATTTAGGGCAATTACACTAGATAAAAAGGCTGCCTTACCTCGGACAAAATTTTTTACTTTTGAATTGCCTCCCTACTACTATGGCATTAATTGTTATAATACCTGCCTGATTCGATTAAATTTACAGCTTCTCTATAATCATTTGAAAACAGTTATTTAAGATTTTATGTAACAAATGTTGAGATAACGTAAACAATGATTTCAGCTAATTCTTGTAAATTTATCATTGATATTTTTGTTTTGTTGTACCTATTGACACTATTTATAATGTATTTTGTGTATAAAAATTAATAAAGCAATAATTCTGATTCTGTGTGTGTCATAAAATGCTAAAGCTAATGAATTTTAGTAAGCCATTAGTATGATAAGTGGTACAACAATCATAATCTCAAATTATTATCCATCCAATCTCCTGAACATAACTTTGCCAAATTGTGTAAAGTTCAAGCCCTACATTAACAAACATGTTTGGGATGTGACAAACTCCAAAATACAATTAATGTATTTTTCTTATGTTCCTTGTTTAACCCATATTACTTTTGAAATGACATTTGAAATTCAGTTGAAAATTGCTTCAAATAACTTTTTTCATTCAATTAGCTAATTTATGTTCTTATGTCTCACTTGTGAATCACGAGATCAAAAAGTGTTCATAAAAAAGCTAATTTGATACAATTATAAAAAAGTATAACATTAGTTTTTCCTAAATTAAAACCTGAAATGCAAATGTGAATGTTTGAATTAATACCAGGTTTAAAATATACATCATTGCAGGTTTTGTAAGAATCTGATTTTAAAGTTCATTAAGGGTAAAAAGTATTTATCTAATAAAGAAATGACACAGCAGCATCCTTCAGGTATTTTATGTTGATTAATATAGTAATTCCATTGAATCCTCAACTAATATTACTTTTGTGAAGGGTTTTATTTACTGACCAAGTTACTAAATTTTCTGCTGAACATGTCTTTCAATTTATTATCTAAAATTATTTTGTTTTTTAGAATTAGAGAGAATTAGTAGTTTGATTTGGAAACTAGTTTTGCTATCCGAGGCAAGCTCCGTTTCAATTATCTCGGATAAACGAAATTTCATTTCAGGTTTTGGCTTAAAATTGATCAAATTCAGAACACAGTTACATTTATAAATTTTAAACAACACTACAGCTTGCTACATTAAGGGTTGTTACAGAGAGCTGTTCTTTGTCTGTAGGTTACTAATACAAAATTGTCCAAAAGTTATCTAAAAATAAATAAGTTTATTTATTTTTAAACATTTCAAATTGGAAAGTCAATTGTTGTAGAAAAGAGTGTTACAATATCTAAATATTGAGTTTCACTGTTTTAATCTATAAATATTTACTATATCTATATCTATATCTATCCAAGGAGAACCCAGATTATGAGATAATCTTACCAGGATAAGATTAACAGAGAGAATGAGTCCGAGAGAGACGGGAAAACACACAGAGGACATCTGCAGGGCTCCTGCAAACCCTTATCATCACGAATCTCCACTCACAATTTACAACTGACAACACCACTTCTCTACTGATTCTCTCAACAAACACCATCGACTCTACAGTAAATATAATTCTTTACACAACCACCGTATCTCACCTACTACTGATAATAGTCAGAGTATGGTTGATGTAGAACACTGCCTTAGTCTTACGTTCATTCCACGAATTTGGTAACAATAAGGAAATCCAAGATGGTTTGGTTCCAAATGCTTGCTGAAATTGTTATTTGTTTGCAATTTAATTATTGGTCCTTGAAAAATATAAGCTACTTTCATCCTTTTAGATGAATGGTTCAGTTGTGACATAAAAAAAAAAAATAAAGTGAGTGATGGAAACCCCACAAATAAAATAATAAGAATGCGTAAAATTTAGTTTAAAACTATTTCAACTTAAGTGATCACTCAAAATTACAAATACCAATTAGTGATGTAATCAGGGCCTGCACAATCACACAATCAGATTCACGCTCACAACCATTGTAGACATTTTTAAACACGACCCCTAATCAGGTTTATAGCGATGTTTCACAATCTATTATTTATACTGTATTTATTCGTGTTGTATATGTGTGTAATGTGCTGAACACCTACATCAAATGCAGTTTTTGTCTCATTTCTCGACTCTGATTTTAGTTGAGTTTGTGCGTTTTTGTACAGATTAAGCCTGCACAATATAAAACACCCGACCCTTGTTATTGGAAGAATTTGTAAAATTAAGTGGGTTTGGACAAGTCTAATGAACAAGTTTTTAAAAACATTAAAAAGGTTTCTTTATTTTCTTAATAGCTATTTTTTCTTAATTTGCTACTTATACAAGCCATTATATACAATGTACATTATCCAAATGAACAGGGATTCTTTAGGAGAGCAATAACAAAGATACATTGACATTGATTTTGAACATGAAACATGTATTACAAAATCTACTTTTAGGCTTTCATGTTTATTTATATGTTTCTCAATTGTGCGGCTTAAGTATAAGAATTATTAAAAACCATCAGTTTACTCACAAACATAAATCCATTTCCACCTGTGGTAGTATTCTTTCTTATTTTGAAATACCAATGCATTTCACTCCAGTTAATGTGAAATTACCAAAATTAATTGATTAGATCACAAACAAAACTATTTTGAATAGGATTATCAATTTCTATTTACTTATATTAGTATGAGAGAAAATATTATCTAAGGAAGAAACAATAAAATGCCATTTTCAACAACGAAAGATTTATTACAACTGTTTTACAAAATTATCTTACCTTAGCATGATTGATGTTGATATGGCTCATAGAAACAACTACATATTACAATTCCCTCCCTATGTTAAATCTATTAGATTACTTCTTCCTTCTTCTACAACACTAACATGGAGGATTGAGGAAACGGGTTCAATTAATGACTAGCAGATGAATAAATATCATACTCTTATAAAACAAAACAAACACATAATCTAACTATAAGGTTAACTAAACCTTAAGCCAAATATTATTTTAATCTGTACAATCAACTGATTACAACCTTTTTTGTAACCAAGATGTGATATTATTATAGTGACGTTTTAAGCCCTCAATAAATAGGAATGACATCAACTTGCACTTTATGGTCAGTGTAAAAATTATCAACGAATGATAATGAGATTTCAAGGGTAAATGTATCATAACTTTTTGATTTTGATTTATGTACGAGGAATGGTTTTTAAGTAAGTTCCGTTTTTAAATTTCTCCGTTCCAGCGCTGTGATTGGCATTTTGGACATTTGCGCTGTGTATGTGCATCTATTGGCAAGTCTGCACCGGAAATTTGGCAAAAATCGGCCGTGTTTACATCCGGTTTCGAGCATTCAATATGGTGCCGCCAATAGAGACTGCCGCCGACTATAAAGTGTGTGCTGTAATTAGATTTTAACTGCTAAAGGTGTGAAAGCCATTCAAATTCATCAAAAGATTAGTGAAGTGTATGGCGAGAACATTATGAGTGACGGAATGGTACACAAGTGGGTAAGGGCATTTAAAGGCCCCACTAACGTTGATGATGAACTGGGTGGCGTCATTAATGTCACCAGTACCCAGTGTGTAGCTCATTATGAACGTTAGCGGGGCCATCTTTAAATGCCTTTACCCACTTGTGTACCATTTCGTAACTTATAATGTTCTCGCCATACACTTCACTAATCTCGATGAATTTCAATGGATTTCACACACCTTTTTAGCAGTTGAAAATCTAATTACAGCACGCACTTCATAGTCGGCGGCAGTCTCTATTGGCGGCACCATTTTGAATGCTCAAAACCGGATGTAAACACGGCCGATTTTTGCCGAATTTCCGGTGCAGACTTGCCAAAAGATACACATACATAGCTCAAATGTCCAAAATGCCAATCGCAGCACTGGAACGGAGAAATTTTTTAAAAACGGAACTTACTTAAAAAACATGCCTTGTAAGTATCTATAGTTACTAGAATGTATAAATAAATAAATATATTTATTTTTTGTAACAAGAGAGATACTAACAACAAAGAGGTGCTGATATGTTAGGAACAGACTTGTGTTTTTACCAATTATCTTTCCACTGGTTGATGTGTACATCACTTTTAGGTCTGTGCAAGCTCGTAATAAAGCGGGAAACCACTCTTAAAATAGACAATTGAATACAAAATGGATTTTGGCAAAGAATTTATGAATAAGCCATACGATTAGGCTGAAAAAATCTGACGGAATTATGAAATTAGATAAAAAAGTAAGTTAATCTTTAGTCGACTCCATTTTTAACATAACTTGTCTCTGAAATAATGTGTGTAAATAAAAATAATAAAACAGTAGTAAATGTTAAAAATTGAGAAAATTAAGGAATAACTTAATATTAAATTAATAATAAATGTTACAGACTGATGACATTTAATGACTGTAGTAATGTAGCAACTGTTTGAGTGCAGCTTGCAGGATCAGTCCTTTAAATGTTGTACATACCAGCCTTTGATATAAATCATGCTGAATCTTTGAGGAACGTTTTGCATTGACCTGTATGTTTGTTGCTGTACATTTGAAAGTGTCAGTAATCATTCTGGGAATAGGTTTATTTAGCACCATGACCATACTGAATTAAAACTGCTGAACTTTTTTAACAAAATAAAAAATATTAATCTGGTCCCAGAATTGTCAGCACCTCTGCATACACAAATCAAATAGTAATCATTAAATCATGTTCTACATGCATTAATTTGCTGTTTTCATCTAACCATATTAACTAAATACAAGGATAGTTTATGATAAAACCAACTCAAACCACGTAAAACTAGTTTTGGGAAACGAATGCAAAAAGTTAACATAAGTTCATGGTAACTTTGACAGTTCAAAGTCAACTACACATATACCAACATACATTCAAAATGTAATATATTTTGCTGAGCATATTAAAGATATTTCTATGAGCCATGAAATTAAAACTATCAATAACATACAAAAGTGGAACAGAAACCTAAACTAGACTAGACAGAAATAGCCGTGATAGGCTTTTAACTCTAAAACAATTTCACTAATATTCACAAGTTTAAACAATAAATTAAACTTACGTATCTTTGTACAACAAAACATTAAATGTGCTAATGATCCAACTGTTGAGTTCAAATCAAATGATCCATTTGAGATTAAAATGATAAAATAAAAACCTTGATTATTCTAAACACTGATCACAATTGTTAAAACACTAAATGAGAGGTGATCTGAAGTTTTTATTAAAATCAGTTAAACTGAACTTTAACTAAACTAAAATGTACAAAAATATCTATCATTATGTAACTAAAACCTTAAAACTGCACTTTATTCATGTGACATTAAATTTTCTCTGTTACAGAACAGTAATAGTTAAAATAATGCCCTCTTGGAGAGATAAATAAAAACCAACTGTGCTACAGTAATTATAATTCATTTACAAATATTATTCACATAATCAAACAAACACAAACTAGGTTTTAATTTATTATAACATTTAAAACTTTCCCCTTTGATACACGTAAATTTTTACCTCTTTAGGATTATTTTAAAACTATAGTCTGTACGGTGAAAGCTGTCTCCTGACCCTTTGGTCCGGGCCATAAACCCGATATCTGCACCAATCGCCCTAATTAGTCACCTTTTAGCTTTTCCAATAGTTTCGGTAACTTTTTTACACAAGTCATAACTACAACAAATTTTATCAATAATTTGAGAAGTACATAAAAATATTAGATTCTCAATCAAATTCGCCCTTGTAAATCAATCAATGATCTTATTTTATATACTTCTAAAATTTTGTATACAAATTTGGAAGTTATGACTTAGGTAAAAAAGTTACTGAAGCTAGTGGGAAAGCTAAAAGGTGACTAATTAGTAGAACAGCCGAGGAGCAGCTATCGGGTTTAAGGCCTGGGCCAGTCCCACGTAGACTGAGGAGCAGGAGACAGTTTTGACCGTACAGACTATGGTTAGGTTTGACATACATAAAGTAGGTTTTTGGAGGATTGTTTTTACTTTATTGTATTTTACTATCACAGATTCAATGTTGATATAACATAAATTCATGATTTTATTCATGTGTAACAATAAAAGCTGTTAAAAACTTTAGAATACAAAAAAAAAAACTACTGAAATTGCTTTGATGTATTTGATACATGCATAAAAAAATTAAATAGATTACTGATCACTCATTAAAATAATGCAAAATCCATTTTAAATGGACCGTATTTCATGCTACCTTTAGTTATATAAAAGTATTCAGTCTTTGAAAAAGTCTGTTTTGGATTGTAGGAAATTTTAAGTTGATATTACTAATCTTGTGCTTTGATATATTACTATACAATAGATGTGTGATTCAATAGGTTATTTCACGTGCTAATCAGTTGATAATAAATTACTTCCTGGACCTAAATTAATTAAAGCCTTACAGTGATTACCTAATCAATAAATATTTGGTAATTAAAATGATAACACATCTTTTACACAAAATCAAGGGGTTGGGAATAAAATTAAACTTAAAACTATTTTTACAAGCATCACAGTGTTGCACAATACACAATTACAGTTTATAATACAAACAATGCAGACTTACTAACATACCCTTTGGATCTGCTTCTAGCCTGAAACAGAAGTAAACACTCACTATAAACCTCTCATATCAATACCTCGTAGGGAATAAAAACAATAACACTTATATGGATTTAAAATATTGTTGGCACTGATTTTGAGAAGCTAAAATTTAGTTTTTAGAGTGCTTAACAACTCGATTGGCTACCAAGGGAACATGCCAAAATTCAAAAATCCTAAACTAAATTTTAAACATGGGAAAAGAATAGATAAAATAGAATAGATGGGAATAGAAAAAAAATACTCAAGTTACTTTTTTGACAGTGTTTATTTAAGAAGACAAAATATATCTTACCTTAAAAAAATCAGTCTTGTTTGGGTGTATATGCCTGGGCTCGGTTGCGGTCTACATTCCCAAATGATACCAAGCTGTGAAACCTGCACAACAGACAAATAACATTTAATATACTACTCACTCAATTTATTTAATAACAATTATTTAACTCAGTTCAGCGTTGTATTATTTACTTGCCAACAGTGATTACCAGAAGTAAATATAAAAAGTTGAGTATAAAATAGAAACTTCAAAAAGAACCTTACTTAGGTATTTAGGAATCAGTTCACTGCAACAACTATTGATTTCAGGATCCATTGCTATTCTTTATGGCCATTAAGAAACATGAATATTTGTACAGTTCAAAATGATGTTCACATTTCTCAGTTTAGTTTCAAATTCAATCTACATGTAGTTTTAGAAAGCAAATCTTTCTTTTTTTCACTGCTTTAAAATAAACTGCAACTGGCGGTGGACTTAAACATTGGGGATTCATTCAATAGATTGTGGAAATCTATTCATAGAACACAATTAATTTATACTTTGCGAGAGCAAAAATTTTACTTTAATTTGTATTAGCTTTTATGACAAGACTATGTATCACAGAGGTAGAAACTGGCTAGAATAATTAGTAAGGAAGTAGAGAAAACTACACTGGTGTCAAGATTTGAACTAGCTCACTTTGTCTTGATAAGAGTTTGTAGAAGACCTTCAAAAACAGACAACCCTCACATAACATGTTGGACTAAAAAATATGGAAATATCAGGAGTCATTTGTGCAATGATGGCATGACAAAAGAATGGGTTGCTAGCTATTTAAAAGGACATAGGCAAAATGTTGTAATTTAACAAAAAGTAGATCGAGTTGAATATGTGCAAAGATCAAGACAATTGGTAGTGAATAGAGGAGTGCCCCAGGGCTCTGTCCTGGGCCCTTTTCTTAGTATCTTTTTTCCGAATGACTTTCCTCGTTTTATAAATGACAACAACATCAAAACCATTATGTACGCAGATGACACAACACTACTGTTTAGAAATGGCACAGCACAAGAAGTACATTAAGATATTCTGTTATCAACAGACAAAGCTCTACAATATTGCCTAAAAAATAGCTAGGATTAAACCCCTCTAAGAAGATACAGATAAATTTTAGCAGAATACTGGAGCACATACCTAAACGCCTGATATTTCAGTTGAAAAAAAGTTTAAACTCCTCGGTCTCACTATTGAGGCTAATCTCACCTGGATAGATCATATAAAAAACTTAACAAAGAAGCTTTTATCCGAGATCCATGTGGGGAAAAGGATGAAATGAACTGCAAGCAGCTAAGACAGAATATTTTGCTTTAGTGAATCCCTATCTCAGGTATGGGTTGATATCATGGAGAGGCATCTGAAACTAACCTTAACAATATCCTGGCACTTAAGTTGAAAGCCATTGGGGCTCTCATGGACCTTGACCTCACAGATGGCTGCAGAGAAGCCTTTAAATCACTAAAGCTACCAACTTTCATAGCACTTTACATCAGTGCAGTTGTCCTATACACTGACCAGCTGGACCTTCCCAGGAATGGAGATTTTAACCCATAACAGACCAGAAGAGCAACAGATTTTAGCCTTCCTGCACACCATACCACGCAGTTCAGTAAGAAACCATCCTATATCGGCCGCAAGATCATCAATGCCTCAAGACCTCAAGACTATGAAAGGAAACCCACTAAAACAGGGACTGCGAGACTGGCTGGTGGAACGACCTGTTTACTCAATAAAAGAGTTCTTGAATCTCTTATAAAGATAGAAGACCAGAAAATACTTTTAAGCAAGAGATTTAAAAAAAACATGACGCCTAATGTCAAAACTTACAGAGTACTATGACAATTAAAAATTTAACATGTTTACATGGAACAAAAAATGACTAGGAATTTAAAAGTACATTACATGATATAAGTTACACGATTGTTGTTGTAAACTACCTAAAGTGCACCATGAGTGCTGGCCTACCTGTTATAAAGTTCACGGCGAACTGCTAGTGTACACTGGTTGGACAGACAAAGTGTTGACGCTGCAGCAAACACAATGTTGTACAACAAGACGATCTTGAAGTTGCCGAGCCACTCTATCTGTCCGTACTCCCCCATCAGATCAAAGTTGGTTATACCTGTAATAGTTACAAATAATAATGACTATGTCAATTGATTTGATTGAATACAGATATTATTGTGAATATAAAGTACAGGGTGACACAAAGGAACCGGACGTTTTTTAAACAGCTGTTCCATCGTTGTTGCACGTGGTAGGAAGATTGAAGTTATGTCATTACCTTCAGTGAGGCTTGCCATTTTTGTTGAAATGGCTCAGTGGACCCTAGACCATCGCGTTTTCGCATACGATACTTTGGTCCGAAATGGTGAATCCGTCATCAAATCCAGCGGGAATTTAGTCGACATTTTAATATTGAACTCTATGGAACGGTCCAAGCCGAAATACGCTCTTAAGATGGGTTTCAGGGTTCCGAACAACGGGAATATAACAAGAAAGAAACCACCAGGCCTTGTTAGAACTTCGAAAACACCCGAAAACATCGCCAGAAAGAGAGCAGTATTGAATGAATGTTTCCTAACAAGGTGATTTCTTGCTTTGGTGACATGCCGTGGCCACCAAGATCACCCGGCTTGACCACTAGTGATTATATCCTTTGGAGGTTTCTTAAGGAGCGTGTTCATGCTCAAAAACCACGCACTCTAGGGGATTTGAAGTTTGCAATCACAGAAGATATCAATGGCATTGAACCTCCTGACCCGAGTTTCAGATGATTTTCAGACCAGAATGAACATTTGTAGATAAGTACATGGCCACCATATGCATGACGTCATTTTCAAAAAATGACGGTTTTATAACAAATGGCAAACGTTTACCTCACTATGTACAGTATTAAAACTAGTTTATTCCTTTTAACTACTGTGTACTACTCATTTAAAAAACGTCCGTTTCCTTTGTGTCACCCTGTATTTCATTATTTTACCAGGACCTTGAAAATTAAACACTTGCTTAATCTAAAAAATGTATATTAATCCTCTAGCACTTGCACATTAATCCTCCATTAATTTTAAATAAAGAGAAAACATCAACTGTAGTATTTAGTCTTAGAGAGATCCCTGAGATGCCAAATGAACATTTGCATCCAAAGTTTTTGTGACTAACTTTTGATACTATAAATTGGCAATATCATGTTCATTTGGTGAAGGGAAGACTTAGTTCTAGTGTGTTTGCTATGAAATGTGGTGAATTGAATCAGAATGCTTTAATATGGACTATTTCATAGCCATTTAACGTATGGTTTGATTGTTTAGGGATCTCCACATGCAAATTGTCATAATATGTTCTTTTATATATATATCATGTTAGTTTCCAGACTGTACTATTGTTGTTGTACTTGGACTGTACTGAGTTTAACTGTACTGTACCGTATAGATTGAGTGCTCGGTCACTTTGAATAAACCCATGCCAACGTTAACATGTTCATCATCATTTAACGAACCTCGACCTGCGATCCATATCACATGGCGCAGTCGGTAAAATTTAATTATGTGAGTCTTAAAAGTATGTTTGAATTTAACACAGTTATTTTTAATTATTGAGACAAGACGTTGAAGCTTTATAATCATGCCGAAAACAGGAGAAGAGGAGGAAAAAACATCCATCGTCGTGCAAAGTTCGACTACACCTTCAATACGCCTACCATCAGAATTGACATGGTCAGGTAATATGTCAGAAAATTGGTCATTTTTCAAACAAAAATTTAAAATCTACATGGTTGCTAGCAAAAGTGAAAAAGAGACTAGTGATTATCAAATCGCTCTTTTACTGTCAGTCATTGGTGATAGTGCTCTGAAAATCTACAACAATTTTCAGTATTCAACAGGAGAAGACAAGCACAAGTTAGAGACTGTAATATCTAAGTTTGATAATTATTTTATACCCACTAAAAACGTAACTTATGAACGTCATATTTTCTTTTTGCGTGAGCAAAACCTTGATGAAAATTTAGACTCTTTTGTAACTGATCTTAGGGATTTGTCTAGTTCATGTGACTTTGGCCAGTTAACAGACAGTTTAATCAAAGACAAACTCATTTTGGGTATTAGAAATAGAACATTGAAAGACCGACTTTTGTAAACTAAGGCCAGGCGCACACAGGCGATTTTGAGTCGCGCAACAGTTGCCCGACTAATCGGGGGACTGTTGCGCAACCCACTCGGAGACTCTGAAGTCTAGCGACAGTTGAGCTGGAGTGCACACACAGGCAACTTTTTAGTCGTGAATCTAAAGTCTAAAGTTAGACATTAAATTTGTTAACAGCGTTAACATTACCGAATGGATTTCAATGATACAGCCGTAGTATGTGCTTTGTTGTTGAAGTTGAGATTTTAGATTTTATCCTCTTGTGTTAGGTTGTTCCAATCTTTAGTGACTGCCAAGGACACTTCATCCCACAACTTCTTCTTCAAATTAATATCCGAACAGTCTTTCAATGACTTTAAATATAAAGGCGGCCTCTTGTCAACTTAATTAATTAATTGTTTGACATTCTCATCACGGAACTCGTATTTAAGTAATTTTCTAAAAACTTCACACAACAAAAAGAGAGCAAACACTAGAGACAGATCTGCCCACCAGTAGTTGAATTCCTCGGGTGAGACTACGCCACAGCGACAATTTAGTTGCATGTGTGCGCATCTACACTTGGTTCAATGGATACAAAACCTGGAGCGACAGTCCCGCAACAATTGAGTCGCAGAGCAGTCACTGGCAAATTGGGTCCGGGAACATCGGTTGCAACAGTTGCGCGACTGTCCCTAGACTGTTTCCTTGGTGTGCGCACTCCAATTTAAAACAATGTTGAACATTTTAGTCGAGCAACTGTTGCGCGACTCAAAATCGCCTGTGTGCGCCTGGCCTTAAGACCTAGATTTAAATCAAGCTTTGGAAATATGTAGGGCTTCAGAAACTGCTAGCAATCAATTAGGAGATATTTGCTCAGACACTAGATCGGCAAGTATAGACGTGCACAAAATTGCAAGCAAGGATAGCAAGAAAGGGCACCATGTGACGTCACGATCAAACAGCTTCATACGCAATCGTAGCAGACCGACTTAGACTTAAACACTGTAGGTAAATGCTCCCTTGATGTTAAACACAAAGATGAAGTACATAGTATAGAGTTTTTTGTTGTAAATAGTAAATCGCCTTGCATTTTGGGGTTGTCCGATTGTGTCAAACTGAACCTCATAAAAAGGGTTGACAATGTAAAAGGTAATAAAGGCTCAAATGAAGGTCCTGGGTCTTCTCATTGTATTCTTGATGAATACCCAGACTTGATGTCTGGTGTTGGATGTATAAAAGGTGAACATGAAATTCAGTTAAAGGAAGGTGCTCTTCCAGTTATTCATGCATGTGTCATAATATGTTCTTTTATATATATATCATGTTAGTTTCCAGACTGTACTATTGTTGTTGTACTTGGACTGTACTGAGTTTAACTGTACTGTACCGTCTAGATTGAGTCCTCGGTCACTTTGAATAAACCCATGCCAACGTTAACATGTTCATCATCATTAAACCTCGACCTGCGATCCATATCACACAAATGAAGTTTTTACTATGCAAAAAAAGTTCTTAGAGTCATTGCTGGTGTAAATATGTGTCATAGCTGTAAAAATCTATTAAAGGAGTTTTAATTTTTTTACCAATTTGCAATTAAACCCTGTATTTTGTTTAATTGCAATAACACCAAGAGTTGCTCATGCCAGATGCCAAGCAATTAAATATTAAATATTTGTTAAAACAAAGTTAAAATTAAGGAAATTGTACTGGTTAAGGTTTATTATTCCATCCCAGACTTTGGGTTAGTAATTGTACAGTTGTGTTGTTATTGTAATTGTCTATGTTTTATGTATAATATTTGTATAACTGTCTAAGTAAATTGAGTTGGTATTTACTGTAATTACTGTACTGTTATTATAAGTATTTATTTATGTAAATTACAAGACATCAGTTACTGCTATAAGCACTTAATGTAACGTTTATTTTTGAGTCAATAAATTGATTTGATTTGAAAATTGGTGTTATACTGAAGAAGACAGGGTTTTGAGATTCAAAATTTCTTTCTGGTTTTGACCATGACTAGTTCTTATATATGATTCTATGCAAAGATTTTTTTCGCTGTACTGAAGTTTTTGATTGGATATAGGCCTACTACACCAAAATGCCCAGAGTGAGGCAGAACCAGTCGACCATACAAATATCTTATCCCTCAAGTCAATTGTGTTCACTAGGGAGTGAAGTGACTGGTGACTGGTGATCTAGTCAGTGAGTCATACTCCGGCTCTACTATCTCTATTTTTTTATTGGAGAAAATATACAAATTTGATGTTATAAATTAATTTATTCTCCTGGTAATTTTGATTCCAAACTTGAATCTGTGAATTTTTATGGACGATCTGCAAGTTTATATTCAAACTAAAAGTACTGTAATTAAAAAAAATTAAATATCACTATCAGTTTGGTATAAAAATGAACAGAATATTAAAATGTACGTTTATAACACCAGATTTGTATATTATTTTCTTCAAATATAGAGATAGTAGAGCCAAAAGTATGTCTCCCTAACGGCCTCCTGTGCAGTCTGCAACACTGGGTGCTCACAATAGACTTGAGTGACAAGGCCAAGACTATTAGTAGGGTCGGCTGGTTCTGCCTCACTCTGGCCTGCAGTATAGTTTACAATAATATCATTTGAGATGGGGACGCCACCTAGGTATGTTTATAAACCTGATGAGTGTAGAATGGCTAACCAAGATCAGCTGTTTCATTAGACAGGACCATTATGAAGGCCCAAATGATCAAGGACATCAGACAAGATCAATACTGACCAAGAGTTCGCGCCAGGAGGGGCAGAGCTGAGCTGAGTACAAGCAGCAAGATACAGTTGGCCAGTAGATGGTAGAAGGGGGTGTTGTTCTGACAGGGGGTAAGTCTTCGCAGTAGAGGGAGAGAGTACAGTCCCACAACTGAGGTGGCAGCTAGGTAGAGGATCAGAACTACCTCCAACACAGCCCCTACTGGTCCCAGCTTGGACAAAGATGTCAGGCCAAGAGTGAATTGCTGCAAACATAAACAAAAAAAATTGTTTGGTAGAAATATAGAACTGTTAAACAGTTATTTTTGCAACTAGTGTGCAAAGTGGCATTTTAAAACAATGTAAAAAATTTCCACTTTTATCATGTTAAAAAAATCACTATTCTTATGAATTGCTCATTATATTTTGTCCATTAGACTATTGAGTGACAACTAAAAAATCTTATTTCAGTAGTGACACAATATAATCAAACATTGAAGTTAGTATGTTCATTAACTGAGCTACACTGTTGAGAAGGCACGTTAAAAATAACATTGCAAACTTGAAAACTCAGGAAACAAAAAATACTATCAGTTTACGTTTGCATATTGTTGATCTTCAAAATACTACTTCAGGTTTTTTTTTCAACTAAAACCTTGTTTTGTTGTTTTTAGAGCATTTTAGTATTACAAATTAATAAAATAATAACATTTACACATACATTAACATACACATACATTAATTACATTAACACATAACATTTCCTAAGGATTGTAATTCGATTAAAATAAACTTAGCTTTAATTTTCTTCCGATTAGTTGTTATTCAGAGTGAGCATATAAGCAAAGTAAAATGTTGAGAAATAAACTGTTTTAGAAAAAATTAAAGTAATCAAAATGCTTCTTAAATGTCAACTGTGGACAGGACAAATATACGGTTTAAAACTAAGGACGGTTTAAAATTAAGTCAGTTAGGAAATTAAATTACTGTAAACATGAAAGTGAGACAAATATATTGAAAACAAAAGTTTTTCATGCTCTTCTTCACTCTGAAAAAGATTGCTGTTTTCTAGAGGAAACCAGGAAACATTCACAAACTGGGAAAACACTTAAAAGAATACTGAGAAGAATGTCATGTTTATTCTTAAACAATTCCCATCAGCTGTGAATATTTTCATGTTCACTTCTATCTGGGAGCAGCACTGTACAACACTGCAGCATAGCATTTACGTAGGCATTATTCGTACACTACAGTCTCTATTGTACATAACAAATCTATTATTTTTCAGTGTCAGTAATGCCAAAATTTCTTTCATAATTACTTACCATTGTGCATGAAATGTTATGACTGTTATGAGTTATAAATATCCAGAATGCATCCAAAACATCGGCCAGTAATTTAACCGGTTTAACAACACATTTATCTTCCGATTCTATCATCTACTTTAACTGTGGAAGCCTAACTTCTAGTTGAGACATCAGAATTGACTGAATTCTCTACAACTGATATACTGTATAGTAAACTCCTGATTGTTGACATGAGAATTAACCACACTGAAGATTATACAAGACCGCAAAAAAATTGAAATAAAAAATATACAATGGAAGTTAAAAGCACATTATACAGTGAAAACCCAGATATTAGCGGAAAAAGGTGCATCATCTCACGTACAGACTGAGACTATAGACTTATTGTTGTTCACTTTGCCGACCACCGATGAGTCATTAATTATATCTGATAAGTGATAAGTTACATTTTGTGTGGGTTTTGATTTTTGTTATTACTAGGCCTATATGAAATAGGCTTTCGGTTAGCTTTTATTATGTAAATAGACGTGGGTGAAATAAATTTAAAAGGTATATAGACAGAATTTAAAAATGTTGTATTATTACCTAAACCTGTATTAACACGTTGAGTGCCGGCTACGTTATTTAACGTAGTGCGGGACTGGCACGCGGGGCAGACTACGTTTAACTATGTAGCATTCCTAACTCTATAAAGTATTGATCCAGTGTGAGCTCAGCTTCGCACGGGGAACGTTGTTTCACTTGCCGCTTGTTGTGCCAGTTTTATACTTCAATCCTGAATAATTTGTTTTCAGATCTGACAATTTCATTGCTGGTGGAGACTGTTCAAAATTTAGTTTAGTGTGGGGTTTTGTCTTGGAATTAGTAAAATTGAATTGAATAACGACAATTACTGTAGTTTAGCATTGTGGAAGGAACCTAACCTCAAAATTTAGGTTTTTTACCCTGCCTTTTCCTTCCATTTGGTAATACTGAGGGCCTGCTAGCAGTTTTGTTTAGTGCTGCTATCTGTTGGGTTCTTGTAAAACTATGACCACAACGACTGGAAGGCAACACATGCTACAATATGCCTCTCATTTGGATTAAACTAAGTTTTTTTTAAACATGTTTGGCGCACTCAACCGCACAGCGCATTAGCCACGTGCCATTGTGCAACTGCACTGAACGCGTTAAAGCTATACTATAATAAACTATTATCTTATCTTATCTAACAGGGGCAGGCCAAGACCATAAAGCACTTCATCCGAAATCAAATTATTGCGCACTTCAGACAATTGTTTTCTTGTAGACCTTACAAATTAAGGTGTCCAATGAATGCCTGTAACTTCCCGATAAGTTCATCCTCAGGAAGATATCTTCCTCTAGCCAGATTACCAAGAGTTGTCATTCTAGCATCAGAGAGCTCGTTACAGTCAAAGAGTAAGTGATCGGCTGTCTCTTCTAACCTATCACAGTGCCTACAGATCGGTTCACTATCAAATAAGCCCATCTGTTGTAAATGTTTCCTGAATCGCCCATGACCAGTTATCAGTTCTACAGTTAATTTGATTCTTCGTCTATCTAGTCTCAAAAGGTCAGAGGCAACCTTTTTAGAAGGCCTAAACAGAATAAGCTTGCTGACCCTAAGAAGGGGAGTGTCGAGCCAGCGTTTACGATGCTTTTCTTTGGCCCATGACGCAATCGAAGAACATGCACTGTTTCGTGAAATGCCACAGAAGGGTTGTGGGCCTATCATTGTTGTCGCTGAGGCAGCATTTGCTAGTCTATCTGCCGCTTCATTTCCTTCAATGCCTGAGTGTCCAGGCACCTAGCAGAGCGTAAGGTTTCTCCTACCCAATTCAGACACAGAAGCAAGACAGTCCCACACGAGCCTTGAGTTGAATATAGTTAACTATACATTCAAAGTCAATGTTTCTTACTTCCCACACATTTTAGGTTAGGTTTGCACTATCCACAATTTAAATTATCTATTATAACTCAGCCAATAATTACCATGGATAATCGGGAGTCTACTATATTAAGCGGTGAATGTCCACAAATAGATTTTTAAGTATTCTTGTACAGAACTCATGACAAACTTAACTACTATACATTTACACAACAATTAAAAATGTATAAAACTGTGAGACAGATACAGGATACATACCGATGAATGGCTACAGGCACAAGTGAGCCAAAAAATAACAGTGGGACACGGGTAGAAATGCTGGGGACATGCTGCACTATTGAATTGTAGAAAGTGTTACCATTAGTTAAACAAACATGTTAAAGCTGGTTAGCAGAACTTACCCTGGTGCTGATGGGAAGAGCCTTGATGCCTATCAGCAGCTCCACTGCATTTTGCCAAACCATTAGCACAGTGATAGCAGTGAGACACAGCAAACACAACATACACACAGGGTATACCACGTTACGCTGAAGTACCCACGTGTGGCGCTGCATGTCTACGTCAAACAACACACGCTCTTCATTTTTTCTCTCTAAAAAAGAGGAAAAGGGAGAAGGAAAGCAGAAGGTATTAGGAAACAGTAGGATATGGTAAAAGGTATTGTGGCTAAGAAGTTTTTTATGGTAGGTAGATCAACCATTATGACAGGGTAACGAGGAGAGGAGTTTGTCATGATAATCATTGAGATACAAGTAAATGTTTAGGAAACAACATTTTATATTTCACCTGTCACCATGTAACACACATCGTCGGTTATATAGGATGGTTGACAATTCATAGTTTAGAACAGGCACTGCAATGGTGAAGATCAAACAGTGATTAGAGTGACCCTATTTGCTATTTAGATTCCCAATGATAAATAAAACTAGATCCAAAACTAAAACTAAGATCATGCTAATGCTATTTTTAATAAGAGTTTCTACTGAATTAAAAATCAGTTGAATGGAGGATATTTACACACATAAGTTTAAATTACAACCAAGCCTTTTTTAAATTATTTAATCTCATTTTATGAGTGTAACATAGAGCACAAGAGCCTAGGTTTTTATGATTTTTGAGAGGATAGCAGGCTTAGCTGAATGGTAAAGAGTACAAACTGGTACAGGAAACACAAAACTTTACACTTTGTGTAGTGTAAAGTTTTGTGTTTTTCCTGTGTCAGTTTTGACTCTTTCCTATTCAGGTAAGCCTGCTATCCTCTCAAAAAATCCTAATCTCATTTGATAATAGTTAATGCTAGTCAATCTATTGCATACCAAGTTTTTTCCTTTGGTGAGTAAGTTCTTCTACTTTCTCAGTTAACCCTACCAACAAAGCACCATTGATTAGCCGCAACACTTTTTCTGGGGACTTAGAATTCATTGGTACGGGACTCAAGTAATTTCCAGTCTTTTTAGCTGTCTCCAACCTAAAAAATGTAAAAAGCAGTCATTAGTTTTTCACAAGAACACAATACATTCGTTGCGTATAATAAAAATTAAATCAACTTGACTCTGAGGTAACAGGACTTTTTGTCAGTCCTGTGAAACACCGGTTTAACCGTTCCCGGACAGGCGAAATCGTGACATAGAACGGGAAAAAATTATAGGAAAAAATTAAAAATTAATTTTCCTTATTTGTGTTTTGTTTTATAAGTATACATAAAATAAACACAATGGAACACTTCATACTGTTAAAATAATTTTTTACTCGTATTTAACTATGAGGATATCCGCTACCCGTCTTTGAAGATATGACCATGAAAATAAAGAACAATATGTAAACAATAAATAAAGACAACGTAGTGTTGAGCGCGAAACTTCGAGGGGGGAGCGTAGGAGAGGTGGGTAGTGCGCAGGAGAGGGGGTGACACGGGAGAGGGGCGAGTGTGGGAGAGAGCGCAGCCATGGAGAGAGCAGGAAAGTGGCGCCTTGGTACCGCGAAACATCTGATCAAGCACCTGCCAGTCTGTGTGAAGAGAAGGTGGATATATCCGCTTCCCATCCGGAACATCAAAAAACATAAGCGGATATATCCGCCACACATCATTTATCGCCAAAGACTTAGGCGGATATATCCGTCACCCGTCCGTGAAGGATTAACATTAGGACGGCCATTCAATGTTTGTCTACTTGAGTGTTAAGTTTATGCGTTTCCTGATGAGTGCTGGACAGTTTTACATGAGTGAAGCCCAAAAGTATTCTCAAGACAGAGAAAACCTGTGTATATATTTCACTTGAAAGTAGAATACTGTACTTTTCTTAGAATTGATTATGGTTGTAGTACAATACTAACTGAAAAAAATTTAAAAGTAAATTTAAAATAGCGCTAATGTTGTGAAAAGAACCATATACCTTAAATTTGAATGTCTGTTGTTGTTTATTATAATACTACAATCATTTACTCAGCTCTATAGGTCCTGGTTACTTCAAGAATCACCAGTAATTTGAGGAAGCACTAAAAATTTCACTTAGAGCGTATATGGCCTAGAACTGAATTAGAATTTGTGTGATTGCTGGCTTAATGTGTGTAATTTTGTAAGTTATTTTAAGTGTAGACTGTTTTGTAATATGTATATGCAGGTTGAGCATATGAAAGGGCCAAAATAAAGTATTTTTACGAAGGTAATTTAGCAGTTTAGTCATGATTTGGTATCTAACAGAAATCTACCATGGTAATTCACTAAAAATATATCTTTGTCAAAGTGATTGTGTCTACCTTGTTTTGTAGACATTTTCCTCCAAGCTTGCAATGTAGAACTCCTCGTGAAGATCTCTGAGAAATTGCGGTTTAACAAGAAGATTAGAAACAACACTAAACAGCCTTGCCAGACCCAGGGGAGTGCACACTGAAATCATACAAATGCATTTATTACATAATTGATTTATTGACTGATTCACATAGTTTTCCAGTGTTCTGCCATCATTAGACCATAGATGATTATACAGTTTATACAGTGTGGTAAATAGTTGTGGAACTATTGATTTATTCCTAAACCATTAGATTAGACCATCGATGTATAATACTCTCTACTGGATAGACGCTTTGTAGTGGGAAAACAGTCCATGCCCAAACTCAAACATCTTTATTTTTTACAGTTGTTACAAACTGCATAATAGCGTCAACAAAATTTCTCTTAAACAATATTTTCTTATTGATCAAATCTAAAAACTAAAGATCATTGTTTTCTTAAAAAGCCTTCAACACTGTAACAACACCGTGACAAAAGAAGACTCTTAACCCCTTTGCCAAATTTGTCCACACTATTTTCCATCTTCAGGGGAGCGGGCAGTGCATTGAGCAGTTGAATGGCATTGCAAAATAAATTATAAAAAAAAGAAGTTTTTTGTTTGGAATGTCTAAACCAGCTTCTCAAACCATAGGAGATAGGGTGAGACAGATTTTTAAAAAGGTCAAAATTTTTCTTAACAAATATAAGACAGTTTAAGATATAGATGGACGGAAAAGTAATAATTTTATAGTTAGCAAAAAGTGTTTTACAGGAAAATTTACGACGCTTCTTAAAAACAGGTCTGATAAGCGGATATATCCGCCACACGTCATTTATCGCCAAAGACTTAGACGGATATATCCGTCACCCGTCCGTACTTCCTTTGTGTATTTCTTTGTGTGTATTTCCTTTTGTGTCCGGCTTTCTTTTGTTGTTTAAAACTCTTTTAGAATTATTTAGGAATGTCCCCAAACTGCAACTAAATATGAAAGAAAAGGAAAAACCAGTCCGTAGTAAGCCACCACTAGAACTTTAGAGTCCAAAATGTTGCAAAATTTCTTATTAAGAATATATTATAACTCAATTTATTACAAACATAATCTATGTGAGGTTAGAATTTCAACTGGCTGTCGATGTGAACACCCAGGAACTTAGTTTCTGAACAGGACGGAATGAAATGATCGTTGTCTATGGAAATTGCCAAGGGTACAGTGTTTTCTTTGTTTCTGATATAAAACTCGATCATTTGAGTTTTGGCACTGTTTACAAACAAGTTATTGCAGCTAAACCAATGTAATATTGAGCTGATCTGACCAATCGCTTTCATCCTGAGGTCGCGCACGCATGCTGCAGACAACGACAATGAGGTGTCATTAGCAAACAAACATACCCTACCCTCAGAGTCAGGCACACAACTTGGCAGGTCATTAATAAAAAGGATGAATAAGACTGGACCAAGCACGGAGCCCTGAGGAACCCCTGCAGTGAGTGATTGCCAGGGGAGGTGAAAATGTAGACTTTGAACAGTTTGTCATCAATGAAAGGAATTTGAACTGCCTGAGTTCTGCCGGTCAGATAAGATTCTATCCAGGAGTGAGCCACACCACTTATCCCGAGTGAGCAAAGTTTGGCCAATAAGAAGCCGTGATCTACCGTATCGAAGGCTTTGCTAAGATCGAAGAAGATTCCAGATGTAGCCTTTCCTGAATCAAGGGATTGAGTCAAAGATGAGACTAGAAAGCGAATGGCATCGACTGTATGTCCTATTTTTTGTGAAGCCAAATTGATTTGGGGAAGGAATATTGTATTTATCAATAAAAGATATCAGCCTAGAAAGAAAAATCTTTTCAAATATCTTTGAAACAAGGGAAATAGGACGATCATTGTTTATATCAACCTTTTTACCCTTTTTGTGAAGGGGGCGAACAATTGCATGTTGTAGTTCAGTCGGAAACACCCCTTCATTGAACAAGGAATTGATGAGATGAGTGATCTTATCTTTATATGAAGAAAGGCAGTGGTTTTCTGAAACCGTTTTAGTACTAATTGCATGTTATAAACAAATCTTACAGCAAAGAAAAAAAAAAAAAAAAAAAATCTGACCCATTCCTTTACCTATACCATTGAACTTACACACATATTGACGATTACAAACTGCTAAACAATACATAACACAGGAAACTGTGGAGTTAACAGTGGTGGATTAATAAAATTAGTTGTATGAAACTTTTACAACTACTGTCCAGGTAGTACAAAGTCTGTATTAATGAGGTTCGGACCAAAGAGAGTTTGCTGCAGTTAGATTATGATACAACTTTAGTATGCATAACGCGGGCTTTCCTAGCTGCCGAATAAGGCTGTGTTTTATGGCCCCAACACTTAGCACAAGGGTCAGGTACAGCTGTTATCCAAGCTGCCAATTCAATATGTGCTATACCATGAAAACAATGGTCTTAGGACATTCATAATGCCGCAGCCATATTCAGCAGCTAAATTTGAAAGCTAGGAAAACCTTTATAGACAATAGACAATTTCTTTATTGACATATTCTTTGAGAATAGTACAAGCGTCAATGATTGGAAACAGTTACAATGGATAGTGGTTAGAATAGAATTAAAAGCTGAGTAATTATTGATTTAAAAAAAGTGCTACTATATGTTATGTGAACCTCTATGTAGCCAGCGCATTTCAACTCAATATGATGGAACTTAATGAATACCGATTGCAAATAACAGCAAATGATAGCAAATTTGTTGTTCAGTTCCTGCAGACTTGTAATGTCAAAATCTGCCTGCAGTGTACTACCTGACCAAAGGTGCAGCCCAAAATGAATACGTCCATTCTGTCAATTTCCAGGTGGGTTTCTTCCACTAACTCTGTCACATAAAGGTGAATTACAAAAGAACTAAATATGCAAGTGACAACTGAGATGGAATTTGAAACCCCTTGGTCAAAGAGACAACGTCTTGGATTGCTTGTTCATTAGACCTAGTGGCCGACTGAACTATTAATGTTGGTAAACCAAATAAGCGTAGGCCTAGTAGTTCTAGTGTATGTCTTGCAGTTAGCAAGAAGCACACATTAGGCAGTTTTCGGCTGTTTATAGCCATGCTAAATGCAGAACAAAAAGATGCTAGGATCAAAAGGACTTACATAATAGCATGAGTACTCCAAAGAACGATATGCACGAGTACAGAAACGGAAGATAGTAGCTGCCAAGATCTGGAACAATATTTCAGATTATTATACAGATTAGGATACCTAACTCAAAAGTTCAGCAATGGCCATTTTAGAAGTAGCCTTTTCTTAAAATTATGCTTCTTTGGGATAATGATGTTTACGTAAAAATATTTTGAGAGATCTTATGTTATTGCAGCTATTGTTACTCTCAAATATAAAGATGAATAAACACAAATAACAATTTGATCAAACTGAATTGGCTAAAAAAGCAGAACATTAAATATCTAAACCTGCATACAAAGCCAATTTACAGTTGCGTTATTGAATTTATCCAATGTTGACAAAGGAAATTAATCTACACCCATGCCTTACACTTACACTACGTATGAATAACATTGGACTCTATGAGAACTTTAAGTTTGTTGCTATGAGTAACACACAAATATGTTTTTTTTTTTGTTGAATCTTAAAAACCCTACCATGAAATGAGAATTTTACCAAATTATATGTAGACAGGGTGTTTATTTTCATAAACAAACAATGTTAGATAAGCCTGCACCCAAACAGAAGTTTACCCTAATTAATCTACTTTATCCTCTCCCCACTGAGACAAAATGGGAGAACATACTGGGTTTAGCCCTTTGAATATCTCAGTGAGTGTGATAGTTTTAGAATAGTAACGTAATGAACTGCACGTTTGAGCTGAATTAAATGGTAAAAAACTTTTGAAATGTTAAACAATTTCAAAAAAATTAACAGTTTACAACCCATTAAAATATATGTTGCTTATTTTATGAAGGCTTTTAGATACATACATATACAATTTTGTTGAGTGTAGTTTTTGGCTTCTGGGGACTCTTAAAAACAAAAGTTTGAGGTCCGGAACCTGGGTCTTACCATGATTTTTAAAGTTATAACTACTTCCCTATTGAAATTTGCTTTACCTAAAAAAAAAGATATACGTCTAATAACACTAGTAATAATATATTTACACTTATACTGTTGACTCACAAGACGGTAAATGCATATGAAAGATGGTAAGTGGTGTGGTGATCAATTTTGATTGGACACTCCAATCATCATCAGACCCAATAGGTGAATGTCAGAAGAATGTCAAGTAGACTTGACTTGACACTAAGAAAACTAACTACAAAGGATCGTTTTGACAGTATCAATATAATTTAAACCACTTTATAGTTCATTCAATTATGTTATTTTTGAAAAAAAAATTACTTCAACTGGTCCATATAGATGAAAAGTTTACTACAACTGGTCCATACAGATGAAAAGTTTACTGCAACTGGCCCGTATAGATGAAAGGTTTACTGCAACTGGTCCATAGATGAAAAGTTTACTACAACTGGTCCATATAGATGAAAAGTTTACTGTAACTGGTCCATACAGATGAAAAGTTTACTGCAACTGGCCCGTATAGATGAAAGGTTTACTGCAACTGGTCCATAGATGAAAAGTTTACTGCAAATAGTCTATATAGATGAAAAGTTTACTACAACTGGTCCATATAAATGAAAAGTTTACTGCAACTGGTCCATATAGATGAAAAGTTTCCTACAACTGGTACATATAGATGAAAAGTTTACTACAACTGGCCCGTATGGATGAAAAGTTTACAACAACTGGTGCATATAGATAAAAAGTTTACTTCAACTGGTCCATATATAGATAAACATTTACTACAACTACTGGTCCATAAAGATGAAAAGTTTACTTCAACTGGTCCATTCTTTGTTTGAAGTTCATTCAAATGTCCGCAATAAACCTTTGAAGAACTGGTCCATATAGATAAAAATTTACTACAACTGGTCCATCCATTTACTTCAGTATCTAAAGGTAAACCGATATAAACAATCGATACTCACTGAAAAAAGTTTGGATGTCAGCATTGTCTTTGTCAATGAGTGAGGCCACAACATAGGTGAGTCCCAGGACTATTGCCATCAACAGAGAGAGAACTGCACAAGTTTCATACAACCTTGACACCACACCCTGAAACATCAATACATTTACAACTTTTAGATCAAACAAGAACCACAGTAGAACCCCAACTAAACGGATAAATTGGGAGTATTGGGACTAAACTACACCCGGATATCAAAAATCCAGATGTGTTCTATCACAACAGTTAAACGTGATGCTGAAGTTTCTGACTTAAATCTGTAAACACTGCATGAAAATTCACCTTTAGCCTCATTGTTTTCCCAGTTTTAAAAAAAATTCAGAATTGTACATCAAAATTTCAGTTGTAAGATTCCTAAAGATATTAATTTTTTTAACAAGTCATCAACTGCCTGGATCACAGTTTTTATGTCGTATATCAACGTTTTACATTCACGCGTAACTGACAACATGATGTCCGACGCGCACTAAATAATCTCAATATTATATTATAATATAAGGTCATATAAGGCCTGGCTTACATGACAGAACAAGACAAACAAACAAGGAAGATGGATTTTCACATCCCAACAAGAATAAAAAACAGCTGACTTGCCCAGTATGGCATAAATCTTTGAGTAATTGAGACAATTCCTGAGAACTTCTAAATATAGGCTAAAGTTAAACTTTGAGTTATTGAAGCTTGTGAACGAGAAACTTTGAGTAGTAGAGGTTTAGTATTACAGATCATAAAACTTCAAAATTTGACTTATCAAGGTTTTAGTGGTTTACACAACGATTGCGTAAAGATAGTGTTAACGACACAAGTAGAAAATTTAAGTTTTTTTTTTTTAAAATTTCTAAGAGTGTCGTTAACACCATTTACGCGAGATGCATATACACTATTTACCTACGACAGTGTTTTAATTACTAAAAATCACTACTCATAACTTCCAAGAGAGGTTATGTTTTCGTTTATAACCTCTGATTGCCACTGACAGTGATGCAACAAAACATTGTACCAAACTCTAATTGCACCACTCAACAATTAAATTGGCCTGAACAGCTGATTAGTTGAAGTTCAAATCATTACAATTTCACTTCTTCTCTCGCAATCCTTGAACCTCATTGGTCCATTACCCGTGTTGTTACGTAAAACTATGCTGTTATGAAAGTAAACAATGCTGTTATGAGAAACTGTTCAATTCTAAGAACTGAACTGAAACGGCTACTTTAAAAAATGGTCGTCGGTAAAATATTTATAACCTTCGATTTATAAAGGTTTCTAGCATTGCCATTTACCTGACCATTTTCAAAGGGATTATCAAACCTTTGAGGTATCAAGTAATTCCAGATATCAAGGTTAGAGTTAACGAGGTTCTATTGTAGGCTAAGTATGTACTGGTAAGGCACTACAACCACCGATTGGAACGACAAAATGGACAATATGTTTTTCTATGGTCGGGACAGTCTTGCCGTGTGATATGACACAGTTAGCACACAATAAAATATTAAAATTTCCACTAACTGCAAAAAAATGTTCTGCACTAATTTATATATTGTTTCTCCTTAAGATGATCTGAATAGCCGGGGATCAGGATCATTTGAGTTAAACTGTACCGTACTCTATTTTAAATTTAAAGTTATGGTCCTAAATTAACTTTTGGTGTTAATCAGGGCAAATTAGGATTTTAAGAAATATAAATAATATAATAGACAATTGTGTAACCATGATACAACAATGTTAAAGCAATGGCAACCAAAGAGTTATTATAAACATTGTTGTGTAGCCATCTTTTGTAAAAAATAGCTGTGCTCTTTTGATTTGTAAAACGCAACATGTAAAAACTGTAGTTCTTTGAAAAGATTTAACAATGTAGGGGTAAAAACTTTCTGCTTTTTTAAAATTAGAATTATTTCTTATAGTGTAGTAGGAATAAAAATGCTTGGTAAGATAATTTTTTGGTCCTACTTGCCTCATATAATGGCAATAAAGTCAGACATATTTCAAACAAGTGCACTTTGTTTAATCCCGTTCATTCAATTGTTGAAAATAGTAAAAGAGTACAGCTACTAATCTCTTTATTTTATAGTTTTCTTGAAAGTATTGGCACATTTTCTACTCTACTTAGAATACAAGTAGAACTTTGTAGCATGTTTAATAAAAATTATAGGCAATATTTTTATTCCAGGTAAACCAAAGAGTTGTGGGTCTAAGTATGTACTGGTATGGCACTACAACCACTGATTGTAGGCTAAGTATCAACAGCCCTTTGAACAAAATTAAATAATCTAATTTTCAACAATTCAACATAAATACTGTTTTTTTTTAGAAAAAAGTTTATTTCTTTAAACCATATAATAAGTACTGAAGGTGGAATTTTCCGGTATGCACTCAAGTTTCATATGTGAAGCCTCACACAGGAACACCAAATTTCATCACTTTTGGTACAGGTTCTGAATGATACTTTTCATCATGATGTTACAGATTGTTAAACAGTAAAACAGCTGATTTCAATTACAGAAACAAAAGGTCAAGAGAGCAAGTGAAAATCAGCGGATCGTTTTACCTTGCTGTAAATTTGAGCTTGGGAAAAAATATTTTCATTTATATCAGATGTTATTGAAAATAGATACTGTACTGTAGATGAAAAGATTAACAGACCATTAGCATTCAATTCTGACAATGTATCCAAGTTAAAAACATATCTCATCTGTATTTTAGAGTTCCTGTACTTAGTTATACCGACTAAAATTGTTAACAGCAAAATTTATGGCTATATGTAATCCTAAAACTGTAAACGGAATTTGATGTTACCCTTCTGTTGCCTGTGAACCCTTCAGATTCAGTAAAGAGGTAGGCGAAAGGCAGAAGAATGAAGAGCGAGACATTGGAAAATAAAAAGACAAGGTTCCACAAACCTGAAAACCAAACATAAATTAGTTCTAAACAATAGCAAATCTTTTGGTAAAACTACAGTACTGGGAAAATAACTTACAATGAATTTTAAGAGAGGAATGTATTCAATGTACACTGTACTCATCTGGACAGTAAACTCTGTTGGGATGAACATGTAAACAACTTGTAAAAAAACTTGCTCGTGACACCTGTTTGTTGAGAAAACTGAAAACCTGTGTTAATTCTAATGTGCTTTTTATGGTTTATTTTGGATTTTTTCGTGTATCTTATTTATGGTAAAACATTATGGGGCAATTCACCTTCAGCAAAAAAGTGTTTGTTTGAAAAAAAAAACAATTAGAGTCATCTGTGGCCTGTCAAATGGTAATGAGTCATGCAGAACAGACTTTCCTGAACTTACTATACTTACTCAACCTTGTCTGTTTACTACAATCTTGTCTTTGTTAAAAAAAAAAAAAAAAAAAAACACCCATATTTTCAAAAACCTCTTCTGTTCATTCTCACTAGTATTAGACTTAATAAGTATTAAAAGAGCTATAGTTGCCATCACATTTGAATGTATAATAAACTGCCAACCAATGTAAAAATGTTACCACATAAGAAATTTACCAATGTTATTAGCAAGTGGCTAAAATAAAGGCATTTTATTTTATTTTCTATTAAAGAGGTTGGTGACCTCCTTTAACCTTGCATTTGCCCGTCCACATAAGACTATTTGCCTGTGCGTGGAACGTATCCAGCATAGCAAGAGTGAGCCGGTACAGTACGAAGGTTAACCGTACTGATAAAATGTTTGCAGCAGTGATCAGGATCCAAACCCACGACATCGCTGCCTTGGGTCCAAAGTCCGTGACGCAACCGACTGAGCCACCAACTCACCTAAAGACTCGCCTATTATACCACAGAAGAGTACCTGAGCTGTGACACTCGAGATATTATCTGTTGGTTTTTGTTAATACTTTGACGACACCTATTGTATATTGTATAATTAAAGATGAATAAATTCTTTATTCTTGAAGATTTGTTTTTTGGAAATGCTCGAAATAACAATCTAAATTAAAAATATTAGCTACTGCATTTATTTTTAGTTTTACCATAGATTGACCATTTATAGATTTTCTATACATAATAATCAAATTTGTCTTCACATGTTCCATTCTGTATAAGAGGATTTATTTCACAAATTTCTTATCTTCAGTTTGAAATAATATTATTGAACTTTGAAACTAAATTTCCGTTTAAGTTATTGTATCACATTTGAAAATAAAGTTGACATGACTCTAATATTGTAAAAAAATGTTAGGTTTTTGAATATAATTGGTTAGTTCGATAAAAAAAATATATATATATACAGTAGACTCCCTCTTATCCGGACTACTCGGGACCGAGACCAGTCCGGATAAAGATTTTTCCAGTTAAACCGACGTTCCCAAAGAGTCGTTAAAACGGACCGTTTAAATGCATACTGTATACAGTATTTGACTTAAATTTAGGAGAGCATTGAATTCAGACACGTGATTACTGGTCTAAAATCTTTCCCACAAGAACGGTCGTTTCAGTACCGCCCACTTCCTGCCGATCCACTCCGGTTAAACCGATGTGCTGATAAAAATTGTCTCGTTAAAGAGATGTAATTTCTGCCGAGTGTAGTCCAGTTAAACCGATGTCCGGTTAAAAGGTGTCCGGATAAGAGGGAGTCTACTGTATATTAAAAACACTTGACAGCCTTAATGGGCTTAGTTGTTTTCTTTGAATGGTATGACAAGTTTAATTTTTACCTGGAACTAGGTTATTTTAAGTTATTATTAATGTACGTACATTTATTCTAAATGAGGAAATATTTTATTAAAAGTTTGATTTTAAAAACCATTACAAAAAAAAGGACAAAGTACAATACTATCCATCGACTGAGCCTGTATCATTGTTTATCCAGCCAGCAGAGAATGAATTACTAGAGACATCTGGGAGAAGTAGCATACTCGTAGCCTTGTTGGCTCTAATCCATGACCCAAAGCCAAACATTTTTCTGTTTGATCTCATTAACAGATTGTGGGGATTATTAAACAAAATAAACCACCAATAATAAATTGCCTTAATATTATACCCTTGATGGCGACGTAAAGCTAACACTGAATAGTAAAGTTTGCAATTAGAATGCAAATTTTACCAGTAATTTAAAGAGAGGGATAAATTAACACATTCTTCAATATTGTATGTATGATAAAATTAAGATAAAAGCTTGTATTTATATTACCAAGTACCTCTTTCAAACTAGTATAATTCATCAGTAGGCCCTAAAGTGACAAGCTCAAGTTTAACATCCGAGGCAAAGTTGGGGTTGGAAAATAAGCGAGAGTCAAAAATACACGTTTGGTCTATGTGGAGAACTATATTTTGTCAACAAAATGTTGTACATTTATAAGTCAGCTCCTAAAATTGTTTAAGTCTTGTTTTGGAGCACAAACAACTGTTACTGATCCATTGAACTATTTTTTTATATTTTCTTAGTATGAAGGAAGTTAGATGCATCAGGTATTATTCCTCCAGAGCAGTAGGAAACTCAAGTTCAAATTATAAAATATCTGTACATTTAAATTAGTCAAAATGTTAATAAGGGGGTAGTTATTGTAGCCAGAGCGGTGAGCATTGTGCAGAAGTTTCTATATCTACAGGGTCTTCCAGCGTGAGCTTTGTAGTACATGACGGCGAGGGGGGAAATGAGTAAGGGGGTTTAGGAGTGTGACGGCCTGGCATATTTGCCTCATTTTGTTGTTATTTGTTAACTTTGAGCTTAAGCTAATTGGCCTAACTCCCTAAACCTGGCCCGTTGGCTATCTCCGAATATTTGCTAGGTTGATGTGTCAACCATATCTAGCAAATATTGTAGTTTATTTAACTTCATATAAGTCTCCAAGTGAACCTTAAAACTCATACTCCAATTCATTTTATTACTTTGTAGCCCTACAATAATCCTAACCAGACGTCGTGGCTTGGCCGGATATACCTTGGAATGCGCTGACTTTGCAGTGCTTGTGGATCTCGATAAGCAATGTTACATTTCTAGACTCGTTTCTCGCTTCAATTAGTTTCATTAGTGCCTGTTGTAATCAATTGGGCGCAGCACTAGTCGGACAGCCATTGTTACATTGAATCATGGGCTGAGCGCTCAGCGTGCGCTGATTGGCTGACGATGGTCATGTAACCACGCTGACGCTTCTGTACCGACAACGCCGAAGCCTCAGATTGCGCCGAGATGTAGGGTCCTAAGGTCGGGTCCGCGCCGGCGGTCTCACCCTTTCTTTCTCTTACTCCTTTCTTCTAAGTCCGTGTATGTTCTAAATTCAGTATTTTAAAATTCTTTAATATTTTGTCAGTCGCAATTACGCATTGTTAGTTGTTTTCTCTTGTATCATTGTAATTGGACGTAATTATGTAAAGTTTCATTATTTGATAATTAATAAATTAGCTGATCCCTATTCGTGAGTTAAATTGGTCTCTCCTGTTCCCAACTGGTACGAAGACTACAAGAGATGGTGTCGACCTGCGACAGGGGAAGCGAAGATGTTGGATTTTGCCCTATACATCAGCAACTAATGCTAGATAATCGTTAAGTAGACCATTTAACTACTAGTTTCACAATACTAGATCTAGTTTCCTCCGTACTATACTTCTCTGCGCATACTCAAACAAAATTCTTAAAGCAGATGATTTTGCAAGTTTGGTTGAGCTTTATGTGCTACAATTATTTTTAAAATTAAGGTAAAATTCAATTCATTTGTTCACGGCATATACTAGTTTACAAAATGATTCCATAATTTTTACACACATTTTTGCAATTAACAAGATGACAATAACATTGCAAGCTACAAGCAGGTATATAAAACAAACAACAACTTAATTATTAACAATTAATTACAGGACTAACACTCCAAAAAAACATATATGATAGACAATTTAATAAAAGTACTATAAAGGGCAACAAAAAAGAGAAAAACAAAACCATCCAAAAGACGGGCAAAGAGCCAAATTGAGACTGAAAAATACAATGAAACAAAAAAAAAACATTTCACGTTATTAAAACAAACAATGTGAAAAGCATTGGTAACAATAATAAAAACAGTGACATCTAAAATTTGAAAGTTATTACAAAAGAGAAAAAAAATCTCTGAAAAGCAATAACAGATATACAGAGTGACAATTAAGTCTTAGGACGACTTAATATCTTTAAAACGAAAAGAGATATCACATCCAAATATGGCATATCATTACCGGTACTAGTAAGCTTCTTTTTTGTATACATGGTGATCGGATGTCACCTATGGGGGACGGCCTATAGAGGGTAAGTTTACAATCTTAAAGGTAAGCATAGGTTGATGTGTAGATTAAATTAAAGGTGTTGTTAAACTAAAAACAATGCTGCAAACCAGGCCTCAAATGGACAACCGTGTCAAAAATGGTTGTGATATCTCTTTTCGTTTTAAAGATATAAAGTCGTCCTAATACTTAATTGTCACCCTGTATACTTAAAAGTAAAAGATATTTGTTGTATGCTATAATGGGTATGCTAAACTCCAATTACGTTTTAAATAGTGGTGTAAATCCAAACTAGTTTGGTCTTGTAATGTAGAGACATGGACTGACCTTGTACAAGGGAATGATTGAGCCACTTAACATAGTAGCTGGTTGGATAGTGCAGCAGAACCTCATTACTGGCTATGGAGAAAGGCAAGAGCATAGTTGCACACAAACATATAGAGAAGGAGAATGTTGCAAGCCACAAACTGAAACAAAACACATCACTGACACATTACAAACTGAAACAAACGTACAGGGTTAGTTTTAAATGAGTTCCCCCCAACTTTTTTCTACATTTCTTAAGATATTAACTCCGGACCTTGTCAGATCATTTTAGAGTAGAAAGTACTTAATTTTTACTAGGTATACATTTTTGGCCTCCATCTTGGGTCCGCCATATTGGATACAAAAAATTATTTTCAAATGTAAAGGTGGAGTTGTGACCCATTGTTTCAAATTAGATTTTTATGCTAAATACAATGCTGCAATCTGTTTTTCAAAATCTTCCATTACAAAGTTATTAGGAATTTCTGTATAAATTTTATTGGCCGAAAGAAAATTAATAATTTGTTAAAATGAAGTCAATTTGACCTTACAATAATCAGAGTCTTAACTCTTAATCTTTGTTTTTTTCTAGCAAATATAGGAGATTGGGGGCGAATTCTAACATTGTGTCATATAAAAATGTATACGAAAATTATTTTTGAATATTCCTACAGTGTTAGCAAAACGGGAGTGCCGATGGAGACCAGGTCAAGTCCCTTCAAAAGCACGCACCCCCACAGGTCTCCATCGGCACTCCCGCTTTGCTATCACTATAAACCTTTTAACGGATTAAGATTATGAAAAACAGATTGTAGCATCGTATTCAGCGTAAAAATGTGGTTTAAAACAATTGATCAACAACCCCACCTTTACATTTTAAAATAATTTTTTGTATCCAATATGGCGGATCCAAGATGGCGGCTGAAAATGTCCAATTCGTCAAAAAGAAGCAAATATGACCCGAAAATGTTGAGTGGTAGATTTCTTTCCTTTTCTAGCAAATTATTGAGACTAGGGGCACATTAACATTAGGTTATAAACGAAATGGTTCAAAAATAAATTTTTGAAAATTCGTTATAACTTTTCAACGGATCAATATTTTGAAAAACGGATTAAGGCATTGTACTCAGCATAAAATTCTAGTTTGAAATGACGAGTCACAGCCTTACCTTTACATTAAAAAACTTTGTATCCATTATGGCGGATCCAAGATAGCAGCCAAAAATGTATACCCAGTCAAAATGAAGTACTTACTAGTCTACAATGATCTGACGTGGTGCGAAGTTGATATCTTAAGAAATATAGAAAAAATTAGGGGGTGAGCTCATTTAAAACTCACCCTGTATAACAGACTTATGTACAATCTTACACAGTTCACATTTTCAAATTCTTAACATAAAACATTATTTAATAAAACACACCAACATTGAATTAGTCAATTTGGTAGAAGTTAGTTGTAGGCCTACAATAATTTATCTCAAACCTTTAACTAGATACCGGCATTCTCTGAGTTAGTATAAAAAACCCCATATGATCAATTATGATCAAAAACAGATGTGATTTTCTTTTTAAAACATTCCGATGTAGTAGGAGTAAACATCAACAGAAGAAATACGAGGCACGTTTTTATTTAAGTACTGTTTTTGAATTTCTCCGTTCCAGTGCTGCGATTGGCATTTTTGACATTTTTGCTGTGAATGGGTATCTATTGGTAAGCCCTAGCCGGAAATTCAAGAACAATCGGCCGTGTTCACATCCGGTTTCGAGCATTTAAAGTGGTACCGCCAATTGAGACTGCCGCCGACTGTGAAGTGCACGCTGTAATTAGATTTTTAAGTGCTAAAGGTGTGAAAGCCATGGAAAATCATTGACAGATTAGTGAAGTGTATGGCGAGAACACTATGAGTGACATAATGGTACGCAAGTGGGTAAGGGCATTTAAATACAGCCCCACCAACGTTCATGATGAGTAACACACTGGGCGGCGTCATTACTGTCCCCGTACCCAGTGCGTTGTTCATCATGAACGTTGGTGGGGCCGTCTTTAAATGTCCTTACCTACTTGCATACCATTTCGTCAGTCATAATGATCTCGCTATACATTTCACTAATCTGTCGATGATTTTCAATGGCTTTCACACCTTTAGCCCTTAAAAAGCTAATTACAGCGTCCACTTTTAACAGTCGGCGGCAGTCTTAATTGGCGGCACCATTTTGAATGCTCATAACCGGATGTAAACATGGCCGATTGTTCTCGAATTGCCGGCTAGGGCTTACCAATAGATGCCCATTCACAGCGCAAATGTCGAAAATGCCAATCGCAGCGCTGGAACGGAGAAATTTAAAAACGGTACTTACTTAAAAACATGCCTCGTATTTATGAAAATAAACAATGGAAAGATTGTAATAAAATAATAAGTATAATGATGCTAATTAGTCAATTCCTTTAACATTATAAGTGAACCATTATAAATCAATTAATAAAATTAAAAATCATTTGAGGCATCCAATAACAGTAATATTTAGACCTTTCTGAATCATTGGTTGAACAGTACTCCAATCACCTTACTATTAAAATTATATTGGAGGAAACAAGCCACTGAAAGTTGTCATTAGGCCATCAGCCAAGGCTAGTAGCCAAAGAGAATATTCCAATCAGAATAAGAATATCAGAACTACTGTCTATTGGACTGCTGCAAGAAGAAAAAACTAGTTCTACAGCAGGAAATGTTGTCCATTCCTGTCTTATGAGCAAACTTGACAAATGAATAACTTTGTGATATTCTATAACACTTGGATAGACAGACAGTGTCATGATGCACTCGTAAAACGTTCTCACTACTACCAAATGCAGGGAAACAAATTATGGCTTTGGAGGTCTTGTGATGGCAGGAATACTACGGGGATATTTGTTTTAATAGCATACATTAAAGTTTGCATCTCTGTCAAATCACTGATATAGGATTACCTATCCTTACACGTGTGTTGTCATACAATAACTGATATGGACATGACGGTCACATTTCAGGATGGAGATATAAAACTAGAGCACTTACTAGGGTACCGTTCATTTTAAATTTAGTTTTGTTCAATTGCACGGGTAGTTGTACATTTCAATATTAAATTACATAATATAGTCTAATATAAGAAATAAAAATTGCGTCACAATCTGGAAGGTAAAAAGCTGTTTGAGGAACTTTGTACAATCAGCTTGTGCAATCTTAGCACTTGGATGCTGTGATTATTGGAATAAAAATGTGTGGGGAGGGTTCTAGAGTAACTCTCTGTCCACATAGTAGGCAGGTATGACTGCTGATACTCATTCAGTAAGCCTTATGGCACACAGAGAAATATTCTGCAGGTTTCTCCTCAAAAGTTAAAGAAATTTACTCACCAATAGGCCTACACTCATCATAAGCGAATTTCCATTTGTTTGAATTGATTTTGAATCAAATCTATTTAAATAGCATTATGTTTAACGAGTACCTAGGTTTGCTGCTACAAGGAAACTAATAAAGTGTGCTTTTTTTATTAAAATATTATTAGCTTAGTATAAAATAAATAAATTGGCCAAGTTTGATCAAAATTTATCCATAAACAAGCAAATGACGACATTTTACAATATTCTCCATAAGAATAACATAGAAATTTTAAATTTACAATTTTTTGCATTTTCCAGTAATTGTACCAAACACTTTGACATAGGTACTAAATTATTTCTTTTTTCAAGGTTTAGAGAGAAATTGAGAAATTTTGTGTTTTGAGGGTCAAAAATGAGATAAACCATTTTTTACCTCATAGACCCCCCCCCCTTGTTAAACCCCATTTCCATGGTCCGATCATGCTGGTTCGCGAACTCATTTAAGTTTATCCCGCCTTACACATTTAAACCAAATTTTATCAAAATCGGACAAAAAGTACTCAAAGTTATTCGTGTCCACGGACGTATATACACATATATAAAAATTTGAACAAATGATGTTTTTGGCCTCTGGGGACATCAAAATGAAAAAGTTAATCGCTCCTGGGCCTAGGTCTTACCGTGCCACCTACGGTAATAGCTACTTCCCTATAGGGAAATTCGATAAAATGAAAATAATTTAAGGCTTGTGGTTTGCCCATAGTTGCCTCTATTCAAATAGATATAAAGCTTGATATGAACACTAAATAAAATACCAACCTTATCCTATGAACAGTATAGTCATCTTCATCAATAGGAAAGAAATCATCATGATGTTTTTCCCTGAATTTGTTAATTATAAAGTAGCTTAAGGCGTAGAGAGCAATGAACAACAGCAGGAATATCTGAAAAATAAAAGAGGAAATAACACTACTGCTATACTTTGGCTCTAAACCATTTATAACTCAACATAGAGTTGTAGTTCTAATGGTTAGAGAGCAGGACTTCGGTCCAGGGTTCAAATCCCTCCAAATCACCAATGGATTTTATGTTATAGGTGATAGCGCCGCAACCCCTAGGTCTAGCCTGAAGTAATGTGCAAAACAATTATGGACTCTGTGCCTAGCGTCCTAGGGGAAAAAATGTTAATATTATAAATAAATAAATGGCTGTTTTTTATCAAGCTGTTTTTCAGTTTATAAACCTATTATCTACAATTTAGGTATATTATTACCTTACTTCACCTTATCCTAAAGCAACTTAAGTCAACCAACAGAAAATTAAATTTATATACTTCCTCATTTAAACATAAAATATGTATTTCTAGACTATGCCATAGTTTTATCACATAAACCACCGCCGAAGAAAACCTGCAGAAGAAGCAAATTTCCATTTACCTGGCTAGATTTCCACTAAAATATTCCCGTTATTGCTAGATTTATTTCTGATTTGAATTACATTATTCAGATTTATTTCCTAGCTAAACAACATTAATTTTAGTGAGTAGGCTACTTATGTTTGCTGCTACTGGGAAGGAATTAAGGTGTGTTTCTATTGAAATGTTGATAGCTGAGTATGAAATAAACAAAATTGCCAAATTTGATTTAAATATATCCATAAACAAGCCAACTACAACACTTTATTTATTCTACATAAGAATAACAAGGGAGTTTCATGCACTTTTTTGAAATTCCTCCATAACCATTAGGCATACAATCACGCTTCAATATACGAGGCCTAAATTATTTACATTTTTAAGGTCTACGATATGGATAGAAATAAATTGAGAAATTTGATCTTTTTAGGGTTAAAATGGGGAAAAGATTCTACCGCATAAACCCCCGTTCCTATAGTCTGATCATGGTGGTTCACAAACTCGTTTGAATAAACGTAGGTTTACACGTCTGGATCATGGGATCATTTTTGCTCTAATTATCGCGCTTTAATTACTATAACAAGTAAATGTGATGATGATATTTCGGGTGTGGTCATATTAGACGAGGGTTGTGAAAGACGACTTCAGGAATGTTTACCTAATTGGTAACCTTCGTGGGCTTGGAGCTTCATTGACCCATGAACCCAAGCATTATGTAACACAGAATTTCATTGAAAGGATGAAATTATCTTTTTAGAAGAAATATTCTAAAAGTTGTTCACCCAAAATAGAGACTGTGCAAATAGTGAATATGATTTCAATACAATAAATTAACATATAGACAACATTTTACTGAAATTTAAATTTATACGAGATTTTTTTAAATAAAAAACAGATATGTTAATTAGATAAAAAAAAGGTTCATGTCTTTTTTGATTGCTTAACTGAAACCTTTTTATCAATATCTCTTTAAAATATAATTTTGAACCTGACTAAACCAGCTACATGTTTAGGCATACAGACTAGTGCTAGTCCAGTGACATGAGGTAATCTGGTTATGAAAACATTTAGGCCTAATCAAGTCCAGGATACCAGGTAATCAGTAGTAAGCAGTGTGATAACTATTGACAAGATAACATTTGACCATGAGACCAAGCATTCCACAAGCATGATAGTTATGTTCTTTGTTCATTTGCATACCTGTTAGAATACAGGCAATAATATCAATGATATCAATCAAAATATGAAACTGCGGGCAGAAGACTAGTTTTTACTTTTAGGCTTTTATATGGCAGTGACATTATGGCAGTGATATGTTCCTCAAGGCTACCGAGTATTATATCTAAGTTTTCTTTATTCATATCTTTGACATTATTCAAACCAAATGAAATTACAATTGCCTATATTATAAACAAATCGAAGACAAACAATTGATAAAGCAGCTTAAATTAAACAGAGAAAGGCTTTGTTTTACCTAGACCATTTTATAAATTTAGAAACATCTTAAATCTAAAAATTAAGTCAACAATCAACATTCCCCACTATTTATAGTATGTATACAAATTATTAGGAATGAATGATCTTAAAACTTTTTAGATAATAAAAAATACTCTGAAGTATGATTTATAAAATCTGAGTAGGTACAGAAACAAAAATCTATGACCGAAAATGACTTCAATTGTATTGAAGTAAAGTATCCTATTTAGTCAAACATTCATTAACACAAAACTATAAAAAAAATTGCCTCTGATGCTGAAATGGATTTGATCTAACTACATCGGGCAGTTTCCTGTGATATTTTGCCATACTGACAATATCTTTAGTAGATTTAGATTATTTGTATTGGGAACAAAGATAATTGTCAGGATTAGTGTTATATTAGTTAGTTGTTATATAATACTGACTCGTGCCAGTAAATAGTTTCTTTAAGTTTAAAGTGGGCACTGTTTTTAATTTGTTATTGAGTTATTTCATTTATAAATTTTGTTAAATACAAATAGTAGCTAGTAACAAACTGCATTTCTATTTTTAATTTGTATATACTGAACAAGGCTACAACATACAATTGTTTGATCTGACAAGTTAGGATAACTTTGCTTCTACATAAGATGAAATGTGGCTGAAAGCCAACTATTTGTATACAATTGACCTACTAACTCTCTTGTCTGGGGCCTCTTGTTATCTGGATGGACAGAAAATGTGTAATGTTTTCAAGATTATTCAGAAAATTCAAATTTCTGAAATAAATTAGCCAATTGGAGATCTTGATCATTTTACAATGGTTTGCATAATATTTTTTGGTGTTTTCTTTTGTTTTCATAGGGTCTATATGTTAATTAATAGATTCTGGTTTTTCCATAACAAATAAATAGAAACAAGTGCAGCATAAAAGCAAACAAGTAAATATGATAACATTATATTCAGAAAAACTTTTATAACACGTTACTAATTAATTATGTCATCTTAAAAATTGACAATAAATTAAAATATAAATGTCAGAAGGTCAAAACTGTAATATCCCAACTAAAAGAAAACTTGCCAAACATTGTCCAATAAATTATAATATTAACAACAAGTTGTCTTTTTAACAGTTGAAAGTTTGTCTCAATGCTGACAGTTGTTGCAACAAAACAGAGATGAACCATCAAATCATTAAATTGCCTGAGTTGTTCGGTTTAATCGATTTAGAAAATATGTGGATTCAATATGTAGTAGTTTCACTATTTGTTACACACTGTTTGTCATAGTAAATGGTTGATTTGTTTTTTACACGTCACATTTAAATTCCTAATATTACCAAGGATTAGTCTCTTATATTACATTTATTTATTTTATTATATTTATTTACAACATCACAATACATTAAATAAAATTGGCAGGTGAATAGTCAAATAAAATAAGTACTAATATATCTAGATGTCTTAAACTAAAGAACATTTTTTGAATTCACTATAAGATATCGTAAATTAGTGATGCAATTATCAGCCTGACGTATGTATGGTTCAAAAGATGAATTGATAGAAGAGTGGCAGTGGCACACTTTGACCAACACAAGCAAACCTCACTTAGTTGTCAATGACCTAATGCCACAATTGTGACTCATCAGTAATCTCTAACACTTTTTAGTGCTAAGATTTCTTTAGCCTACCTCAAATAAGTGGTACAAAATACTTATGAATTAAATATATGTAAATAATGTTCACCATCATGTATAAAATGATTTCCCTAAACTCATAAAATGATTAAAAATAAAATGTATCGATGCAAATACTTGGTTGGTAAAACCACAGACTACAGACCAAATACAGTACTGTAATAGTTGTCCATAGTCTGTGGTAAACATAGCGATGGCTGTAAATAGTATGTTTGATATAACCACAAACAAAAAAATAGTTAGAAAAACTTTCTTCTATTACAATTTTAAAACAGTTGCCATCAAACTTTTTTATCCCTTAATCAAATCAAAACTGTTGCATGTGTTTAATAATGAAAATGCAATTTATAAAACTTGAATTAATTTCCTTTAGAATGTGAAGTGAGTTTATGTATTTTAATTCCCACGACTTTTAATAATTAAAAAATACACCCACCTCAGCAAACCTGCAGACTTAACGAATTTCAATTCGTCTGATTGGATTTTTACGCGAATATTTCCATAAACAAGACATATTTATTATTAAAATTAACAATTTAATATACCTGTCCAGTGACCACTCACCAAGGTCATGAACAGTAATGTGATATTTTTGTAAACACCCAAACTAATTTTAGTTCCTGGTGGCTAATCTTGTAACTTCTACACTAAAAATAGTCCCTGGATCTGAATCAATGAAATTGAGTTATTTAATCTACGGGAGCTTCATTGAAAACTAGAGATATTAAAAATAAATCTAAGCAGTACACAAAATAAAACCAAATCTTAAGATTGGTTATGCAGAGAATATTAAGGTTGTAAAAAACATTAGTACCTCACCTACTTTTGCAAGCAAAATGGGCCTTCAGGTCTGTGCGTTGGAATACATATAAAGTATAGTGAGAAGTTGATCATCTTATGTTCTTATAAGCCCATTTTTTTACATACTCAGGGTGGGAAATTGCCTACGGGCCAACACGGTTTGGGGGAGCAAAGGGGACATGAAATGCAAATATTGGTAAACAATTTTACATGCACGGTATGCAGCGAGCACAGCAGTAACTACAGGTGTCAGAGCATTCTGTACATTGTGTGAGAAGTGGGTCGTAAAATTGTCTCTACTGCAATCAAACCATATGATGAGAGTGGGGAGAGGGGGGAGAATTGGAGAACACTGACTATATACATTACAGATGTAAGGCCAGATGAATAAAGTAAGCAGCACAGAAAGAATGGGACAGGTACTGTACTTTTATTAATTATTCTTCAAAGATAAAGATGTCTGAAGAAGTTACATGCTTTTTGAATGCTCTGGAGAGGAGATGGAAAAGAGAAGAGAGACAGACAAGAAGTATGACTCATAGACACATTGAGTGGTCAAGCAGGCATAACAGTGCAGAAATGAGGTCACAGACCCTGCCTCAGGCTGTCACACAAATGTCATTACCATCTACCTCAGGAATGTAATGTGGGGGAACAAGGATTTGTTGAACATATTTACGGTATATTTCAACTTTATGAGGAATCTGTTATTTTTGTTAGTTTTGTTTGAATTCAAAATGGAATTAGAAGGCAAAACCCGTACTTAAAAATTCTGTGTTTAAGAGACCGCCATACTCTTTCCTAATTAATGTCACAATTTTTTATACAGAAACATGCTTATGGTTTCATTTATCACTAATAATACATTTAAGTACTAAAGTTTATATGTAGGCTAACATAGAGAAGAATGACTATTTACATTTCAACAAGCCTTTAACTAGGTTAAGACTATACAACAATTCAAATTCATGTTTAAAGGTTATCTTTGAGCATACTAGGCCCTACTCTTTCTTTTATTCAACTGTCATTGCTTGGGCTGGTTGAGAGCGGTCATGGTTCAGAACCTGTGGACAATACAGCAGGATGGGAGTTGGCTGAGCTTCTGTCTCTGATTACCAGATAACAGTCAAGCCTTTTGGGTTCAAGTAAAACATGGAAATAGACAATACAAAATATATAGGGTGTCCCACAAAGAGGTTTAAAAACGTTTGATTTTATATTAGTCTACTTGCCCATTTATGCCCAAAACATTTTGAATTTTTACACAATTTATAAAATAGGCCTGGGTTTTTAAAATATGCTGGGAAAATTTCAGCTCCCTAACCCTTGCAGGAACAAAATGGTGGCATAATATTGAAAAAAGATGTTAAACAGATTAAAAAATTGTGTTTTTGGTTTTATAAAATATTCTTACTATCACATTCTAGGGAAATAAGGCTTTTTTAAATCAGTAAACTAGAACATAGCCTAATAAAAAACCTAATAGTAGGCTAGAGTCCAAAATTATTCAAACTGTAATCCATTCACAGCGACACACTATGTTTGTATGTATGTACATGATATCTTCTTTTCCCTAATTTAATTTAGAATAAAATGTTTATAACAGTTTTTTATTTAGTGACTGTTAGTCTTTTACCTCATGTCTGGTTACTCAGAAACAGCAAAATTTGTCCATCTTCTGGATTTGAACCCATAACTTATAGGAATTCAGTCTTGCAAGGTAAGGGTATTGTACTACATATTTAAAGATAGGCCTCGCCTATTTTGTGTTTAAATAGAAAATATAGCCTATATGTTTGGACCTATAGCCTATATGTGACACATGTCTTCAGTGAAAGTTTTTATAAATATTTAAACATAAAACTCGACAAAGTGCCTTTAAATAGGCTACTCGATACATTTGGAGGTTATCAATGTGACACCTATCTTAGAGGGTTAATTGCCAATTTTTTTTTGTCTCACATTCCAGTGTAAAACATAAAAGCAGGCCCGTTTTTGACAATGTCAGCGCCCTAGGTGGGCCTACAACTATACTCTGCGCGCGATAACTTTTCACTTGGGACGTGCACAACTTGGCAACGCTGCAGGGCTCGCTACCCCATCCTATACCTGTCACATATCGAGCCAAAGCGACAAGAAGCGGGCGCTCGCCTCGGCGGTGCGACGTTGCCGATACAAAATTCAAATGGAACACCAAAAAACCCAAGTGCAAAGTTATCGCGCGCAGACTATAATAGTAGCGCCCCTTTGCAATATAGGCTATATAAAAGGGTGACCACTAACCGAGTAATCCGGGAATTGTGCATGGGTTTTTTAAAACCGGGAATTGTGCATGAATGTTGTATTTCAACCTGAAATTGTCAATTTACTGCGATTGTGCATGACAACAGTGGCCTTTACGTGACCGCAGGAGACGAGAATATGTCTACACATGGCCGAGAGGGATGATCAGGACTTTGCCACAATCGCATAAGACGATGATAATTTCTAGACAACTGCGGGTAACAGTCAGAATTTTGCCACGACCGCGGAAGACGATGATGATCTTCACACGACTGCGGTACCTATATGATTAACATTTTGCCACAATCGCAGGAAGCGAAAACTCACGTCTTCACAACCGGAGGAGACGATTACGATCTCTTCATTACCGAAGGAGATACATAATGATATCAGCCGTGAGGGATGATCAGAATTTTACCGTGATCGCGCAAGGCGATGTTCCACACAACTGAGGGAAAAGATCAGAATTTTGCCACAATCGCGGTAGACGATGATTAGGATGTCATGAGAAATATTTAGAATTTGGCCAGGAGACGATAATGATGTCAACACGGCCGCGAGGGATTATCAGTGGTTTAACTTACCACGATCGCATGCAAATACAATCACCAAATTAGGTAATTCTGAGCAATTACTTGGTCAACCCCAATTTTTTTCATACTTTACTACGGTCATCAGGATGTTCTTCGAAAACAAGAAACATATAATTTAAGCCCCGCAAGGCCATCGTACAGGTTGCAAAGCGATAAGAACTTTCAAATTCCAAGCGATAACAGTGGTTTGCGAGAGACACGCGGAAGGCCAGTTGTGACAGTACCGTTATGGCTATGGCTAGTGGTTCCTCCGATAATCCTTTTTTATTGGACGGGTGAAACACGTTACTTAGTTTCACGGTTTTAAGTGAAGATCAGGACCACGATCGCATGCAAATACAATCACCAAATTATTTTATTATTTTCCAATTTTTGGCGCCCTCCAAAAAAGCCAATTGCCTCGCGCCCTAGGCACGTGCCTACCATGCATATTCGGTAAATCGGCCCTGCATTTAAGGATTAGCTGACACCAGAAACTAGGTCTACTCCAATACTGTCCAAACCGACAGCCGATGGCCTACCTGCATCGTCTCCACTTGACTTGTCCAAACCGCTACAGTTAGTAGGTTAGTAGGTATGATACATATATATATATATATATATATAAGTGTAGGATTTAACATAAAATTGTTTCCCCTTTAAGTGAAAATGTTGACAACATCAGAGCAATTGGGTCTGCGCCTAACCAAGGGATGGATCTTTAGTTGGAAATGTTGTCTCAGTTGAAAGGTTGTTTCAACTTAATTAGGACTAGGGGGTTAATTCGTTATGATAGCATAAGTTTAAACATCAAATATTAGTAGGCCTAGGGTAATTCGTTCAAGCAAGTGCCAGTACAAGAGTCATTTATTCATCCCAACGATGTCTCCATTTAATACAGTTTGGTACTTAAGTACCAGTCATCAAGGTAGTGTAGAAAAGTGTGGAGGAAGCATAAGTTAAGACAATAAAGAATGAATAGGTTAGGTTGAAGGTACTCACAATGTACTCTCTAACAGTGTTGTGGAACATCTGCTCCCTTAAGTCAGGTTCTAGATCTTCTTCTTCCATGATTACCTTTGTTCAACTTCAATATTATATTTCACCACTAAAAAAGTCATGTCACCAAGTAGATATAGTAAGATCACAAAATATGAACTCATGTTTATCACAGATACAAAATGTCCATTATAATGCCCAAACACAATTTTGGCCAACCTTCTGTTGGATCTGATAGGAAATTAATTCACTCCCTACACTAAACATGAGTTTACACATATCATGAATGTATGTTTCATACATTCAGAACAAACATTTTACCCTATCTTAGTCCAACCACAAAACCTCAATGAGTTAGGCTATGTTACCTAGGTTACGTTTACATCAGTCTGTGCCATAACAAATTAGTTTTGGATAATTAATTAAAAGGTTGATATGTTTAAAAATATAAGATAAAATTAACTAAAAAAAATAATTTGAATTCACCACTACTCCAGTTCGCGAACTAAAATGAAAAACAAAAATAAAATAATTTAGGTCTCATATTATTATTCTTCGTCTCTTGCTTGACGCGAAGACTGCTGAGAAGACAACAATAAACGAACAGAACAGTCAACTAAATGACATCTGACATCAGGTCCACAACAGCGACAGTGCAGTACAGCAGACAATACAGACGAAAAGAAACCAGTATTCAACGGATCATTGAGCACATACGTATTTTTATATGATATAAAAATATATTTATATGTTATAAAATATATACATATATTTTTATTTTATCTGTGATTTTTATCTACAATGTCAATTATCCAACACTAAAAACTGTTATTGATGGCTAGCTTGTCTGTATTATGTATTTAGGTATGAATACTGTAATAATTTTATCTTGCCTGTAAACCTTATATTGATGTAATTCGCATGCATTTATATTGTTTGTTACTTAGCTTGTTCTACTAATTGACAAGATCTAATGAAATGAAATGGTTTATTTGCTGTTTACCAATAACATGAAATAGGCCTTATCATACAGTTAATCATTCGTTACCTTTGACTACCTAAGTTTTATTTTTCACACCAATTGTTAAGTCTTCTTCTAATTTTTAAATTGGTTTTGATCTGCTTATTTATTATTGTTTGCTTATAAGACTGACTTGTATGTACCGGTACCATAAATTGTACGTATTGTAAAAACTGTGTTTACCGTAGAAAATAAATAAATGGAATGAAATGAAAATGCAATCAATGGATGAAATGAGGTCAAGAACCCAGACAGCAAACTTTATCCCAGGGACATCGCATAGTAATCCCATATGTCCTGAGAATTTCTCGGGATATGTACGCTAGCCTCAGGATATCCCGCAAAATCCCAGGACGAGTACGATATCCACAGGATATCCTACACTGTAATGTCCCGGGATTTGTAAGTTAACCTCAGGATATCCTGTAAAGTCCCGGGATATGTACGAATGCCATAGGATATCCCAGAATGTCCCATGACATCCCGGGACATGTACAAAATCCACTGGATATCCTGTAATGTCCCGTAATGTCCCGGTAACAAACTGAAGATAAAACTACTACCACTTATAAAATGTATATCTAAATTTAAATGTTCAACAAGGCCAAGGCCAGTATATAATAATTTGTTTTATTCACTACCATTTTCAGAAACTAGGTTTCCATCTTCAGGCTGTGTTTACACTAGTACAAAAAGTAAATATTTACTTAATAAATTAATTTTAAACAAAGTTAAAACAGATTATTTAAAGGATATTGGAAAAATAAAAATAATATTAGAAAAATTTATCTTTTGGATATATTACAGTGTTGTCAAGGGCTGACTTTACTTTACTGACATATTACTACCACTGAGTTCAGGAAAACTAAAATTCTATCATAGTTGTGTGAAACGTGTATTTAATTCTAACTTTAAATTAATAAAATAATCTAAAACAAATTTTAACCATATAACGATCAGTTATAACAGTGCTAATATAATGGTAATTAAATAATCTATTCAAATACCAGTATCCTCTCCAACTACCAGAAAAGCAATTCGACTACTTGAGGCCTAAACAGAATCATATTTAATCAATTTACTCAACTGATAATTAAGCTTTTCATACTAAATCTATATTATTATGTGTTTTTTATGTTCAGGCCCAGACCACACTTTGTTCCAGGGACATCCCATAGTAGTCCCATATGTCCTGAGAATGTCCTGAGAATGTCCTGAGGACTGCCCTGGGATGACCTCGGATGTCCCACAGATATGCTGTGAGCTTATCCGTAGGACATCCCTGGGAGGGGACATTACGCATTCCTGCGGATATCCTGGGATATCCCAGGTTGACCATAGGACTACTATGGGATATCTTGCATATCCTGTCGCAATATCCGTGGGATGTCCTGAGGAGAAAGTGTGCTGTCTGGGAACATAAGTCCAAGGCTGCTCAAGTCAAGGCTGAACGAGTGGTTGCTGAATCACCCTTTATACAGCATCAACGCATCGAGTGGAGGAAACAGCTGAAATTGAAGAGCTCTTTTCCAAAAGGAGCTAAGTCAAAATTAAGTAAATTTTTCAGGAAATGATTTTTTAGTTGTTGGCAATATTTATAGCAATATTGTTTAAGTAGGACTGGAAGTTAAAATTCATTATGTTTAAGATATTTTGTTGTATACTTCATTAAGAGTTACTATGAATAACTTTTTTTTTTTTTATAAAAAAGTAGGATTTTTCCAATAAGTGCTTGATCAATGACTTAGAGCTTTTTGGAAAGAATTTTATGTATTGATTGTTGATAATAATGAAACACTGTCATACAAAAGTTAAGTTGGTAAGTTAGGATGTACAATAAAACACTAAAATTTTTTATATGCAAACCATTATTATTTAATGTAAAATAATAATATTTCAACTATATAAAATGAAAGTAAACTTATTACCCTAAATGAATATACATAGTTATAAAAGAAAGTATACATAAATAAATATTTTAATTTTGTTACAGTTATAGTTGTTATTGTTAGTAGTTATTGTTATAGTTGTGAAAATCAGAGTTATTTGGAAAATTTGATAAATGTTGTCTTATATACAAAATCAAACTATATATGTATATACTGGGAAAAGTAAGAATTTTATGATTTTTTAAAATACTCTTTACAGGATTTTTTTCCTTTAAGTCCAAAAATAATTCTCTTTTGCATTTTATTTTTTTAACATCCACTAGTAACCTAGGTTAGAGCTATTCTGTGGTTAATCATCAGTTATGTGTCAACCCTTGTACTGTGCACAATCTTTAACCACAATTTTCTAGACGAGCGACAAGCACCAAGAACAAGCCTGACACCTATATGTGTACAGAAAACCTGAACAGTAGTTTTAGTATTTTAAATGCATGAAAATATGTGTTTTTTTTAATATTCTTAGAGCTTAGACTGAAACTGGAGGCAAAACTGAACATAATAACTTAATCTGTTAACATATACAGTAGGTCGTTTCAACTATTAGTATAAATTTGTTGACTACTGTTGTATAACATAACAATAAATAATAAATAAATAATTTATTCTGAGGATAACCATTTTAAGGTTAGTAAAGAAGGCATGGATGTCTAGCCATTAGTGTATGTGACTTGTATATTGGATGTCCAGGTTCAAATCCCTGCATAAATGTTAAAATATGTTGAGCTATCTATATGCTGGAATTCTCTATTGAAACTCTGTTAAAAAAACGTTTGCTTGATACTTATTTTTCCCTACAACCTTTATGAAGATTTGGAACTACTGTAATCAACAAAATGCGCAATTACTAGAGTAAAAATTAAAATTACTGTAATACAATTTATATGACAAGTCATATATGTAGGAAAAAATCTGTTCTCCATTAAAAAGATTGTAATTATTGGAATATACTATACCAGCCATATTTATCCATTGTAAATGGATTGATGTACTTTCTATGAGTTCTTCTTTTCGTTGTTTGACTATGTTTCTATGTACACCTGTTTCTATGTAACAAGGCACAGGGCGCTAAGGTGAATGTTTGACATATCTTCCTACCAGGTGATTTTCTTAACAGAACTACAGGTTTAACTTGACCTTAGAAGTAGAGTGGTTAGAAGTATAGGTATTTTTTATTTTGTCAGTGGCAGTGATTGTAGGGACAGACAAGGGTTTGTAATGAGTAGTATTCCATCAATTTATCACTATATTCTTCTGAAAATCCCCCGTGTACTTTAATTACGATTATGTAGTGGAACCTTGATTACCTTCAATCTCCGTCATCCCAAAAGTGTGTATTTAGCTTTTTTACTATACACTTTTGCAGCATTGGAAATTTATAATAAAATACAAAGTATATATTAGCAAGCATGTATGTACTGTAAATAAAATAAAACTATGTGTCATTCACGTGTTAACTGTGTTACTAATTTATAAAACCATTGTAATCCTTCAAACTGTAGTAATTAATTGATACGATAAAGAAATTTCCGTTACAGCTGTCTTTTCAAATCAAATCAAATAATTTATTAACATATACAAATAAACATTACGTAAAATGCTAATTGTAGTAACTGGTGTCTCGTCCATTAATTATAATCTCAATCTTTTTGTACATAAATACTTATGATACTTATAAAAAAATACCTTATCTACTTGTACATAGTTAGGGAAAAATATTTATACAACAAAACATACAATACAAATATAATAACAAGGGGACAAATACAATAACAACAACACAAATGTAAGATGATCAACCCATGTAAGTGTCTGGTAAGAAGTCTAGAGTGGAATGATAAACATTATCCAATAGATTTTTTTTTATTATAACTTTAAAATCATTTACTGCCAATTGTTGAATTCATCCAGCAAATAGTTGTATAGCCTTAGGCCTGTACTAAAAGGAATTTTTTTCTAATGTTGTTATCCTATGTATTGGATAACTGCCTGTAGAGGTTCTTGTTTCTATAGCGGTGTATTTTTTTTTTATTAAAAAAATTCTCAGAATATTTTTCATGGACATAATTTAAGTTTTCCTACGCAAAAAGACTGGAAAAAGTAGGTATAGACTGATTTTTAAATGCTAAAATTAAAGTGTTTTTTTTTACAAAACGCTCTAATTTTAGTGTTTCTCATAGTTCTAACGGATCTTTTTTGCATTGGAAATAAGATGCAAAATAAATAGCTAACTATTCAGTTAATTGACACAGTCCTGATTCTACAGGTGACCGTTATAGAGGTTTTAATGAATAGGGTGGATTGCAGTAAAGTGATTTTGGACATTTTTTTTCAAATTCTATTAATTAGTGATTAGTAACTAGTAGTAAATCATTCCAAATAAACTCTTGTCAAACAATAAACCAAGTATTAATAAAAATCAACTCGGCCTTCCCTTATTGAGTTTTCCGCCCTCCCCATGCGTTTTGGGATGACGTGTATTTTTTTATTTTTCAGCCAATTATTGCTGTGCTGTAGGGGTATACTTTTTGTTTGCACTTTTTGGTTAGACAAGATAAATGTATTCCGAACAACAGGGAATGTGACACTGCACTATGACATCTGAACATCAGACAAATATAATCCTCATCTCCTTTAGTTACCTATAAAACTTCACCACTCTCCCTTTTCTTCAACCAAAAGCGCCGGGATCCAGTGTGAAAATAAATATTATTTTAATGTGTTCCACCCCAAAACTTAAACTTATTTAAGCTTAGTTAATTTGTCCATTTAGTTTTTCAAGTGGAGCCCTGCCTCCTGTACCATTTTGCTGACTTCCATGCTCATTAAGCAGTAGATTGACTCAAATCAAATGCCAAAAAAAGGTTTCTTAGGAGAGGAGAAAACGTTGATGCATTGTAGATTAAAAAAATATTATGTAACATATTTAATATATTATCTATTTGAGTCAATCCATGGACTAAAATCCATCTGCTCTAGATCCCCACACAAAGTAATCTTGTTTGATCTGTAACAAAGAATATGATGACAACACAAATACAATCATAAAAACAGTGGAATTGTAATAAAGAGTATCCTATACACCTAGACAAGCAAATGAAAGATATGTCTCAACCTCTTTATTAAAAAAGTATTTAGAACATTAAATGTAGCCCACATATTATTTCTGATTTATGAAGCTTATCTCAATTTGACCAGCGATATAGATAGTGTCCCATGACTTGGATCTATTGGCTGCAAATATAAGTAGGAATTTAAAAGTTAGTAGGTTTATACTTTTAAATAAGTTTAAAGTTTGTCTTTTCAAACTATTTCATATAGAAAATCCAATAGAAGAACCACATTATTCTGTTTTGGTTCCAGTTCCCGTTGCATAGCCAGTGGTATAGCAGGTATTTAAATTATATAATCCTTTCCAATAACATAATGTTTTAATATAATTTTTATAGGTATACTTGCTAGGTATTATAGGTATTATAGGTATTGCTAGGTTATAGGTATTATACTTGCTGTACATACCTAGAATTTGGTTGCTTGAAGGCTTCTGGTTGCATTGACAGAACATCCGTTACAAGACACGCCACCTTTGACAGACTCATCTTTTCAACCTCAACCAGTTGAGCTGATGAGAAAAATTCAAAAATATAAGATTGACTTACAGTACTTGTTCTAGCTCTAATAATTTATCGAATGCTCTAGGGCTAAGCAACTGATTAAATAAGCTTTTATTTACTTATGAAATTGGAGCATATTAATATGCTCTTTAGTTTGCTGAGTACATACATCTTAAGGGGGTTTGCTTTGTTTTCAGTTTCGTTAATATAGAAGTAACTAACCAATCAGATATGAATAACTACTAAAAGTGAGTCATTGAGTTTTTATTACAATTTGGTATTCATGACAAATGTTTGACCTTGCACAAAAATGAATTATTGATAACTTGTACTGTTTGGAGAGCAATAGTCGTCCTTTATTAATTTTAACTACTAATTAGTAGTTAAAATTTGTATTGATTTTACCTAGGATGTATCTGAACAGTTTCTCATGATACTATATAACATAATAATTAATAACAATTAATTCCTATTCAGTTTATACTTTGAAGCTAAAAGAAAACCTCAACATTTAAAATACTTACCAGATGTGAAGGCACCTGGATTATTTTGGAAGGTGTAGAAGAAGCGATCGCCGTCCTTCCACCGCCGGAACTGTTCACTGATGATGCATTGTAGTAAGGGACCGACAATAGCTCCAGGCACCACATTCTCCAGTATAGCTCCCACATACAGGTCTATATCATCTACTGTTATGTATATACGTCTGAGAAACTTGGCTGCCTGCACACAGAATAGTGGTCACTTAAGTTAGAAGTGCATTGTAAAATGTTCATATAGTAAAGATCCTGCACTAAAAAAACAGCTGATCTTAGGTACACACAACAATGCTACAAAGCTACACAAGGCATCACTTCATTCTGTACTCATCCTTTGATCATATTTGGATTTAAATACAGGGTGTCACAAAAAAGTGTGATGGGCTATACAGGACCTAATTCTACATGCAAAAATAAGTCAAAAATGAAGAATAAAATTTTTTGGATTTCGGCATAGTTTAGCCGTAATCCGCCATTTTGTTTTTGGGGAAAGTATTTATTATTTCAAAATCCCTTTGAGATATTTTTACGAAACTTGGCAAAATTGTTTACACTATAGTAAGTAACATTTATAAAAAAATTATTATTTTAGCTTTCCAAATTTCAAAATGGCGGCCGTTTGAATTTTTTAATGCCAAATTTCATGAAAACCGGTACCTAAATCAAAATTTTGTAAGACACAAAAGTTTTAGTATTTATTATGACAAATCCAACAAAACAAAAATGAATAAAATCGGTTCATAAATAAAGAAGCTGTGTTTATTTTAGTACTTTAGACTGAAATTATAAATATTAAAATGTATTAAATGTAATGTAATAATTTATGTAACGTATTAAGTAATTTCAGTCTAAATTACTAAAATAAACACAGCTTCTTTATTTATGAACCGATTTTATTCATTTTTGTTTTGTTGGATTTGTCATAATAAATACTAAAACTTTTGTGTCTTACAACATTTTCATTTAGGTACCGGTTTTCATGAAATTTGGCATTAAAAAACTCAAACGGCCGCCATTTTGAAATTTGGAAAGCTAAAGTAATAATTTTTTTTATAAATGTTACTTACTATAGTGTAAACAATTTTGCCAAGTTTCGTAAAAATATCTCAAAGGGATTTTGAAATAATAAATATTTTCCCCAAAAAACAAAATGGCGGATTACGGCTAAACTAAGCCGAAATCAAAAAAAAATTATTCTTCATTTTTGACTTATTTTTGCATGTAGAATTAGGTCCTGTATAGCCCATCACACTTTTTTGTGACACCCTGTATAAGCCAAGTAAGTCCCCTATCGTAACTGGTGATAGTAATACATTTTCTGTCCATCCCACATTAAAAAAGAGGAAAGTTGAAGACCAAAGCTTTACCTGCATTAGCGAAAAATCTTGGGCAATCCTGAGGAAAATGTCTATTTGGGAAAATATCATGGCGACTTGTATCCAGTGTTAATAAGTCCTCTGGGGACCATTGGTGGCAGGGGCGGGGCTCGTGGGGACCATGCCCCTCTTTAGAAACTAAATTTAACTTTCACAATGCACAATGTTTAAGTTTAAACAGATTTTAGCAACACAAGTGTGTTTTAAACGTTCTTTTAAAGATGATACCATCTATGGACATCCAACAAATTATTTTTCATCAAGAGCTTTGCATTAACTTGTTTGTGGGGAAGGGCCTTTTTCCTCCTGGTATAAGATCTTAGTTTGCCTTACAAAAGAAAATTCATGCGGGCGCCCACGGAAAATGCTGCATACCCCACGGCCAAATAGGTTCTACAACTTGGGAAGATTTACCTTTGAAGACATATGTTGCCGTAGATCTCGGAAGCTAGTGAATGTAGAAAGACCGCAGGCGAGTCTAGCCATGTTGTAAGGGGGAAGTCCGTGATCTCGACCTCTCATAACATCAGATGCTACTAAGTCCACTCCCACCCCTTCCTTAGTCTTAAACAGCAGCTCCGTGACCTACGACATAAGTCATATAAAAAAATAATTCCAAAAAACGAAATTCCTTTGTTTTTATTTTTTAGTAAGGTTTGGGCCATCAGTATCTAATTTCAACCTTGTACTGATTTATTTTTTCTAATTTTGCTACCTACAGATGGACTAAATAAGATGTTTATAGATTCTGAAGCAAACTGAAATGCTGATTATCAATGATAAAAGGTGTGTAACAACTGACTACATTTACAGCTCTAGCGCTTCTCAAATTTACTCCTTCTGGCAATCCCTGGATGTGGATCTCAATGTGGATGTCAAAACATGGATGTGGTCTCATAATGTGTCAAAATGTCTCTATGTATACATTCCAATTCTATTAAAAAAAGTTTTAATTCAGTACAAAAGACCATTATTTTTTTAGTGAAAATATACACAACATTAATTGAACTTAAAATGTGCCTGATAATGAACACCAATAGTCAATTCCGATAGAATTGATGAAATAAATATGCAGCTACAGAAGGCGAATTGAGGGATTTATCTACATTTGTGAGGGAAATATTAGCAACAATTCCATTATATACAACATATTTAACTGTATTACACCATATTTCAGAATCAATGTAATATGTAAATCTGATAAGCTTTTTTTAAACTCTTTTTATCATTTAAATAAGTTTTTTTACTACTTTAAATTATTTTTAAAACTTGTAATACTGCAACCTCAGATATGAAGCACTGATTGATTACAAAGTATTTAATTAACGTAAAAACGCAAGGATTTTTAAAAATCGTTTTCCAAGCAATGTCTTGGTTAATGTGTTTGTTTCAACACATATAGTTTCTTAAAGAGTATTTATAATATCTCAAAGATTTGGAATAAACATAATTACCTCTTTAGTAAATCCTTGATTCATCTTTTGAGCTGGTTGAAACATAAGGCCCCTAACGAAATTTTCAAATGCATTATCCTCCTGAATTAAATCTGGCTTGAAAAACACATCACTTAGACGAAACGTTTTAATGCGCTTCCGTCGCTCATCAAATAATCTATGGAGTGATAACAATTTCTAGGTTAGTTTAAATGTCATAATAAAAGATTTCCTGTAACAGTGAAAGCTCTTATGTACAATAAACACGTAATCAATATATTCTATATATTTGAGTAATAAACCAAAAACTACATTTTCCCATATAAAATATGAATTCTTTATTTGAAGTTCATTGTTGGTGATGGTGAGTTAATGCTGTTCAAAGGTTTATTGCGGACATTTTCCATCACAATGGTAAAAATCAATACACAACGTTTCGGGATCTGGAATCTGATCCCGTCCTCAGGTGAAAAAACTTAACTAACACATTACAACTAACAATACACAAACGCCCAACCTAAGTTGGAATACACTACAGAGGGCAGCAGTAAAAAATATGCACTGTATACTGTATAGCAGTCAAGTCATGATACAACATGCGAATAATAACCAATCACAAAACACTATAGTCTATAAAAGGTGTAGTGTGAACTAGTGCCGGATTTAGGGTACTTGCGGCCCTAGGCCAAATTACTTGAGCGGCCCTCCCCCTGTGGTGAAAATTCCTTGCGATCGCGGCAAAGTCGTGTTAAAAACATCACCTGTGGTCTGCGATCATGAGGACATCATCATTGCCACCCGCTACCGCAGTAAAATCGTGAAAATCTCCCGCGGGCCATAATCACCGGGACATCATCATCGACTGCGATCGCGGAAAAGTCGTGTTAAAAACATCTCCCGTGGTTTGCGATCATGAGGACATCATCATTGTCACCCGCGGCCGTGCCGAAATCGTAAACATCCCCCTCGGGAAGCCATCGCTGGGACGTTCTCATTGACACTCCCAGCCGCGGCGAAATCATTAACATCTCCCGTGGGGCGCAATCATTATCATCAACACTCGCGGCCGCTGGGAAATCATGAACATCTGCCGCGGGCTGCAATCACGGGGACATCATCATCGACACTGTGACAGTGGCTAATTTTTGAACGTCTCCCGCAAGCCGCAATCACGGGGACATCATTCATTGACAACTCACGACGTCAGCGAATTCTAACGTCTCCTGCAGGCTGCGATCATGAGGACACATCACCGTCTCTAGCGGCCTTGGCTAAATCGTGAACATCTCTCTTGGTCCGTGGAGACATCATTATGGTCACCTGTGATCGCGGCAAACTGGTGGTTTAAAATAAATTATTTTATTTATCTAAAAAAAAACCTTTTTCTCTATCCTCTGCGGCCTCCTTTTGCTTGCGGCCTAATCGGCCTAGTGATAAATCCGGCACTGGTGTGAACAGCTCACACAATAGAACACTAATAGCACCGTTCGCAATGACTCCACCAATGAGACATTATATATGGGAAAATGTAGTTTTTGGTTTCACTTAAATCACTTTGGATCACTTAAATACTAAAAGAAATAGACAATAGGTATAGATTGGAAAGTTGTTCATCTTAACAACTCGCTTAAAATTATATGTTACTTTACATATGTTCCCATTTGATTCTTTTGATTTACAGGGCTAAAAAGGTGTGTTTACCAGGTTACGAATTTTCAATCAGAACGGAAATTTGTTAAGTGGTTTTGAAAATACAGGGTATTACGTCAGTAGGGTATGTGAAACATTCACAAAAATGACACAATTTTGAAACTAATATAGAGATAATTGAGTTCTGTTTGCACCAAAATTTTGCTCTAAGCAAGACCTTTCTACAAATATACAATGTGATGTAGGTTGACGTAAGGAAATTTCAAGATTCAAACCCGTTACCTTCATTTCTGGAACACCCTGAGCTTGGATGTTCTAAGTATTTTAAATGGATTCTTTGTATGTGATTTAGGGAGCAATAATTTTATTTCGCCCTCCTAGGTTAAAACGTAAAAGTATGTGTACGGGTGGTCTGCTTATTCACCCTCTATAGTACAACTATACAAAAAATCATAATTATAAATACGGTATTTACACTCAACAGCAAAAGCAGGTAGCATAATTATCAAGTTTGTTTCAATTGAAAAAGATAAATGAAGTTGATTCCACCATGGAGTTACTCACTGTACGTCTGGAGGTATCATGGTGTGGAAGGCGCGGAAGGCAGCCGAGGTGAAACTTACTAGAGTTCCGGGATTGAGAAACTTGTCATACTGGTCCAGCACTAAGCCAGGGCCTGATAGTTTCTGGCTCTTCATCTCAGTGGGGCCTGCCAATCATTACTACATACATCAGTATGTCAGCAGGAGTAAATACATACAATTTGTGTGGTGTGACTAACTGTTTATATATTTATTTTAGACATTTCAGAAAATAAAGAAACTATGTTACTGGTAATCCAATTATTTGCTGTGGCCACTACTTTCAGTTCACTGTGAAGCCATCATCAAACTTTACAAGGACGGGATCGCTTCTTCCGAAGGTCATCATATTTTACAAACATTTAAAAACAAACACACAATACACGTATATTGAGTTTTTACATCATGAACTGCTGGAGTTTACGTCCAAGACTATGTTCTTGTGTTGATTTTTAAATGTTCGTGAAATATGAAGACCTTTAGAAAAAGTGATCCTGTCCTTGTAACGCCTGATGTTGGCATCACATTGAGCCGAAACTAGTTGCTACAGAAACCAATTGGATTATGAGTAATACAGGTATTTTATAGTATATCTTGGCAATCCAGAGGCCACCCAAGACTTTGGATTGTGTTTTAATATGGATGTACTAATCATGTGCTAATCAAACATGTGTGCTAATCAATGTATGTAATGGGTTTGTCAAAATGTTTTTGTAGTATGTAATACTTACAAAAGGTAGGTGATTTTTCACTGCCTAAAGACATTAAAGTGATGTTTAATTAAATTGATACTGTAAACTTTCATGAAAAGTATGTTATATCATGAAAAGATATTGTTTATAACACAATAATTAATTTAATGTTCCTCTAAGCCCAGCTGCCATTAATTGACCATTGGAATTCCAGAAATGACAACAAAACAAAAAAAAACAACAAAAACAAGAAAACAAGAATGCCAACTAAAAAAATTAAAAAATGGATGTCAGTAAAAAGTATCCAAATAAGACATCACATTCTTTGAGTATCAAATTCTGATTAGTGATTAATCCATAGACCTAGTTGAGTTATAAAACTACTCTACTGATTATCCATTAGTGATTGACAGACTCTTTCGTCAAATTTATTCACATCAATCACTTAAAGTTAAAAATTTATTTTTTTTTATAATTTTGGTTTATTATGTTCAGAAGCAAATGTAACAGTTTCATTAATTTAAAATTAAATGAAATGTTTGAGGCTGCTGATTTGTGTAGAGGCTATATTGATATCTGGATTGGCCTCCTCTTACTTGCTTATGTTTTAAGACTTTTTAGTGCACTACTGCCATATTAGCCCATACCCTACTCTCATTCTATTTAGACCTTCTACTCCTACAATAATATAAAAATCAATCCCCTTTTTGCCATCATCTGCACATTAATTTACAATACACAGTCTATCAATGTCTCAATTCAACGATGTCCATTACAAATCCAAAACTGTCAACAGCCATGTAATGGGAATAGGCTCACTACCTCTGTAAGTAGTTAAAGGTTATAATAAAATGATAAATAACATGATTTGTTAAGATGCTAACTTATGATCATCGGAAGGTACTCAGTGTAAGTGATTCTCTGTGTTATGGCAGACACTATCTTGCGAGCCTCCTGGTATAGAGTCTCGTCGGACCAATGAGGATTGAGCGACTGAAGCTGTCTCGCGATGTGGTTGTGTAGCCGACAAAACATCACTTGTACCACAGCCAACTGTGGGTTCTGGTTAACCCTATCATCACCTGTAAAATCATCACTTATTAGGACATATTCAGTCATTCAGACTTACTTATTGTAGAGTACGGTGGACAGTTATAAATGATATCTTTAGAAAAAATTTAAATGATGGGATATGGTAACAGAATTTACATAGCATACCCATTCATCAAGCAAGGTACAGTAATTGAATATGGTAATAGAGCTACTTGAGTGTGAGAATACATTTTTATAATAATTATAAAATGGAGTGAGATCATAATCATAATTATTACCTGTAAATGTTAAATTCATTAAACTGCTAATTTACTTATATGCTCCGGAAATGAGTTAATATTACTTTTAAAAATTGTATCTGTTCTAAAAAAAGGCATGAGTTAGAACACGGTTAAGCTAATTAGATTGCACCTCATTTTGCCTTATTTATAACTACAAATCGTAATATTTTGGCTGTATTTATTCAATATTTTTTAACTTTGGGCAAATTTTAAATGCTAAATAAAAGTGTTCAACATTTTTTCATAAAGTTAGCCATTTCTATGAAATTTAATTTAACGAAATTAAAATGGCTGCCATTGAAGAAGTCAAGTTGAATTAGACCAAGTTAATTTGTTTTCCAACATGGATCTCTTTTACCTCAACGTACCTCAACATACTACATAGGAAGTTTAATAAAGATTGGTAAGAACAATATAAAGGTAAAAACATTTATTAAAAAAATACAAAATGGAGGATATCTGGTTAACGAATCGTTTTTGGTAAAAGTCTCCTTCATGATTTTCTCTTTATTTTGACCCATAGAACCATTTCTCAAAGTTGGGCTGTTTACTTACAGGACACATTGTATAATAAAGGGGAAAAACAAAAATAAACTGAATGACTGAATACGATAAAATTAAAAATCAGTACAGTTTTGAACTAAAAATTACATAATGCCCTAAGGTAACATAATAGCGAGCTGAGCTGATATGGTGTTCACCAGCCTGAGAAAAGTCCGAAGGTTTTTGATGGTTTGAAACAGAACTCAGCTGTTCTTGATCATTGGGCATTTGACAAAACAGTCCTGCTGGCTGAAGAACCAGCTGATTTTAGCGAGAAACAAGCAAAACTGTTATCTAATTTATTCATGACTCATTCTTCATTCACCTTCACCTTAAAATACACACCCTGGTATATGTTGGCGTACTAAATATCTAATCCAACATAAACACTGTATGTGGTAAATTTGACTTGCCTGTATCATAACACACTGAGCTGTGGGGGCAGTTACGGCCCCGCTGTGCCAACTCAGGCAAATACTCTGCCCCATTGACTATCTGGGAACGAAGCAAGCCTCCACTGAATGTACGCAGCCTACTGGCCACCCTGTCAGTAGAACCATACAAGAAGGAAGCATCCACGTAGTGGGTCACATCTGAAATCTAATCAAGTTTTAAAACTAATAATAAGATGTGTGTTTAACAATTTCAATAACTTATAAATAGATAGCTGTAATTGGTTAGTATTTAGTTATATTGTTTTTTGTTTCAATAAGCTCTTAAGAACAGCAAATTCTCCACTATTCAACCCTACCTGTCGACGATTGAGTACTTAAGGTTGTGTGCTATTCCCATATAGTATGTGCACTGTTGAGGGTACGTCGAGACAACCACGTGCACCGCTCCTAGCTATACTCAGAAGACTTGTGTCAAGCTATAGGAAGGTATCTGCACTGTTGAGGGCACGTTGAGACATCACCGTACACCGCTCCCAGCCATACTCAGAAGACGTGTGTCAAGCTATAGGAAGGTACCTGCACTGTTGAGGGCACATTGAGACAACCCCGTACACTGCTCCCAGCGATACTCAGAAGACTTGCGTCAAGCTATAGGAAGATACCTGCACTGTTGAGGGCACGTTGAGACAACCCCGTACACTGCTCCCAGCGATACTCAGAAGACGTGTGTCAAGCTATAGGAAGGTACCTGCACTGTTGAGGGCACGTTGAGACAACCCCGTACACTGCTCCCAGCCATACTCAGAAGACTTGCGTCAAGCTATAGGAAGGTACCTGCACTTGTCTGTACTTTACCTTTTTCCACTTGCTGGATAACCCATGGAATTAAAACACCACACAGTCCATCAACCTTTCATATGCATACCATTCTCTAAAAGAACTTTTGTATTTTGAAATATTCCAATGTTATATATAGTTTCAAACATTTTCATAGTTTTCTTTGTTATCCGACCTTTCTGCCAATACAATCTTGCTGTGCTTGGTTTAGATAAGATAATAAATACTCTATGGCCTTAGGTGGTGCGGGGTCCAGTGCTAACATTCGTAGTGGGACCCCTTACTAACAAAAAAATAGTATCCCAACAATAATAGAAAACTAATAAAATTATCAATGTAGATAATATTATTATTTAATCTCCCCGCCTGTTTCTTCTTTCATAACAATTGAAGTAAAATTTACGGACTTTTCATTTTTTTTTTATTTTGTACCCGGGCTTTGTGTGGCCACAACCATCACACATGCCTGAGGTCAGCTCTGCTCTATTGTATAGTAATATTCCACTAGTCAAAACTTTAAAACTAAAGAGTTATTTACTAAGAAAAATATCATCGTTGTTACTTTATTTTGCATACAGATTTAGTGTACAACATGTAGATAAATTAGATGATAATCAAACAGTAGAGTAATTCATACTAACGAACTGGGATGGGGTAATTATGCAGTTCTTATCATCAGTTATCATGGACCTCATGAAGTTGAGGCAGGACACTTTGAATCTGGAGTAGAAGCGGTCATTGGCAGTGACAGATATTGGGATGCAGTTCTCAGGCATGATGACTGAAGGCAAAGGCTTATGATCACTGCTGCAGCATAGGCATTGGGCAACATTGAAATCTGTAACAATGTAAAACTAAGTATTACTCCAAATTAGTTGATAAATTAGTCGCAACGATGATTTTCAGATTTTGTCATAAGTTTACAAAAACTTGCTGCATAGCTGCTTTGAGAGCACCCTGTCCCTACTCCATCTAGCTCTTTTAAAACTTACTGATGTCAAGATTATTTACAATGTTTCATTGATATAGATTACTTTGAAACCTCTAACAACTCTGACATTACATGGATTTAAAACAATTTGGGTCTAGAGAGTGCTATAAAATTAAGTAGTAAACATAAATACAGGTGATAATGAAAAAGAGAATAAATTAATAAAGGGAATCGGAGATTTAATTAAATAGAGATCATCCTTTGCTATAGTTCTCTCAATGTTTAAGACACAAACTAAGGATTACCAATTTGTACATAGGTTGATCGTATACTTTAGAAACGATCATCAGATTTGTAATTTTACTACTAGCAGGTCAATTTTCCTGATGGCTCTAAAACTGGATACAGCATGCCATAGAATCTGCCCAGAGAAACCTTTGTTCATCTTCATTAGTAGACTTTCACATGTGGATTCACAAAATTCCATTGTGGTTTATAGCATCAGTGGATTCATTAAACTCCTGTTCAACCCTATCATTAGAACTTCATTTATGGCTTGGCCTGGGTTTACCTGGTTGTTGATCTAGGACCCTGGCTGTGTCATGAGAGACTAATTGACCCCAAGTCATGACTGCGTAGGTGGCTATTGGGTCTGGCACTGACGATGAGGACAACACATTTGACAACAAAGAGCGAGTACTAGGCAAAGACACACTCCCACTAGTGCGTAAACTATGCTTCCCTGTCAACAAACAAACATACTTCAGAGTACTAGGCAAAGACACACTCCCACTTGTGCGTAAACTATGCTTCTCTGTCAACAAACAAACATACTTCAGATGTTAGAGTACTAGGCAAAGACACAATCCCACTTGTGCGTAAACTATGCTTCCCTGTCAACAAACAAACATACTTCAGATGTTAGAGTACTAGGCAAAGACACAATCCCACTTGTGCGTAGACTATGCTTCTCTGTCAACAAACAAACATACTTCAGATGTTAGAAAAACAGAATAGAGTGAAACATCAGTCGATGTTTTCACAGACCTGCGGTTTGCATGTGAGTGATGCACTATGGACCTAAGAGATAATGCGTTCCTCTCCACCTAAATTGTGGGCGAATTTTTATCTTTCTTGCGCCCCCAACAAATCTAAAACCTCTTGCGCCCCTGGGCCCGGGCCCATTTGTAAAAGCCGGGTAAAGGCCCTGTGTTTTCGTAACAGCATTTTTAAGTGGAATACATAAAAAGTTTGTAAAAAACACTGACTAGCTTTTTGATGGTTCCTAAATGGACCCAGCTATCCTAGATCATTGGGCTTTTAAACAATGATGGATTATTTGAAAAATAAACAGATGACGTTAGCAAAAAATCTATCATCTCATTCATTCGACACACATCCTTCTCTTATCTTAGCATTAAATATGCACCCTGAGGGTGTGTTGGCTCGGCTTAAAATAAAGCATATGAATCTTGTACTCTTGATTTTATTCAAAATTCACAATTAATTTTCTTTCAGGTACAACATTTAAAATATAATAAAAGAATATGTTGAATTTGAATATAATATTTTGGTAGGCACAGTCTCTAAACAATTTTCCAAAGGAGGGATTCTTCCCAAATCTCTGGATGAAATAAGATAATTGATTTCCCCAGATGCCCTTTATCTATATCAAGCCAGTAAAACTGGGTGGATATAAGAAAATAGGCAATTTATATGTGTGTGCATATTTTAAATGAGTAACACAGTACTTATTACATAAAATATGGTAAAAGATTATTTTATACTATAAAAGTATTTTATAGTATAAAATAAAACAAACAAACAAAAATACTCTGATTATTGGATAATTATAGACTTTCCTCACAAATATATTTTAATTAATTGAATTTAGGCCTATTTTATGTTTTTGGAAATTCGTTATCCATTTTTGCTGTATACTGTATACCAGTAGTAAGGCAAAATTTTGTAAGAACTAAGTCTGTGGATGGGCATTTGTCTTACCATCACTATAAAATGCAGGGAATATCCTGACAAGAGTGGCACCAGACAATCCCCACTGAGGGAAGGCCAGGTTGTTACACGACCCATCTATAGTGCGGAACTTTGCATTCTTGTTACATGGAGTGACTCTGATGCAGGCGTCACCAACGTCCTGTTGTATTTGAGAAAGAAATTGTTGTTTTCCATTGGCTTTTCTGTAAACATTGATAATCATAATGATTTATCATTATAAATCTATAGCCACATTCTTTGTCGATTTTTTATGAGAATATTCTATTGTAAGAAATGTTTAATATGCTAAGGGGTATTGCTAAATTATTGTAATGGGAAGCAAGCTGGCCTAGTGGTAGAGCGCAGGACTTTGGACCCTGAGGTCCCAGGTTCTAATCCCGCCAAATCACCAATATATTTTATCTAAGTGATTATGCCGCAACCCCTAGGTATAGCCTGAAGTAATATGAAAAAAGATCCTGGCTAGTGCCTAGCGTCCTAGGACAAAAGATATTACTCCCACAGTTGTAAACTGCAGCATGAAGAAAATACAATCGATCCTGGAAAATATATTTGTTTTCTATCGGAAAGTAGTAGTTTGAATATACTAGGAAGTATGTGTTGGTTTCCCCAGTTCCCTATGTAGTTTAGAATATTGCATCTAATACTGTGGTTTGGTATCAGCTTGATTGAACATATTGATCAAATAGCAACAAATGGCATTTTTTGTAAACTTTGACCCTTATAGCTAGGGGCTAGGGTTACCACCTCTGGTTAGGAAAAAATTGCCAACCCCCCCCCCTCCACCAGATTAACATAGGCATAAACACGGACATAAAAAATCTGTATTCACATCAGTTGTGATAGACCTTTGATATTTATGAACATTTGAAATGTATCTTCATATAATTAAAGTGTATGACCCAATACCTTAGATATAGATGAACTTTAGGTATAGTGGTAGAGTACTTAGACAAAATAGTTATATCAAGGTACATTTTAACATTCAATTACAATTCTTTTAGATAAGGGCTATTAATTATGAGAAGGTACAAAGCATGCAAATGTTCAAACAGTTAATGCAAGGGCAAAATTAACTGAGAAGTGAAATTTGCTGCACATTTTATGTGCATGTCTAACTATACCTATAGTTATATTTACAAAAAAATAATATTTTAATTAATAAGCAAAACAGTAAAAATGTCAAGTAGGCCTACCAGCTACACTCCCACTCCCCATCCTTCTATGTTTTGGCTCATATTCATTACATGTATTATTTTAAACCCACTGGAAATGATCTTTGCCAGCAGGCGAGGTGCCAATCCCCCCCAAACCCAGAGGCGCAACCCCCCCCCCCAAGCCAAAGGAGTAGTCCCCCCAATTTATGCTGCCGTCTATTTAAATCCACCCTCCACCTGCCAATGTATCTGGCAATTTCCCCTTTACCTCATAAAACGAGCATTTCAAGTATTTAGTAAACTTGAGGTAAAGAAAAACAAACCTGCTGATAATCAATATTAAATGTTTAATAGGAAACGTCATTTAACAATACATCATTATATCTAACTAACGGACAAATTAGAAGTTTTTCAATTTACAATTCAGAAACTGTATTGTCAGCCAACATGTGCTCCATATACTCGGTGAATTACTCTACTCCAACACAGTATTGTAACTGTACAATATATTAGTTGGCGTTAATTTTTACAGGGCTTAAGAATTCAAACAGCTTTAAGAGCATTTTGACAAAAAGTATCTGGTTTCAAAATTCTAGGCAGAGAGTCACGAAATAGGGCAGACTTGTTGCTCGCCACTCCCAGGCTGCCTTCTACAAAAATCGCCGGGCAAAATACACAAAATACCTTAATTGCCACTAGCACAAAAGGTTTTTGTGACGAAGTAATCTTATAATTCATTTTGATAGCCCCAGGATTTATGACTAATAGTGGTAGAAACGCATCTTGTCAGACAATCCTTAATAATATACAGGGTGTTGAAAATGTCTGGAACCAACATTATATCTGGTGAGTGGTTAAAGAAAAACGACTGATATTTTGTGTACGGATATACTATGGTTTTGCCTATCTTTTGGTGCCGTATGAAATTTTTTACCACTTATAGGGAACGTCCTGTGGAGGATGCAGTAAAAAGTTTTAATGGAAGCCTATGGTAAATGATACATCATTTTAAAGGCCAATTTTTTCTGAGTAAGGAGCCGCAAGTTTCATCTCAAAAGGACCACCCTAGCAAAAATGGCGACTGTTTGAAATTTAAAAACCCACTCATAGGGAATGTCCTGTGGAGGATGCAGTAAAAGGTTTTAATGGAAGCCTATGGTAAATGATACATCATTTTAAAGGTAATTTTTTCTGAGTAAGGAGCCACAAGTTTCATCTTAAAAGGACCACCCTAGCAAAAATGGCGACTGTTTGAAGTTTTTGAAAATAATTGAAAGCTTAATTGGTATTTATGTTAAAAATAAGTTTAGTAAAACAACAGAAACAATTTATTAAATGTTTTTTTAGTCACTTTTCAGTTCACCACGTTATAAACTACTGTACTTCGTAACTGGCTTGTAATAGCATTTAAAGGAAACAAATACAGTACGGACCATTTAAATAGCAATGTTTTTAAATTTCAAACAGTCGCCATTTTTGCTAGGGTGGTCCTTTTGAGATGAAACTTGTGGTTCCTTACTCAGAAAAAAATTGCCTTTAAAATGATGTATCATTTACCATATGCTTCCATTTAAACTTTTTACTGCATCCTCCACAGGACGTTCCCTATAAGTGGTAAAAAATTTCATAAGGCACCAAAAGATAGGTAAAACCATAGTATATCCGTACACAAAATATCAGTTGTTTTTCTTTAACCACTCACCAGATATAATGTTGGTTCCAGACATTTTCAACACCCATGTACGGTAGTGTCGTATTTTACTTGCTACATATGTTTTGGCGGTTCTTTAACATATTTAGACTTCCATATGTAACATACACCATCGTCAGACTTACAAAAGGATCGACTTCTGGAGGTGTCGTCAGAATATGTTACAAACATTTAACACAAAACACGAAACGATTACAGATTGGCCTATCAATTCATGCGAGGACATTGCTGCGGGCAGGACTGGAAGTAAACTGAATCAGGTTATGACAGGACGTGGTCTCTGGATTGTTGTCTGCGTTTTCAACAGATGTTAGGACTAATTGTAGTGACAGAGGAGAGTGTTGAAAATATAATGGGAATCATAATTGAGTTTTCCATTCAAAACTATTGACAATAATAACCAATTTTTATGCTGGATATAAATGATGGTCTCGAAATTCTACATTACTGCGTGAAAAGAAATTTATTAAATACTTTGGAAGAGTTTGGAATACCGGTATAAAAATAAATAAAACTAGAGACAGTACACAATTTTGGAGTGAAAACACTCAATTAATTATGAATCCCATTATTTTCAACCCTCTTCTCAGTCACTACAACAATAGTCCAATATCAGCTGTTGGAAACGCACAAAACAGACGACAATCCAGAGACCACGTCGGTCCGTCATAACCTGAACTGATTCAGTTTACTTCACTTCCAGTCCTGCCCATGCCAATGTACTCTTGTGCATTGATAGGCATATCTGTAATCGTTTTTTGTGTTTTGTGTTAAATGTTTGTAACGTACGACACATCCAGAAGTGGATCTTTTTAAAGGCCTAAGACTGACGATGGTGGAGTTAAAGAACCACCAAAACATATGTAGCAAGTAAAAGTCAGCGAACACAGAATAAAAAAAGTCGACACTAGTACATTAAGCAGGATTGTCTGATAAGGTGCGTTTTACCATTCTTAGAAGCAATCTTAATTACGAATGGCAGAATGTTGTTGGTGTATATATATATTTTAATGCAGCTTTAAAAGAAGCAGAAATCGCTTTTGCAAGGAAATCAAGCAAAACTGATGATAAGCATTGCTCTGAAAGTCAAACCTCAGACGACACCTTGCTTAGCTGCATCACTCAAAGTCATACCTCAATTAACAAGCCCGAACCTATGTTAAACAATTTAAATCTTACCATGGACGATTTTCAAAACATTGTACAAAATTTTGATACCGAAGAGAATGATTTGGAAAGTTCTCTTAACCTAGCAGCGGAGGTTGGAAATGCTCTCCTTGAAGAAAACAATAAACTTAGAGAGGATGTTCACAAGCTGAGTCTCGAAAATGCCAAACTGTCTTTTCAAGTAACAAAAATAAAAAATGGAAATGAAGCAGCAGCTTGGGAAGAAAAAATAGACACACTATTAGACCAAAATGAAAGATTGTTAATGAAAAACAACTCGTTAGTGGAAACCATCAATAATCTTGAAAAACAGCTCGACAATGAGAAGATGCTTCGCAGAGACTTAGAACACACCTTTGAAGAATTGGACAAGGAAAAAGAAGACACATTAAAAAAATATGAACAAGAAACTCAACAACTTAAACAGAACATAAAAGATCTGACACAAAAACACAATGAAGTTAAGCTGGATGAAAAAGAGGAAAATCTGGTTAGTACAAAGCCTGCTGTAGCCCAGACCCATCAATGTATAGCTGGTCACAGTCCTTTCCTCTTAGCTGAACTTGCTCAAATTAAAATGAAACAAAATCAAATGGAACACGTCATTAACACCCTGAAAATGCAGATGAACAAAGAGATTTCTAATACCATTTCTCCGACAACTCATACAAATCCTTCCATTCCAACACCAAGTTCATTAAAAAATAAAAGGGCTCAAAGAAATCATAACAGAACTAACATATTCAGCGTATCCCTGCAAAATGCTAAATACCTAGAACAAACAAATCACAAACTTGCTACTGACTGCCGAGAAATAACCAGCAAAACCTTCAAAAACACAACGTGGAGAGCCAGACAAACTCCAACAAAAAAACTGCAAATTGAAACAACAACCGGGAGAGTCAGACAAACTCCTACTAAAAAACTGCCAACCGAGACTACAACAGGGAGAGTCAGACAAACTCCTACTAAAAAACTGCCAACCGAGACTACAACAGGGAGAGTCAGACAAACTCCTACGAAAAAACTGTCATCTGAGACCTCAACGGAACAAGTATCAACAGGGGGAACCAGCCAAACCCCGCCACAAAAACTGTCACAAGTGTCACAAACAGTAAAAGCTCAAGAAAGCCTGAAAGAGACTAAAAATAAAAATAAACTTCCACCCCTAAATGCTAAGCCAAAGAGCAAAGACGAGGATTACAATGATTTCTTTGTAAAAAATATAGGATTTTATTCAGAACATATGAAGAAGCATTATGGATATTTAGTAAAAAGGGAGGCTGCATCGCTACAGGATAATAACTTTGTTTTTTCCTCACCTTCTCAGATTATTCCAACGCAGCCTGATTTTACTTTAAGAAAACTGCAAAAATCAGCAGAGACAAGAGAAACGCAACCTGACTGTTTTTTAGACAATCGAGTCAGGATGTAAACTCCAAACTCATCCTGCTGCACCAAAATACACAGGAAGTCTCAAATAAAATAAATAGACTACAGCACCTTTTAGAAGAAACCAAACCTGTTTGGTAACATAGTAATTCTGACAGAACATGGACTGAAACCTGAGACAATAAGTAGCACCGTCATAGCTACTGGATTCTGCCTCAAGGCTCACTATAGTAGAATAGAACACAGAAAAGGAGGTGTTTGCATTCTTGTAAAAGAAAGCCTTGAGAGCAGCACAGTAGCCATAGATGTTTCCAAGTACTGTAAAGAACTGTTATTTGAAGCAGCTCTTATAAAAATAAAATTCAAGAACTCAAATCTGTTTGTACTGGGAACCTACAGACCCCCAAACGGAGACCTTGAGGAATCATTAAACACCTTTACAGAACTAATTGAGGAAACAAAAATTGAAAATTCCCCTCTTATCATCATGGGAGATATTAACGTTGATTTGTGTAACCCAAACAGGAAACACATTATCTTAAATGAAACTCTTGCTATGCACAACATCCAGAGACTACAGCTTCCACCTACGAGAATAACAAATCTAACACAAACCTCCATTGACTGGATATGTACAAATATGGACACAAACCAACTCACTCCAGAAATCATCAATGCAGGACTTTCGGATCATACTGCTCAACTCTGTACTGTAAACTTCAAATCACACATCAACTCAAGTTATCCTGCCCAAATTGGACGCTGCCTAAAAAATAAAAACCTGCAAGACCTCAAGTATCTTCTCAGTCAAGAAAACTGGCTTAGTGTTACCTCAATAAACAATGCCGAAGAAGCTTTTAAAACTTTTAGTAACATAGTGAGAGTAGCTATGGATGCAGCCTGCCCCCAAAAGAAGATAAAAATACAAAGAAAACATAAACTAAAATTCTCCATGGACCCAGAAGCAGTGAGACTTAAAGCCGAATTTCTTAAAGCTCTAAGAAAGTTTGAGGTGACGGGAAATCCAGATGACAGAAGGGTTTCTATTGAAAATAAAAAGAACTATGACCTGTACTTGAAAACAATGCGGAAAAAGGTTAACTCTGACCAGTTGATGAAAGCTGAAAATAAATCTAAAGCTATCTGGGAAACAATAAACACAGTGTGGTCCAAAAAGGAAACATCCCTAAATGAAATAACCCTTCAAGTAGATGGCCAACTCATAAGTAATGTGACCCATGTTGCAGAGCATTTGAATACATTTTTTACACAAGTAGGAGAAAAAACAGTAGAGAAACAAAAACACCTAAAGACCACAGCTCAAACTCCTGACGTAACTCAAACAGGTCCACTGTTTTCCTCCTTTCAAAGCACAGACGAGAAGGAAGTTAAAATGATTATAAACAAACTTAAAGCAAAAAACTCGTCTGGAATTGATGAAATCTCGTCAAAAATACTTAAGCATTGCTGCAATGAACTAGCACTACCATTGGCTGATTTGATAAATAAGTCCCTAAAACAAGGCATCTTTCCTTCACTACTTAAAATAACTAAAGTATACCCAAAATTTAAAAAAGGTAGCACATTAGAAGCAAGCAACTACAGACCAATTTCCCTCGTTTCCACCTTCTCCAAAATATACGAAAAAGTTGTTTTAAAAAGACTTTTAGACCACTGCACAAATCACAACCTACTAAACAACCTTCAACATGGATTTACAAAAGGGAAATCCACAACAACAGCAATAATTCAGATGGTTGAGTCCCTGATTGACAGCCTAGATGAAGGAAATCTAACAACAGGAATCTTTCTTGATTTCAGTAAGGCATTTGACTGCCTTGACCACCAGCTAATCATTAAAAAGCTGGATTCCCTGGGGGTATCAGGGATAGTAAGAGAATGGTTTCAAAGCTACCTTACAGACAGGAGTCAGTTTGTAGAACTAAGGCACAGAGATAACAGCCTAATAAGAAAAACAAGATCAAATTTTCAACCAATAAATCGAGGAGTTCCCCAAGGTTCAGTTATGGGTCCGGTACTGTTTATTCTTTTTACCAACGATTTGCCGCAACAAATAGGAGACGCCTGCCTTACTCTTATGTATGCTGATGACACAACCTTAGTGTTTAATGAACCACTAGCTGAAAATCTAGAAGTAAAATCCTATGTGTCACTCAGTATGGCCTACCAATACTGCTATAACAATGATCTCGCAGTAAACACGTCTAAAACAACTCAAATAGCTTTTGGCCGTAAATCTCAAGAAGTGCCACGACTCCCAGATGTAGAAGTGGAAGATGAAGCTAAGTTTTTGGGCATCACACTCGACAAGAATTTAACCTGGACCCCTCATGTGGACAATATATGTAAAAAATTAAGTTCAACCATCTATGCTCTTAAACATATAAAAAATGCAACAGATGACATGACAACAAAAGTAGCATACTTTGCACTTTTCGAGTCGCATATGAGATATGGACTTGTAGCATGGGGTGGAACCTCTGCCACTAACATGCAAAGAGTTCTCAGAAAACAAAAAAAAGGCAGTCAGAATAACTGCAGGACTCCACAGACTCGACAGCTGCAGGGAAGCATTCAGGTCACTCAAAGTACTTACCCTTGTAGCACTCTACATCCAGGAAGTTGTGTTATTTGCAGTAAGAAATAACCCTACAAGGCGTGGCGAAATGCACCAACACAACCTGAGAAACACCATGCAGTACAACCTTCCACAACATCGCACGGCACAGTTTGAAAAGAAACCTTCATACGCAGGAATGAAAATCTACAACAGGCTACCTCCAGATCTAAGAAGCAAGTCAGAAGATGACCTCAAACCAGCTTTGCATCAATGGCTCATTAATCGACCTTTCTATTCCTTAGAAGAATACCGTCAACAGGTCTTTGACTAAACAACACCTCAACCAAACATTTAGAAAAAATTGTAAATTGACGCTACTACTATTCTTAATGAATGTGTAAATAAAGATTATTTGTCTATTGTCTATTGTCTATTGTGTTGATAGTGAGCTACTTAGAAAAAGTTTTTCAGTCTGATTATACAAAATTCTACATTCATTATGACAGCTAACAAAAAAAATCCCCGCCCCCAAAATCTCCACAAAGAAGTCCCCCCCCCCAAAAATTCCTGTGGTGCAAACGCGCCACGGTCCCCCCCCTCTGGACACCCCTGTTTGCCAGAATAGATCAAATGTTTATGGTAAATTTCTTCAAAAAAGAAAGGTGTAAAATGTAAAAGTATATATGTTTTCTGATTATCCACCTAAAGTACAACATGAACCTGTTACTGAAGAACTCCTGCGCAGTGGTGGTAGTCCGAGGCCCCGGTGAGACTGAGTACAAGGAGGCGAGGCGGAAAGGGTCACCCTCGTGATTCATTACATCGTTGAAGAACTCAGGGGTGTCTGGTCGAACTCGAGGACAAGTGGCACTGATTAGTTGACCTGTCAGAATTTAGGATTAAGACTTGGAAGTTGGATTTACCGATTGAAAATCCCTATGTAAGTGCTTTATCATAAGCAACCCAATTTGATAACTCGAGCTGTCTTTACTGATTCACTCTGCATTAGTAACGCTCTTACTAAAACATGTGTTTTTGTCTGGGAAATTACATTTAAAAAGTACAAATATTTAATTTAATAAAATAATGAGGTATATAATTGATTACATACATTTAAAATATGCAAGACATGAAGTTGACAGTAATAAGTCAGCTAGTAAACTCTTTCCACCGATGAGTTTTGTGTTTGCCACTACTTTCGCTGCAGCAGCTAACCTAAGTACTTGTTAAACCTAATGTTATTCAAAACAGGGAATAGATCTAACATGTTTAAAGAAACATTTTAGCAGAAATTCAATCAAGCAAATGGAAATTTGATAAGTCTACAGGTTTGTTGCTACAGGGGTATTAGAGGATCGGCTGGTTTAAGTCATTAATGTTATGTTTCGTTACCTTTTTTCTGCTCATCACGAAGAATGCCCTGACAGTTTAACAAAGTTACAGTTTTGGCTCAATCTACAAAAGTAAAGTTTAGAGGCGTTATAAATCAAGAAACACTCAAACAATTTAAATAAATACTCTGGCCGAGAAAGTATGATGTTTGGACACCACTAATTAGCGATCGAAAATGCCGATGTATTGGGAAGAATGACTAACAAGGAGGACAACGACAGCTCCAGCTGCCTAGAACCACTAACCCCAGCGTGACTTGAACACCCCTTTAGCCACTGTTGAAGAATATGCAATACTAACAACAAGGTGCTGATATAATCTGTATTCCTGTACCCTACGCTCGTAGTAGCACCAGATACCTGTTCCGGCTAACTGTTCGATTATGACTTTCTGTTTAACAGCCTTTAGTTGTAAGTGTTTGTCTGTGGCTCGGCCCGGTAGGACTCAAAGACCAAGATTGTAGTGTTTGTGTTAGTGACCCTGGAAGCCTTATTTTCTAATTTAATTTATCTTTAACTTAATATAATGTCAAATATTTAAATATTATCATAACTAATTTATGAGGCTCTGAAAGAGAGTATACAAATCATGGATATATGAGCTACTGTATCAAAAAAATATTATATTGACAGAATTATGTTTTGCAATAAGCTATATCAAACTATAATACTCTTTGACTTGAGATTAAAAATAATGGCAATGCAAATACACTAATTATTAATCAGAATCAATCAACAATAAATACAATATTATGATAAGTGTAATTCTGATATTTAGTTCATTATACTTGAACCTAATATAAAATTAGCATTTACATGTTTAAGATTATATAACATTTCATACTCACGGGGTTGTTTTAGCCTCTTTTTGGTGTGGACTTTGAATGATGAGATAAAAACACAAAATAACACAAAAATAACTGTTTGAAGACAGGGACTCATAGCAGTGGCAGGAAGAGAGCATGGAGAAGTGGCACATGCCTACTTGTTATCAGAAACTGGGTACTTACTAATTGGGGAAGGTGTAGGAACTATTTTCCTGTTCCTTGGTTTGTTATCACCAGCACATTGATATGCAAAAGCTTACTTGTGTTTGCAGCCTTGAAAACAATTAGAAACTCATAGAAAACAATAAGTATTGTATTAATTAAATAGTTCTGTCATTGACTAAATAATGTCTAAAAAAATGGATTGGATTGATTGCATTTCCTATATTTTTTAAATTCATTAGATATGACTAAAGAATATCTCAGAATGAATAGATTCGATTTTTCGCATGTACTGTATTGTTTTCTACATTATTCCATAAATATAATGAAGGATTGGGAACATTGTTCAAGTTATGTTAACATGACATTATGACATTAAGTAAATGCTATCAACACAAAATAAGTTAACATAAATGATTAACTTAATATCACAATGACAAATAAGGCATTGGGCATGAATTAATTTTAAAACTTGTTTGTTCAATTGATCTTCTTAATCCAATGCAATATAAAGGGTGAAATAAAGCTTGAAGTATATTGATTAAGATTGTATGCACGTATGAAAAGGACCGTTTATTTCACTTAACTAAATAAATACTTAGTATCGAACTCTAGATAGACTATATTTTATTTGTACTTTTTGTGCCAGTAAATAAATTTGATTTTTTATCTCTTAAATTACTAAAACTTACTGATTTTAAGAAAAAGTGAAGAAAACTTTTATTTTGCATTTAAAATGCACTAAATGCATCAAGTTAAGAAAAATTTACAATAATTGGCTGAAAAATTACCTTTTTTAATTTGTTTTTGACCCATATAAAACCTCATTTTAGGTCTACACTTTTTGTATTTACTTACAGGACACCTTTTATAGTTAATGATACAAAATTTATTAAAATTGTTTGCAGTTAGATATTTTATCAATCAAAATATAAAATGAAGGATACACTGTTTTTTTACAAGGGATATTGTATCAACCATTTTAGCCTCTGGATTGCTCAGGGTGAATAAAAAGTCAAGACCCCCCCATCTAATATTTTTCCAAGTAAATATACAGAGATATCCTTTTGGTGGTCGAGCAATCTTAGCAGAAAGTTTCATTTTATCATTTTGAAATTTTTGAGTGTCCCCCCAAAAGGGGGGATTTTGGGGGCAACTCAAATATTTTAAATGTAAACCCCCTTCAAGTGACACCTCATTTTGAAGTGTTTACAAAAACTTAAAGAGTGGTGAAAACTAGAGGTCGCTATCTTTTCTCTATCCAAAATGGTAGCCCGTCAAATGTTGTGGAAAATCAACGGTAAAATTGTTAATATTGGCTGCCATTTTGGATAGAGAAGAGATAGAGACCTCTAGTTTTCACCATTCTTTAAGTTTTTGCAAACACTTCAAAATGAGGTGTCACTTGATAGGGGTTTCTATTGAATCATTTTTAGTTGTCCCCCGAATCCCCACTTTTGGGGGGACACTCAAAAATTTTAAATGTAAACCCCCTTCAAGTGACACCTCATTTTGAAGTGTTTGCAAAAACTTAAAGAATGGTGAAAACCAGAGCTCGCTATCTCTTCTCTGTCCAAAATGGCAGCCAATATTAACAATTTTACCGTTGATTTTCCACAACATTTGACGGGCTACCATTTTGGATAGAGAAGAGATAGCGACCTCTAGTTTTCATCATTCTTTAAGTTTTTGTAAACACTTCAAAATGAGGTGTCACTTGAAGGGGGGTTGCATTTAAAATATTTGAGTTGCCCCCCAAATCCCCCCTTTTGGGGGGACACTCAAAAATTTCAAAATGATAAAATGAAACTTCCTGCTAAGATTGCTCGACCACCAAAAGGATATCTCTGTATATTTACTTGGAAAAATATTAGATGGGGGGGTCTTGACTTTTTATTCACCCTGTATACAACAAATTAATTGATATTATAAGGCCTTACCTTAGCAATGCTGCTATTTAGGATTCCTAAATAGGATTGCTAAGGTAAAGTCTTAAAATATCAATTAAGGATATTACATGTACATATTTTATAAATATGCACATTTATATATTATAGTATATTATATTAAAAGGGTAACATATTCCCATTGTTGTTGATGGTAGGAAATAAACTGGTAAAGAAACAAAAATGTATATAAAAAACTATAAAACTTTATTTGCAACCATCAGTAGGCCTACAAATTGTCTACATCAATATTCTTTCTTTCAATTTACTTCGTCAGACTCTCCCTGGATATAAAAGGATTTAAATAAACATTAGCGATTCGTCGCAACTAGGCTAAATCTACCAAGGCATCAGGTGATATAGCAATTTAAATCATTTAAACATTTTCTGAAAGTTTCAATTGGTTTTTGCTGAAAAAATCAACAAAAGAAAATTAATACTTTGAAAGTTTCTATTTAAGTGTTTTCATACAAGAAACCTTTGTGACATTTTATGTATGTAATTAAACTAATTTATTTAAAATATTAACACATTATCTTAGTTAAGTTAGGATAAGTTGGTTATTTAAAAAAAAAAATTGTTCGTTTGATTTTAGATGGATTCCCTACAGTAGGTATTCATTTTTTGATTCGTAACTTGTTCATTTTGTATGTTCAGTAAATTAAAACTAATGAACACATGTTTAATAATTTACACAATACAAACAAAAAGAAAATACTAACATATTTCATACCTGAGTTGTAAAGTTTAGTTTCTAAACATAAGTTTTTATAGGTACAAAGTAATTAATCATATATACACAATACTCACAATCACATACAAATGTTACGCTCTGAGTTAAATGGACGGTTCATTTCCAATGTTAAAAGCTACAGTCCCAATCTTCTCAATTCATTAATGATTCCCCCTTGATTGAAAAATATTTTCTCCCATAACTGTAAATTTAAACCTTAATTATAGTAATTAATATTAAAAATATTATCTGTATTTAATCATAGTTTAAAAAAGTCTTTATTCACATTTCCATTTGAAGTATAATATTCAAGGGTGTGTTTATGACACAGGATAAACCATAAAGAGAAGACATATTTTACAGACCAGTAGTTCTGGTTTGGAATTAATTAATGTTTATATTTTTTTCTCTGATTCTTCCACAGAGTTGGTTTGTTGGTCTGCTCAGTTTGTCACAAGATTACACAAATTTGAAGGTGAAACAAATAATTTATGTGTAGCACTTTTTTGAGTTGTTATGTTGTAAACAGATCTTTCTCTAATATTTAATTTAACTTGCAACCGACCGGTCCCTGATCACAGATCAATCCTTTATAGGTTAAATTATTGAAAACTTTGAAAACCTCCTTCCTTTCCTTTGTGGAGTAGGAAATATGAAATCTTGAAGTGTATCTCAACTGAAGTATGGTAGGTAACTAAATTACTTTAAGTGAGACCATAAGTACTCATCAAATGCCCAGTGGTATAAAACACATAAATCAATATTGTTTCACCTTTTATATTGCACCATCTCAAACAAACCTAACACTGAGGAATAAGGAATCTAGCCATCTGCTTACAACAACAGCTATCCTGAATCTTCAACATTAAGTTCAATCTTCAACCTTAAGTTCAATCTTCAACCTACTCAAATCCAATCATTCTTCAAGAGCTACCCCGTATTTGTACCATTTCTTTCTCCCTCATTGTCTTTATATTCAATAACAGAAACTACTAATATACTTGGCATTCAGCTTTGCACTATAGCCTTTCAACTCAATTTTGTCCTCTGAGTTCAGGGATGGAGAAACTTATACAAAATTACATAGTTTGAATCGTCCCTCGAATTGAAATGTTTTCAATAAACAATGCAAAAATCTATAAACATAAAAAATCAATTACTAGTTATTTAAAATAGTTTAACGGGCATTGACTATTAGTTGTTTAAATTTCTAATGATACTCAGTCACATTACTGTAGTTTGATCAACAGGTAGACACCAATCCCACCTTTCCTTCTGCTGTTTGGATGGTCACCAATCCAAACCTTTTGTCTGTTGTATTTGATCTAGAGTCAACTTCTTCTCTCTCTGAGTAGGGATACTTGGGAATCATAAAACTCACAATACTGCCAGCTGTAAGAAAAGCTTTTCTAAATTAAAACAATAAACTGCCTATTTAAAAGTTGTATAGAAAATATACAACTTATCAATACTGTCACTGAGTGAGATCTAATGATTAAAATATTGACAATTACACTTAAAAAAAAAAAACTTTGATGACATGAAACAAAACAGGTTGATATGAAAAGAAGTGTCCAATTAATTTGACAATGAAAATAGTTACCATACCAGTATTGGGTTGGTTCTATAAAACATAGTTATGTCATGGTGTTGTTATTTAGACCTGTTTGATCCAACAGTTACAATACATATTTAAATAAATAGGGTACAGCTCGTAACATCTAAGCTGGCACTTGGCCAATCACTACTAGTAACTAGTTCAAAAACATTATGTCCTGTCATGCGACCGTCTTCACGACCCATATGAAGGCCCTCAAGTACATAATACCGGTCTTTTCTCTACCTCCACCCTCCGCTTACACTGCCCGCGCTAGGTCAAGTGCCAGCTTAGATATCACGAGCTGTACCTCTTTTTGTTTTAATTACTTGTTGTGGGTAAAATATCACTGGATTACTGAAGGTGCCAGATTAAGGCATAGTCGGATCAATGACAGTCTACAATACTACAAAACAACTAAGATGTAAACATTTGTTGAGGCTTTAGCTTTTGATTTTTATTTTTAAATAAATGTAAATATATTTTGTATAACACAACTGTTGTGAATATTGTAATGGAAATACAAAAATCGTTGGGAGGAACGATCGTGTTCCAACATCTAAAACTTTTAAGGACACCCCAAGATCTGAACATGTTACATTCCAACCAGTTAAAAATATTAGTCTAGAGAGTCTAGAGAGTACGATTAATCTGTGGTTGAAATATCCAATCATCTATCTCACACCTCCAAAAAGTCAACAATAAAACAAACTTACCGAATAAAACTAGTGCACAGAGGAAAATAGGGATGGTACAGGAAATGTCCAGAAGTTGACCAAATGCCAAGTTGCTAAGCATTCCTCCCAATCTTCCTGCCAGAACTGAAAAGCACACACCCATACCACTGCAACACAACAATCAATCCACTCATCATTTTGAAATGAAATAAGAAACATTTAAGTCATTTTTATTTATTATGGGTATGAAATCCATAGCTATGGATCAATGGAGTCAATGTTGTTTCATGATGTTAGTTGACTTTTTGCTAACAACTCAAGTTCTTCTAGTTTCAACATTATTCATTGGAATTTTTATTTTCATCAATTTAGAAGTTTTTAGTTTAACTATGCGGACAAATAAAGATGCAAAATTTCTGTATGAATGTTCGTAAGAGATATTTTATAGTGCTGTAATATGCTATTGCGATGGGGGTACGTTACACATTGTTTATTTTATTTTGAGTTTCCTGCTGATATTAAGCCAAACCGTGCATTTAGCCATATCTGAACTTTAGAACAACTCACGTACAATCAATGGCAGCGACATACAAATTCTTATTGACAACCATGCATATCTATACCACACAACCACACAAATACTATATATAAAAAAAACCTAAATCCAGTTATGCCAAACATTAAATATTGAAATCGCACAACTACACATCTATTGATAAATAGTTTAAGTATTACCAAAATCATTTCTGGAGATACATAATAAATATATAGATAATGATATATCAATTATAGAGTCAACTGAAAGTACAAAATTTATTGTTATAGAATCAAACTAAGAATTTGTGCGATTTAGTTCACATTCGATCTGCCTTGCTGCTATTTCAATAAGACTGTCTACTCATTCACTAGTTACTTACCTTATATTTGGTGGAAACATATCAACAACCAACGAGTTGTACACAACATTAGCTGTTCCAACGGTGAGTTGGAATGCTGAGGCGATTATAAGGTCAGTCATAAGATCTGTGGTGAAGTAAATTATTACCACACACAGCCCAGACATTGCCATTAGGAGAACTGAGAACAAAATTCATACAATTACTACTCACACTAGACACCCAATAGCGTTATCCAAGTTGAATTTCACATTAAACATATGTTGAGATTTTTTGTAAAACAAATTTAATGTTTAATGTTATGTAACCACATTCAATTCTTTTTGGCACACACACCTTTTGGCATTTTTCTCCCATCAATTATAGTTTTATCCATAGAAACAAGGTTGCATAGCTGTATTGTTATGTAATTTGTTTACCTACGACCATATTTTAAAGTAGCCGTTTCAGTTCAGAGTTCTTAGAATTGAAAAGTTTCTCATAACAGCATTGTTTACTTTCATAACAGCATAGTTTTAGTTTTACTCATAACAACACGGATAACGGACCAATGAGGTTCAAGGATTGAGAGAGAAGAAGTAAAATTGTAATCATTCGAACTTCAACTAATCAGCTGTTCAGGCCAATTTAATTATTGAGTGGTGCAATTAGTGTTTTGGTACAATGTTTCGTTACATCACACTGTCAGTGGCAATGAGAGGCTATAAACGAAAACATCACCTCTCTTAGAAGTTATGAGTAGTGATTTTTAGTGATTAAAACACTGTCGTAGATAAAGTAGTGTACGCAACTCGTGTAAATAGTGTTAACGCAATCGTTGCATAAACTGCTATAAAATATGTTGAAATTTCTATTTACTATTCTATTTCTATTTCTATTTTATTTAGCAATAAACCTAATACACTTGAAATAAGCGAAGGCTTTTTAACCCATTGGGGAAGGAATTAATGCGCTACCTGCAGCACCCTCTGGCGGCAATTAATTTTACCGAGTTTGTAGACTTTTACTCTAACTGCTATAGAAAGAAAACCTTAGGTAATAAATTGTTAATTCTTTCACCATGTTGTTCACAGTAAAATTGTCTACAGAAAAGTGGTAATTGGATAGTCAAAGTTCTAAACTAAAAAAATATATATATATAATGATTATAAAAATAAAAATTTTAAAAATAATTTTTTGAAAGTAAACTTGATATACAAATTCCAAGATTAATCCAGACACCAAATAACACTACTATTATAAAGGTCAATCGATTCCCTACGTAGAAAAATCAAAAGTTGTGTACTTTTATAAGTGTAATAACATTAAAAAAAAATTTTTGTTTACCTTACCGCAGCTGATTTTTGGTGATATGTGGTTCCCATGGCAACACAAAATTGTTTGTTATTTGCTAAAATAAATGAATAAATACACAAATCAAGAAGCAAGATATTTATAAACATTAAAATAGTAAGAAGAAACAAAAAGGGTGAAAAATAATAATAACTAAATAAAAAATGGCGCTGCCTAGCGGTGACACGAGTGGCTTAAATAAGTCGGCCGCCGGGCCTGCAGCGGCCGTACGAGTAACGCTCGTAAGTCGGCGCCAATGGGTTAAACCATAAATGAACTTTTACAATGCAAGCTGAATGAACTTTTACATATAGATAAGCTAAAGTTTGTATAAGCTAATCAGTACTAACTAAACAAGAATAAAATACCTCCTTAGCCTTACTTAATTGTATTTTGGTTTCCCAATTCTGTTTTCTCCTAGAGTAGTGTTGAGATAACTGTACCTGGTAAAGTTCTGCGATGCAGGCGGCCTGCTAGAACACCTGAGATGATGTTTCCCAGAAGACCAATGACTCCCATAACTAAGGACTTAATAAACACCGATGTATCCACATCAGTACCGTTGCAGAAGGGTTGTTCTGGGGACTGGACAGTGGAGGATGCTGGGCCAGCTGAACAGATTGTCGCTGGATTGTTGGGGAAGTGATCCAGATGAACAGTAATTCTATTAAACAGCTCAGGCAGCCACAGTCCCAGTCCATAATATCTGAAATGGCAAAGATGATTTAACACAGTGAATTGAAATTTTAGTTTGCTCTGATAAAGTTAAGATGCTACGAACACATGGGATTAAACATAACACTTTAAATTGTTTAGGTAATTTAAGAGAGGATAATATAGACACTGACCTCGTACCAACATGCTGTGAACTTGTTACAAACAGTGAAACAGCTGATCCAATTAAGTAAAAGTCAAAACCAATATAGTAATCTATATATATTGGAACATCCGTATCGATTAGTGTTAACGATACGAGTTGAAAATTTAAGGTACGAGCCTTGGCGAGTGCCTTAAAAACTTCTACGAGTGTCGTTAACACTATTTCTGCGAGTTGTGTGCACTACTTTACCTACGACGGTGTTTTAATTATTAAAAATCACTACTCATAACTTCTAAGAGAGGTTATGTTTTTGTTTATAACCTCTAATTGCCACTGACATTGATGCAACGAAACATTGTATCAAATACTAATTGCACCAATCAACAATTAAATTGGCCTGAACAGCTGATTAGTTGAGTTTCGAATCATTACAATTTTGCTTCTCCTCTCTCAATCCTTGAACCTCATTGGTCCGTTATCCGTGTTGTTATGAGTAAAACTATGCTGTTATGAATGTAAACAATGCTGTTATGAGATACTTTTCAATTCTAAGAACTGTACTGAAACGGCTACTTTAAAAAACGGTCGTAGGTAAAATTGTTTGCCATGTTGTTACCTTTTTAAAAATGCAAAATGACTGTTGTAACTTGACAAGAATGCTTATATCATGATATCAGAGTCAGAGTTGCAAAGGTAAACAGCTTTGTTGAGCTAGATCCTGGAAAATTATGGAACAACAAGTACATAATATAGAGGTACTATGTTAAACAACCGAGGCTAACTTACAACCTCGAGGGATCAAGCACCAAGTCTGAAGATCAAGCTCAAGCCTAGCATTTACGATAGCAGTGTTTTGGCTATTGCAAAATGTGTCACGCTTTCTCTGAGATTGACAACAATAACGTTTCCGTGATCCCGGAAGATGATGCACATGTTTCTGTGACCATAAGGGGTGGTACACATTTGGACGTGATTGCAGAGAATGATGATTATATTTTCGTAACCGCCAGAGATATTCAAGATTTTGCTGTGATCGCGGATGATAATGATGATGTTTCCTTGACTGCGGGAGATATTTAGGATTAAATTGAATTGAATTGAAAATGTCTTTATTCATATAATATACAGTGGTATACATTGAATGGCGTCATTATGCTAAAATACAGCTAACAACTTTATTTAATTTACAATTCCTCCATAAGCCATAAGGTACCTATTTAAACCAAAAATTGATCGGAAACAAAACAAAAAGTATGGTTGTCAGAGTTCATCAAATTTTTTATATAATGGTTTATTTGTTAAATGCAGTTTTAATTTTTTCTAAAAAAATTTTACATTATCAACGTTTCTCAATTCCACAGGTAACCGTAGTAAAAACTTAGCACCCGCATTTAATGTTTTTTTTATTATAAAACTCTAACCTGTGGAAATCAATGGCTTCAAAGGATCTTTCCGCCTTCGCGAAAGACGATGTAGATGTCTATAGGATTTCAATAATCTTCATATTTGTGGGACTGCAGGAGACACCGATGATGTCCACACAACCATGTGATAGTCTTGATTTTGTTGCAATCATGGAGGACAATGACAATTTTCTGTTATCGATAGATAGATTTATGATTTGCCACGATCACGCGAGACGATGATGATGTATATACAACCACAGGAGATAATCTTGATTTTGACACAATCATTGAAGACGATAATGTCCACATCATCGACACTAAACCGCAAAATAAAAGAAACTGCTATTATCAGATTAATGTGGGAGTGAGCTGGTCTAGTGGAAGAGAGCGGGGCTTCAGTGTCCAAGGTCCTGGGTTCAAATCTAGCCAATCACCAATGGATTTTATCAATGTGATAGTGCTGCAACCCTCTAGAACTAGCCTGAAGTAATGTGTAAAACAGTTCCGGGCTAGAGCTAGCGTCTTAGGATGTGAAGATGGGACATAAAAAAAAAACTATTACCTAAATGTGACCACAAAATTTGCAGCTCAGCCGGTGAGTATTTATCAGAGGCTGGCAATGTGGAATGTGTTCAACTTTTGGTGCCAATGCAGCGGCGACTAGCAGATCATGTGATCTCTCGCACTCATTGGCGCTAGCCAGCAGCGTAGTCTGAAAACCTCTAGAATCATGCCAGCGGTGACCAAAGTATGATCTTCTAATTCTAGCATTTCTTGTAATTTATGTGGTGATACTCATGAAACGTTTCTGTCCGTTTCTGAGTCCTCTTCTTTAAACTCTTTCAACAGTCTTGAAGACTGCACCTCAAAAATTTCAAAATTAAAGCCCCATCAAGTGATACCTCATTTTAAAGGCAATCAGTTAAAAATAATATAGGTCAAAACTAAAGAGGTCTCAATCTCAATCCATTACAGAATGGTGGCTTTTTAGTTTATCATCAGCCAGAGAGAACCCACTTAAAATAGACATCAATATCCAGTGTTAAGAGGGTTCCCTACCCCCACCGAAAAACGTCAGAAAACCGCTTCGCGCGGTATCATATAGCGATTCTAGTTTTAACATTTAAATTGTGAACCAAACACCATTTTGTATATAAAGAGTGGTTCTACTAAGTTTGCTTTTTAAAAAATGTCTATGCTTACGCAATCAAGGGCAACGACTTGTCAAAGTTAGTGAACTTTACAGTTAAATAATAATATATTTTTATGAAATTATCGATTTTTAATAAAGCAATATTAGTGTGAAATTTAACTAGAAATATCAAGTCACTATTAGTTTCAAGAAAAGATTATTTTTTGTATGTGCAAAATGAAACCGCGTAAAACCTTGCACGGCGAAAAGTGCTATGATTCTGACGGACTCTAGCGGCCTTTATCGAAACTACTGTCTCGCGGAGGGATACAAATTTTACACATTCTTCATCATTCATAATATTTCCCCCAAGATTTATCCATGACACATAATAACATTATATTAATTATTATAAACCAGTTAAGCAGTATAAATAAATACAGCCAAGAACCTGTTGATAATATAAAAACGTTCAGTCATATAGGTTGTAGCATACTTGTGAAACAAAAACGTTTCAAATTAATATTTCATTTGAATAAATTAATAATTTGAATTAAAATTAAATAAATTAAAATTAATAAATATTAGAGGGAACTAGGGGAGAAGGTGAAAGTGAGTGCACTGCTGGGGCGGGTTTACTAGGATGGGCCTACTTCCACTGCGGAGGCGTCCTGGCGGTGACACGACCAGCAGACAGCGATCCTAGGGAATATTTTGTCGTCTTGTAGTTCCAACTAAACTCACCAGGGTCGCAGAAAATTGAAAACAGTTCGAGGTAGGGAACCCCCTTAACTTTTTAATGCTGGTACCAGGAAAACCATAACTCAGTATTACCAAAACAAGAAACTCAAAAGTACCTTTTCATCGTGTTGACACTTTCACCCAGGACCCTAAAATGGCGTATTTTGGGGGCAAATCAACATTTTTCAATATTAAGACCCATCAGAATCTGTACAACACAACTGATTGATAACTTTCAAAGCAATTATGGAATGATGCTGTACTAAATTGGTTTAGATGTTTGATATATTCTAGTTATCTATATTGACAAAATATTGTATTTTGTAAGGAATGGGACAGATTATCTGTCGATTGTAATAAATAGTAATAGTAATAAGATTTTACTTTGAACATTTTAATTTATTGTTGTTGAGCAGTCTGAGGAACAAAAGTTTTTGAGAACAGGGACAAATCAATTAAAATATAGACACAAAATTACCCATTTTTTTTTTTTTTTTTGTTCTAGGACACTAGGCACGAGCCCGGAATTGTTTTTCACATTACTTCAGGCTGGACCTAGGGGTTGCTGCATTATCACATGGATAAAATCCATTGGTGATTAGGCGGGATTTGAACCTGGGACCTCTGGAACCAAAGTCCCGTGCTCTAACCACTAGACCAGCTCACTCCCCAACAAACTTACCCATACATATTACTGAAGAATAGAAATGACGATAGGAGTGTGATCTTCACTGTTGAAGGATTGAACAACAACTTGGCTTGTCTCACCATGACAGTTAAAGTGCTGTCTTTTGAGCTCTCGCTGTCACTCGTCTTATCTTGCATTTTCAAAGAGGTTACCTGCAAGCAATGAAGACGCATGATAAAATATGTCCGACACATCAGGGTGTGTACCATCTCAGAACTCTCCATAGAGAAATAATAACAGAAAAGAAAACCTACTTCAGTGCAGAGTATAGACAGATTATTTCCAATACATGAAAAAATGAGCTGAAGCAAATAATGTAACACTGGCTTTTAAAACCTCCAACAATCTAAGTTGTATTTTAAACGAAACGACAAAGAAACCTGCCTGTGAAAAGTCTGGGGTTTACAAGATTGAATATGATGATTGAGCTAAGTACTGTGTGGTTTTCCCCCCAGCCGTGTATTCTAGACTAGATTCAAGGTGCATACCCAGTATTAAGAACCATAATAATACAAAATCAATTTTCGCAGCACATTTTATCAACACTAATCATATTTTTCCCGATTTTGACACCAACATGAAACCTTTGAACTACTGCAAAAAAGGAAACTTTATGGATGCTGTAGAGGACTACACAATTTACAAAGCCTCAAAGAAAGATTGAGGAGATATCCCAAACAACCAAATCTATTTTAAATCAAATGAATTATTCAACACTCTGCTCAAACTACATTAGTGATAACAAAGTACAAAGGTCAACCCTGCTTCAACTAAACTGCAGTCTCCACATGTCAACCGACCATAGCCACCTGGGGGTACCTGGGGCCACAGGTGTAGTCCAATATTGATTTTTTATGAATTGTCTAAAATGTTTGTGTATATGTGTTTAATGATTTCACACCCTCAATACAAGTAAAGATTAATTTACTTGACAAGTACTAGGCAAAGACACACTCCCACTTGTACGTAGACTATGCTTCCCTGTCAACAAACAAACATACTTCAGATGTTAGAGTACTAGGCAAAGACACACTCCCACTCTTGTGCGTAGACTATTTTTCCCTGTCTACACACAAGGCGACATGTTCACCAAAACAATCGTCATCCACCCTTAGAGGAGGTATTATGAATCAAGAGACGACAAAGGTGAATTAACACTATATTTATATAGGTATTTAATTGATTAATTTGGTTATAAATGAACTACCAAATTTATACAGTAATATTAAACCCATAATTTCTGCAGAGACTGAATTCAACTAAACTGCTTTGGTCTTTAGAGGATTTTTTTATGTGTATGAGTTCCTGTGATAGCCAAACAAATTTGTTTGTTCAAGAACAATCAGATATTTAACTCTTATTTAAGCTAGTTACTTAAAACTGTATGGTTGAAGGATCTATTCTAATAATGTATTCAGAAAAATTTAAAAAAAGCCAAACCAATCAGGTATGCTGATGATACAACATTGATTATTAAGAATAATACAACTCATGGACTCTACTAAGAGATCACTGAATTAACCAATAAAGCACCAACGTATACTGTCTTCAAAATTACTTGGCAATAAATCCAACAAAAACCATGCAAATAAATTTCAGCAGAAGACAGTTGCAGACAACTGAAGCTACAAATATCACTGTCGATGAACAGTCCAAACTACTAGGCATGACCTAACTCTCTTGGACAGAACATGTGAAAAGTCTGTGGAAAAAATAGGATCTGAAGTTTATGTAATGTGTAGAATTAAATGGATAGGAGGACAGGTATCAACCAAGACTGCATACTATGCCTTAGTTGAGTCCCACACAAGATGGATTAGTGGTCTGTGGTGGAACCACAGAGCAGAACCTTACAAGAATACTGAGACTTCAGAAAAAAGCTATAAAAACGCTAGCTGATCTCAGCCCTACAGAAAGCTGCAGGGAAGCTTATAAATCACTAAAAATCATGACTGTGATATCACTATACATCCTTACAGTAATTAACTATACTTAACAGAGTGAACTTACAAGAGGAAAAGATTCTCACTCACAACACTGGAAGAGCTACAGACTACCTTCTCCCAGCTCACCATACAACTCAATACAGCAAGAAACCTACCTACATGGGACGAAAAGTCTTCAATAGAATGCCCAACCACTTGAAGATCTTAAGAAATCAAGACCTGAAGAGGAAACTCAAAGACTGGCTAATGGATCAACCATTCTACTCAGTAAAAGAATTCTTTGGTCATTGAAATTTTTTGAATTGTTAAGTAAGATGAAAATTCAAATTACAATCTATGCATATGACACTATCGTATTTCTTAACGAAATCTCAATAAAGAAAATTGATTGATTGATTGAACTTAAATTTTTTTTTTTTTTGCCTCTGGAGATACAAAATGAAAAAAGTAAATCGGTCCCAGGTCATCGTCTCACCATGCCACCAGGTATAGCTTCTGCTCTATAGGGAAAATTTGCTAAAATAATACTAATGCACATTACTTACCGAGAATTCAGAAGGATCACATTTGTTGTTGATGGCATAAATGTTGGCCAGAATAGCAAGAGCTTTGTCTCCTTTTCCTTGCACTAGAAGAAACACAGGGCTCTCTGGGAAGCAGAGATGCAGAGCCGCAGCAGTTAAAGATGGCAATGACATCAGGGCAACAAGTAATCTCCAAGAATTGAACACCATTCCTTGCCACTCTACTGACAAGGTCAGTGGAATGATCATCCAGGCAAAACCTTGACAAATACCACCTTGGTTATCTTAAGTTTCAATATAAAAATATATGAAAACTATTTATAAAACCAACAAAATATATTTGTCAATCATCCATAGTCAAATTTTGCAACTAATGTATGGGTTAGGATGGGCCATTAACTTGGCAATTGGAATAAACATAGAGTCAAATTCCAGATGCAATGAATACGTCAACTGAATGAATTATTTTTATAGAGACTTGTTTTCTGTAGATCAAGTTTTAGGTATAGTTTCTTACGGCATACAATGTACTGATGTACGAATAAGAAATACAAATAATTTGATTTGTAGTTGATTGTATTTGAATAGCGCACAATCTGTTTCTCTTAACCCTCCCCGGACAGGTGACGGATATATTCGCCTCAGTCTTTTTCGATAAAGGATGGGTGGCGGATATATCCGCTTATGGTTTTTGATGTTCCGGACGGGAAGCGGATATATCCGCCTTCTCTTCAGACAGACTGGTAGGTGTCTGAGCAGTAACCAGATGTTTCACGGTACCAAGGCACCACTTTCCTGCTCTCTCCATGGCTGTGCTCACTCCCACACTCCCCCCTCTCTCCCGTGCCTACCCCTATCCCGCGCACCACCAACCTCTCCTACGCTCCCCCCTCGACGTTTCGTGCTCAACACTACGTTGTCTTTATTTATTGTTTACATACTGTTCTTTATTTATTGGCTAATGTTGTCATGTTCATATCTTTAAAGACGGGTGGCGGGTATATCCGCTGCTTTTCTACTCATACGCGGACGGGTAGCGGATATATCCGCATAGTTAAAAACGAGTAAAAAATTATTTTGACAGTATGAAGTTTTCCATTGTGTTCATTTTATGTATACTTGTATAACAAAACACAAATAAGGAAAATTAATTGTTATTTTTCCTATAATTTTTTCCCGTTTTATGTCACGATTTTGCCTGTCCGGGAAGGGTTAAGCTCCTCTTACATAACGCTCTTTTTTCATTGAAACTACTCATCCAAAATTGCTGAGGATTTGGTGTACAGTGTGTTTACTCCTGCCTGCTAAAAATATACATTTAGCAATAATGTAAGTTCCTTACTTCAATTAATTAAACACTTTTTTGATTGAATGACTTCATAAACCTAAGGTTCTAAAAATTGTCATTATTAAAAAACAGTGATCTTTGACAAATGTGCCGCAATATTTATTCAAAGAGTCATTATTCATACATACGTTTAGTGAGTTTTACCTGGCATTATTACCCATGACAATGTCCAAAAGATTCCAACGTAACAGATCCATCGTGTGCGGTCAGCAGAAGGAAAGAACTCTCCCATGTAAGCGAAGACCACTGATGACGGCCCCCCCACCCTGTAGAACAACACAATCGACTACAACAGAGGCAGCAAATTACTAAAATAAGGACTGATTATATTTGAAGGAAAGCCAGTCTTATTAGGGATCTTGAAAAGGATAGAGTTCAGTTAATTAATAAATGGTTTAAATACCTTAACTGTCAAATGATCCTTGGAGTAGTATTACACTACTGCAGTTTCAGCCCTCAGAGGCTAGCTCCTCGCCTCCACGTGTCACGCATCAGTGCCGGTACATATGAAAAATGTTTGTGACTCTTACGTGTTATTTGTTTTTATGTTCCTGTTCGTGTCCGTATTTGTCTTCTTGTAGTTTAAATGTGACGAATTCGTATGAATGACAACTTTTGACTTCCTTTGACACCTGAAGAAAGCCCCCTGAGGGCTGAAACCGCAGTAGTGCAAAACTACTCCAAGGATCACTTGACAGTTAAGGTATTTAAACTATTTATTAATTAGGTAGCTAAAATTATTCGGAGGCTAACATCATGAAAGTTAATTTAGTTTACCTGAGAAAATCAGAGTCCAGGTACAAATATAGATACAATAAAAGGTCACAAGCTCTTTCAGAGAGTAGGTTGCACAACTTATTTTAATGGCTCTAAAGGCTCACACTGGGCCAGGTCCGTAGTTTGCATGTGATGTGCAATGGGCCACATAGATAATTGCGCCCCTCTCCTACTGCATTGTGGGGAGTTTTCCTCATCCTAGCGCCCCAACAAACCTAAAACCTCATGTACACCTGGGCCTGGGCCTGCATTTATTAAAGTTGCCCTACACGTGTCCCCACACCATGGGGTGGCAGTTCTGATTATTCAGATAATGGCTATCTAAACTATTCCTTTACAAAAGATACATACATTAGAATTATAATGGCTGTGATATGATTCTTAATCAGTTTTATACAGTTTTCATACTAACTTTGGACAAACTCTAGATCATAAATTATTACAATTTCCTATATACTTTTTACTTATGTACTGCTAGAGGTACATTAAATACCCTTTATGTAATATAAAATATATACAGATAATTACAGTAAAAAATCTATAACACAAAATTGAAAAATTATTTTAAAAATATAGATTAGAATTAAACCTTACTTAAAAGTTTCACTAAACCTAATAACTCACACAAAACCATTGAGAAATCTAAATATCAGGAGAAGGTAGAAATGCTGTGAAAAGCTTGAGCATAAAGTTAGAATTCCATCAAATAACATCCCATAAACGATAACAGTCTTTCGCCCCATCACATCAGCAATGACACCCCATAGGAAGTTGCTAGCAATCCCTCCTGGAAAATATGATACAAATCCATTACAAAATTATTTAGTTTATGTAATTAACTAGGAAAAAAATTTAAACATAAATTTATTGTGTATAGTATATTTAATTTATATTCTTGTCTTATAAATGTAGAATTAACATCTTTGAAATGTATTTGTCACAACTTTTTCAGAGTTTCATCATATGGTCATCTCTAAAACTTTGATACTTCCATTCTCTGCCAAATATAAAATTTCCCAACTGCAGCAATCCTCAGACTTTTCTGATTAGATATCTTCTAAAATATTTCCATAAACAAGGTATATAAAATTATTCCCTATTTAAATAGCATACAATTTATTTGATTACTTAGGTTTGCTACAACAGGGAAGTGTAAAGAAGGAATAAGGTTTTTTTTCAAATTCTAAGTATAACAAGAAATAAAATAAATTTACCAAGTTCGATCAAAATATAACCACAAAAAAGCAATTACTAAATTTTGTTCTCTCTCCATAACAATACGATGGGAAATTTAAATGTATAGTTTTTTTTAGAATTTCCTACCCAACCTATAATCCGTACAACAATTTTTCAACATAACATTTTTTTAGCTCCACAGGATGGCTATAAGGAAAATTGGGCAACTTTTATATTTTTGTATGAATATGAATTCGAAAAAAAATGTTTTAAATTAAAAACCACTCTTCCTGCTTTGCGAACTCATTCAAGTTTATTCAGCTCTACAGAGTTATGCCAACTTTAATCAAAATCTGACCAAAAATACTCAAGTTATCATATTGACTGACACACGTAAATATAAACATTTGAACGAATAGTATTTTTGTACTCTAGGGACATCAAAATGAAAAAGTAAATTCATCTTGGGTCTAGGTGATTCCGTTCCACCTACAGTAATAGCATCTTCTCCCTAAAGGAAATTTGCTAAAAGCAATGGTTAATAATAGAAATGTGAGGATTTTTATCTACCAGCCATCCATTTCCTTTGTATAACACTTGGATCTTTATGTCAGGTTTATTACTTAGGCAAAAAACTGCATATAATGTAGTGATAAAATATGTAAATAAAATTTCAAGAAATGTAACGCTGCCATATGAAAATGCGCCGGATGTTGATATAGACTAAAATCAATGGTTTACCAGCTAGGAAAACAGCATTGAGCAATCCCATCTGAGCTGAAGTAATATGTAGATCACAGTGCACTGAGGGTAGGATGTAAGCATTGAGGTTGTTTTGCAGCCCTGCAGCTAAGTACATGAATCCACAGGTCAGAGCTAGCCACAAATGGTATCTGCCAGTGCCTGGAAACAAGAAAATCAAATAAGTCAGCAGTTGACACATCTGAAAATAATAATTATTGATTTTGAAAACACCTACTAACATAAAAAGAGGGACAAGTAATGGTTCAGGACCAATTTTAACTACAACTTTAGTTTGGAAACTAATCTCTGTTTGGTCACTGCGGCAGAAGTTTTGGGTACAACACGGGCATTTTGGTACAGACGTATGAAGCAGGTCATTCGGCTTCCAGCCATGATAAAGGCAAGGTCAAGTGAAAACTCATTTTAACCCTAAGGTATCTCAAAATGTAGGAGACAATAGAAAATCTTTCCAAATGTGAGATTTGAGCTAAGATTTTTAACACCAAAAAATATTCTGCAGCATATTTTAATTGGATGTTTTGTGTTGTGTGGACACCAATTGTGATGAATGAAGGAGTAGTTCTTGAATGGGTTCTTTAGCAAAGAGGGCCATTCCAAACAAACGCCGTGGTATGCTGGCCTCTGGTGATTTTGCATGAAAACGCTCCACCTGACGCTGCTCAGATAACAAAAGACCTTCTGGGAGATTTCAATAGGGACATGCAGTATTCAAAAATCTTATAGCTCAGATTATTCAGCTTCTCCTATAGCTCAGATTTGGCTCCAAGCAACCACCATCTCTTCTTGCAATATCATGAAGAAGTGGCTGGGATCTCAGCTGTTCTGTGATGATGAAGAACTGTAACCGCATCTCCTAGTTCTTTTTTCTTCTTAGTTTATCTTCTCCAGAAATTTCTTTGGCAGGCTGCAGCTTTTAATGAAGATGGAATTTCATAGCTTGTAAAAATATATATGATGTATGAATGTAAAAATGTATGATAATTATGTTGAAGGATAAAGTAGATATAGTTTTAAGATGTATATGATAAATTGTTACTATTTGCAGAGTAGTTTATCATTTAACTGACTAGAGATTACTTTCCGAACAGAGTTTATCTATTTTCAACATGTAATTTATGCTATAGAGGTCTGTTTAAAAGGTATCCGACCTTGTTCAGGAAAAGCAATATTCATCAAAATTTGTCTTAATCATGTGACCTCCTTCAAAATGGTCCCCTAGGAGCTTCACACATTTCTTCAAGCGTTCCTGCCACTTTTGGAAACAAGCCTTGAACTTTTCTTTCTTAACGGACTTTAGATGAGCTGTCACATTTTGCATTATCTCATTTCTGCTATCGGGTGCAGTTTTTAGACTACTACTAGATAAAAAGTATACTTGGATACTTTTTGAACAATCCTCGTATGATACATTTATCAAGAACTTACCGATAGTATCAAGTGCTACAGAATAATCCACATCATTCTCAGGTGGGACGAGAGACTGACGATGTGGATGTCGAATGCTGACTTCACTGACAACTCTAAGGATATCTGCTGTACTGCTGGAGATAGACTTTGACCACCTCCCTGGAACAGGTAACAGGTAATACAGCAGTAAGTATCAAGAAATGTATAGATTGTGTCAGTTAGGATAGGGTATAGGAAGGGTAGAAAGCTCTCCTGCATCTTGCAAACACACACTAATTGATTCGACCTATATGTTCGGATGGCAGTGGGGTGCAACAAGTTGAATGGCTAGAGGCTGGATATTTATTACTTTGAACCACAGGTTCATATGAAATTGCCAGTGGAGTTTTGCTATGTAAGACTATAACTAGGTAATTCAAAGACTACATCAAGCTATAGGTCAGATAATAAAGCTGTTTGAGCATTGAAGATATCTCAGGACAAGCCATACGATCTTTTTTTTTTGCAGAAACATTAAAAAAATATTCTACTGAATCATTTTCTTTATTTAAGCGATGTGAAATTGATAGATTAGAAATAAATGAAAAACCTTTATGATAACAATCTATAATAGTTTTTACATTTCATAATTTCTTTGTACTAATAGTTTTACTAACCGGTGTAAAGTATTGTTTTAAAAATATTATTTAAGAACAATCATTGACTCATAAATCAAGATGGTTATTATTTTTTCCAGTCAATTAGTTTCACTGTCAAGAATATAATCACAAAACTGGAGATGTGCTTAGTCTGCAGGATTGCTGCAACAGCAGTTTTGGCATACGTCTCAGGCAAGATTCTAGATTTACACAATTTGAAATAGCCCCATTAAGTTAATGCAAGTGTTGTTTCGACAATTTTATTTTTATCGTTGATATAGCTCGTCTAGCTTTAAGAAAACTATTTTTAGCTGTAAACACTCCAAATTATTATATTAATCACAGCTTGTTTACATACTAAGGTTGAGAAAGCACTTGCTATATCTTCTCAAGATATCTAAATTTAAACATTTGCTATCTTTACACATTTTGCCAACACACTTGTGACGTCATAAGTATTTTGAAAACAAACTGGCTACTTATCTAATGCTTTGATTAGTTTGGCTTGAATTCCTCTGATTAGCCCTAGGAACATTTTAAATTAAATGATAAGATTTAAGATAGCAAGTCAATTGGTTACACAATAAAATATGTCAACCCAGCAAACTAAGGTTTGCTGAAAATTGAAAAGAAAATTGCCCATTTAGTACATTGTAATTAGACCAAATAAACCGGGACATCCAAAATAAAAGCACACTTTTGACTCCAAACTCCAAGTTCAGTAGGCTACAGTCAACATAATGTTCGGTAAAAAGTTACACTTATTTGAGCCTTGGTTATGGGGGGAGGGGGGGTTAAGGTTGGAAAAATAGTACTTTTTTTATTGAATATATCAGAAACTATGCATTTTAGGGTAAAAACGTCCCATACAAAAATAATATACATAAAGTCTAAAGAAGAATGGTCTTCTTCATTACTTGTTAAAGTGAATGGTTAAAGAGTTACTGAAGATTAAGAATTAGTTATTTGTGCAACTAGTGAGAAAAGTGAGCAATTGACTCACTCGAGAGAAATCCTTACTCACGAGCCGTAGGCGAGTGAGGAATGGTTTCTCGAGTGAGGCAATTGTACTTTGAACTCGAGTTGCACATTATACTTTTCCTACAGTTACCATAAAACAAATAAATTTGTGAAGAAACATAACCTATTTTTACACAGAAGTGAACTTTTAATATAACATTTAATGTGAAGTGACAAATACAACAGTATAACAGCTGACCAGCTGATTTACAGCCAGTGCTGCCAACGTATTTCGTGCGCATACGACGTTGCCTGAATGTTACGCGCTCACTATTTCGTGCCTTCACGTTGCAAATCTGGAGTGAGACAAAGTAATTAGAGTGAGACAATGTTAACATTGTCTCACTGATGAGCGAATTGGCCACTTTGCTTTCTCAAATCAGTGAGAGAACATGTACATTGTTAGGTAACTGTAGGAAAAGATATTTTTTTACCATCTTTAACGCTTTAAAAGTCCTGGAAGTAGCTAAATATTTCAAAAAATAATAAATATAGAGCTACAAAACTTGGAACAAAGTCACTGAATACAAAAATAATTTTTATTTATTATTTAGTGATACGCTAAATTCTCAAGAGGGTGACCCGCTCGGAGTTAGAAGAAAATCTTTAAGGTTAGAAATAGGTTGATATGTACATAAAATTAATAAAGGTCTTTGTTAGTAAAATAAAATGCCGCGAACCCAAACTCAAAGTGTATGAAAAAACAAAGCCCAGAAATGAGGACAGTGTCTGTTAGAACTCTGGTTTTTTTCCACACAAAAATCATTTTACAGAAAAAAACACATTTGAAATAATTTAAACCACAAAACAAACAATGCACAGTTCTATAGTGGGTAATTTTGCTCCCAATGGTAAAAATGGGTAGTATGTGTTACGTTTGGACCTTCGGCTGTTGGTCACATTGTATGTTGGACATCAGCACAGCATAGTAGGTTGGTGACCTTGACAGAGGTATAGTGGACTGATAGTTGCAGTAATTATTGTATTAGATCTGATGAAGTAACAATTAACATTGTCTCGCTATCAGGATCATGGACCATACCAACTTGCTAAGTAACATGAAAGTAATGGTGATTTTTGATAAAAGCTTTGTATTCTCCAATTGCTTAATATACTCCTTATGTAGTTTTATTTTTTATTCCACATTACTTAATTCATAAAATTGTAATTAATTTTGCCCATTCAATGTCTTTTGGTAAATATATTCAACTCTTGGAATATACAATCTTGTGGTAACAGCTTGTAATTAAGCTTTTATTTGATCGTAGACTATTAGCATTGACTATTGGACACTGAAGTAGACATCCCACCTATTACACAGCTGTCGCCAATTTTGATTTAAAAAGAACATAGGTAAGTGAGCCAATCACAAAATTCGCTAGTGTCTAACATTCTATTTTCTATTTTACTTTGTTGTTGAGGACATAGTTGATGGGTCATAACAGTTGCTATAGCTCACAATAAGTCATTCTGTTAGTTCGACTTGGTAAAAGGTTTGTGTGTTCAACAGAAATCAGTAATTTACAACAGGGCACAATATGTCGGAGGCTCACATCAATTACGACGACTTTGGTTAAGAAAATGATGACAACTTTAACATGGGGATGGAATGTTAAGTTATAACAATAATTAAGGTATCAGTAACACAATTAATATAGGTTTGTTCAATTCCTTTGTGAGATATCTTTTTAATCAACGTTTACTCAACACCCTTTATTAAATAATCTTTTACTAGATTTCTTAAGATAAACTAACAATTGAACTTCTACTTTGAGCTTACAAGAATTTAAGATTTTATTTTATTTTATCTGTAAATGTTACTCTCATAAAATGTATTTATACATTTTCTAAAGTGCAAACAAGTAGTATTTTTCAAGAATAGCCAATCATTTTCTCCACAGTTAATTTAATAAATAGGCTACAAATTTTGTATTTTTTTATAATGGTAAATATTACATTAATAGTGTGAAATCTAATAAATAATCTTGTACAAACTCAGCTTGATAATTTACAATAAAAAATAGGAGAATGGGAAAAGTTGTAACATCCATATCATCAACATGCAAACAAAGTTTAGAATAACTAATCATATTTAACCTAAACACAATGTGTTATAGAATTATTCTTTGAGAAATAAAATGAAACCTTTACTTGTAACTTTCTCATAGTGTTTGGACTTTAACGGAAGCTATTATAATAGCGCTTGATCATAACACACATGTTTGACACACCAGGCTTCTAATTGCACTAAGTAAGTGTCCACGACAGGAACTGATGACCAGACTCTCTCTACTATGAATCTATACTTTGAATGAATAGCAATGACAAATAATATTAATTGATATATTATATGATTAACCCTTCATGGGTTTCATTTCACAAACACAAGATGTGACTCAGGGGCAACATAAACAAAGAGGGTAAATATAGGTATAGAGTAAATAAATTCAGTTTAAACTAATGACATAAATATGGGCTAAACACTGGTTGAACTATAAAAAGTATGCAAATAATAATAATAACAAAAAACAAGAGATTACACACAACAAAACCTTCCGAGAACTTAAAAGCACAAGAAGTGAAACATGGTGGTGTCCTCCATGCTGCATGAACCTTAAGATTTAGGCAGAAGGTTTTGGAGAGTGGAATAAGGTCAAGTTGGTTCATAGAAAGACGTGTATGAGATATTGTGTCTTCTATGACTGCCGCCCGGTAAAAACACATATTTTAAAACTAAAATACAAGCTTCCAAGGGAAAACTCTGTTAATTCACCCATCAACGATTAAGATAATTTGTTTTCTTCATGAGTCTAAGCAAAAGTACTGGTCAAAGAAGGGAGGAGGGCTTAAACTAGTATGTACCATAGGTAAACAATAAGATGGAGTAGGTCTTCATCAAATTGTTTGTGTATCTAATTGTTTTTGGATGCACAATTATAAAAATGATAGGTAGTTACTACATGATTTATTTTAAAAAAATTATCAAAATTGAAAAATTGTTTGACGATAAATGTTTAGTTTACTTGAACCAGAAAACAGTGGCGCCCTGATTTGAGTCCATCTCCCTCTCACAGAAAAATTAGGCTACAAGGGATTGTTCCTTACAAGAGTTTATCTGCTTGAGTGTGAGTTTTATAACAACTGAATAGAACTTATTCTGGTTTTTATTTGAGAATATTTGGTAATAAAAATAAAGGCGGTCCACTGATTCCTTTATTTTTGTTTTCCTAAAAATCTGTTTCATATAAAAAACTATATTTTTAAAAATTGTTTCTATAGTATACCTACTTTTAATAAATAATATAAACTATTGAATTGTTTTCCACCTTGCACCTCTAACAAATCTAAAACCTCTTGCGGCCCTAAGCCTGGATCTACTCCACCCTTTTATAAAAGCGGCCCTGGTAACAGCTTCTTCCTTTTAGGGGATTTTACTAAATGATGAAAATCTTAGGAAGATGTACAACAGTTTTTAGCCAAAGGAAAAATTAACTGACAGAAGAGTCATCATCAGGAATCTTCAAAAAATATTGATTGAAAACTATAACAAATTGAAAGTGTTGGACATTATCTGATGTCCTATCCTAACTATAAGACATGATTACAGAAGCGCTCTAAATAAAACATATTTGCTACTGCGAATTACTTTAATATAGCAAGTTCTCTCCTCTTGTAATATCTGAAGCCTGATTCAAGTCCGCTTCAAGGTAAAGCTTAAATGCGCTTATGGTAACAAAATGTTTCTTTCTTATTTTAGGGTGTATATGACAATGTGCGCTCTAATCAATGGTGATAAAACCCACCAGAGGAAAAGTAAATGGCTCACAAACAAACTTTATGTTTGGTGGTAATATTTTCAAAGTTGGCAAAATAACAAGAAATAAAACGAAACATCGAAATACACTCTGGTAATCCTGGACAGGAACATGATTTAAAACCGTCATTCGTTGACCAATAGGGGGATAACTCTATAAGGGAGTGTTTAAGAGAGTCTCGGTGCTGCTAATTTCTCAAACATCGCTTAGCAAAGTTGAAGAAACTCCACACGAGGGCTGCTCACAGAAACTAAACAATCTGCTAACATTCGCTATTTAAACACTCAAGAAGGACCTCCATACCCTAAGGCTACAAGAAGGTTACGTGCAGCCCAGCATTTATAAATGTTCTTGGAAATCAACTGACTGAGCACCAGTAGACTCTATTGTCCAATACTGAGAAAAGTCAGTAGCTTTTTGATGATTCAACTGGACTCAGCTATCCCTGATCACTGGACTTTAAATAAATGATTCTGAGTTATGAAAAAACTTAACTTATAGTCAGTAAGAAAGCTACAAGATCATCTCACATCATTCTACACTCATCCTTCTCTAGCTCATATTTCAGTTAAAATACGCACCTAGGGTGGGTCCCCCTCTCAATTGATAATTGATCAAATAAATAATCTTCCATTATCCGACCATCCGAGTTATCCTACATTTCCCGTCAATGATGGAGGACCATGAAATCGTGTGCTATTTCTCTTTGGCATGACTGTACACTTCAGCGTTCCCACAACTACATTAGAAGGATATCAAAGACTTTACCCACACACACACTCACAAACAAATATACCAGCAATCACACAAAGACACAAAAGCACTAGGCCGGCCCGTGGTTTTCATCTGATGCGCTCTGAGCCCAAGAGATAATTGGGCCCCTCTCCACCTGCATTGTTGGGGAATTTTTCTCTTCCTTACACCCCCCAAACAAAACTAAAACCTCTGGGGCCAGTGGGGCCCTACGCCCGGGTCCATTTATAGAAGCAGCCATGGCCCGCCAGCCGAGACCATCTGCTCAAAATAGAGATTTTTCATTGCCGTCACAAACTGGGAACGGTGTTTCAAGGGTTTTAATGTGCAGGGGTAAGCCATCCCTCAGACAGCAAGCAATAACAACCAAATCTATGTCATAATCTGTGGTCACATGATGAGGTAATAATATGGTCAAAGAAGAACGCAAAATTCGTGATTTACCCTGAGACAAAAATTTGTAATCTGATATCAAATTATTTGGGGAACTGATTTAAAATTTTTTTAAACCGATGAACCAATGAATCTTTGATCATTTAATTTCAAGATGTGTGCCTCAAGGTAAAATAGTGTGCTATGATAGCCTCACGTTGCACGTTGCAGACCATAGACAAATCTCAAACAGTAGTTCTGAGACTGCTGGAGTATACTCGCCTGGGTCACAGTCACGTCATTGATCAATGAGTTGCAGGGAGGTGGTAGGAGTGATTTGAAAAAGTGTAGTTTAGTGTGTTATGGCAAAAAATTCTGTATTCTTTTCAGTGAATGTTTGGAGACAAAATGAGTTGTGTGTGCCCGTAATTACCATGTCATAAGTAAGTGAAGAGTTTAATTATATGCCAAGATTCTTTACTTTCTCGTAGTTGTGTAGTTTGTGATAAGAGAGTGATTTTTAAGTAGGGCTTGTTTGGTGTATAAATCCATAGTTGGTCTATACCCCACAACGAGGTTCATCACCATTTTCTGGCATCATTTTTGAAGAGAATGACTTACATCTCAGCTCTTTAGTTTGCTTGTACGCTTTGATTTGCTAGTGAATCCAAGCTAAGGTCAGTGATATGTTTTTATATTACAAAAAAACATATCCGATGCTGACATTCATCGCCAAATGACTGAAGGTGATGTTGATGTCTCTAATGAAATGAGTGAGGGTTACGTGTGGAAATGGGTTATGAAGTCAATGGCCGTGAAATCCTTTTTCTCAGCAGTCTTCTTTGAGAAATCTGAGTACCCACCAAAAGAGCAATTCCTTAAAAATTAGCATTTTCAAGGCCATCTTTAAACTCCCAAGCTTATTCCTCCACTTTATCTTTGCATCAGGGTCATAATCTCCAGTCATATGACGATGAATGTCGGCATCGAATAGGTTTCTTGTAATCAAAAACTTATCACTGACCTTACCTCAGACACGGCTGGAGATTTGATTTTTTAAAGATTTTAAAAACTCACAGCAAAACGTAATACATGACAGCTAGAGAGCTGAAATTGTGTCATTCTGTTCACAAATGATGCCAGTAAGTGGAGATGAGCCTCGTTGGAGCGTATAAGCGAACTATAGATTTATATGCGAAACCGGTTCTTACTTATAAAACTGCCCTTGTACTTCCATTACTGCCACTGACATGCTATAGACACTTAAGAAAAAAATTCCCTACCTGCTTTCTGAGACTTATCTAAATATTCATGCTGTATTTGCTGTGGATAGTTGGTGGTAAATGTGCTAATGTTGACACAGTTTTTATAAAATGAATTTAATCTTAGATGGAAATAAAAACTTTATTTTACCAAATGCATTATACTTTTAAGCTTAATATTTTTAAACTTAATATTTTTATTACCAATTGTTTTAAGCATAAAAAACATTTTAATACTTTGTTGTACAAATTAATTTATCGCTAAAGTGTCTAAAAAAAATAAAATAATATTTATAAATAGGTCAAATTATAAATTTATGTTCCAATACAATACTAATGAACTTTGCAGTAAAAAGATCCCTCTTTGGATAATCTGTCAACTTTGATGTACCGGTATTTTTATTTATAATTTTAAAACTAAACCTCTGAAACCCAATAATTTCCATAAATATAAATATTTAATTAAACGTAGGCTAGTTAAAAAACAATATAAGATTAATGATAAATTATCTACTTACCTCTATTTGCCATCTTTCAGCCACTGTAGCCAACAAAGGTGTGCGGTGCGTGTAAAGTCTACCGGCGGCGCTAGCAATGACTCTCCACCACTCCCCCCCCCCCTTACTTAGTCATTGTTGCTCCCGCGTCATTGCCGATTGCTTAGCTCTTGTTTCCTAAACATCCCCGATAAAGAATTGCTTATGTTAACGCAATCTAAAATACCAGACGTTGTAAGTAAGTTAAAGTCCGTCTAAAATACTGCCTCTTAATATCGACAAAACAGTGACAATGTTACATAAAACCAAAAACTATGTTATTTTTATATGTTACATTGTTACAAAGACGAAAAAAGAATTTTAAGAGTCAATGATTTCTAAGGCCAACTGATGGTTCCACTGAAGTTACGTTACAAGTAACTTAACGAGAAACTGATTTTCACGAGATATTTAAAAGTACTGTATACAGTTTTTGCACGCTCTTTAAGGGATTTTGTAAAGCTTACGAACTGCAAAAAATCTGCATCGGCCCGCGAAAACATGAAAGTAGTTTTCATTATCCTTTATTTTATTTCACTACAAGGTTGAAATAGATAGCTGAAACTCGAGAATATACCATTAACATGTTTTGCCGTTATGTTGATAAATTTGCATTTAAAACCCCATTTGTATGTGTCATTTTATTTCAACACAAATTACCTAATTATGCAAACTTTTATCGTATCTAGGTGAAAATATTTATTTATTTATTTATTTCAATGGAAATCGCCATTTTACAAAATAAAATAATACATGAGAAATGGCATACATAAGACACGATACATAACAAGATAACAACAAGATAGGCTACATAAGAAAACATAATATGGATGCGTAAGAAATAGCGTGATGATTTGAGATTACAATGATAGTGTGTGAAAGATAGATACTTGCATTTAATGTGAAGTGACATTATTAATTAGACCAGTGTGAATTGATAACAATACAAATGACTATAGTTTTTAACAGTGTGAAAACAATACAAATTGACAACCGATAGACTGGAACAACAGTGTGGATGAATTACAACAATGTCAACATCGTGAATAAATTAACAACAATAACAAGTAAAAGTATAAATAATTAACAACAATAACAATCAGGGTTGATAAAGTATCAAAAATAACAATATTGTAGCCGTCATGTATAAGCTATGAGCTCTCTCGTACTCATTCCCTTTGTAGATGATTGTCCTGGTTCAGTTGAATCGCTATATGAATACATCTTTACCATACTTACACTTGATGACGAACGTGGAATTTAAAAGTTTTCAGTTCGTCTTCAAAGTATCCGCAAGTCTTTCTAGGGATAGGCTGATGTTGAAATGGATAGGATTAAAAATTTATTATATAATGACATGGTTCTTAGAAAACAACGGCGATTCTGGGAAATCTGCTGGTATTGGAATTTGAAGAAGCAGAGATAGGTTTGGAAGCGTTGACTTATAAACAACACCAGAGAATATAGGAGAAGTAGTTAAATGTATGTTGTTAGTGATTTGCCGCAAATATAGAAAAAAACCGATAACGCCGAAAACAATAAAGAGACGAAACAGTTTTGGAGGTATTGAACGGTATCGGTGGATTCAGCAATACAAGAGAATGTTTCAAGAGACCCGTCATTGTAAATAAGAGATGGCATATGTCTTGGTGGTACAGAATAGGACGACTAATCGACAGATAGAAGAATTTTTGGGAACACCGAAATTGAGGTTAGAGGGCTGGAAAGATAACACGGAAGCAGACTTGGGCACTGCGTCAGCCAAGAAAGTAGAAGGCCTTATGACAAGAGGATCTGGAGATCAAGAGATTCATACGGAGTTTATATTGGCAGACGGTGCTAGAGGCATGCTTCAAAAGACGAGGTTGGTTGGTTTGTAGAGGGTATCGTTGGTTTGGAGTTATGTAATGTCCCACGCGGGAGATGTTTGTTTTTGAAGCAAGCAGGTTAACTGATAATGGCCCTTTTTCACAACCTAAGCTATATATGAAGTGATATTTTAGAAACCCAAAATGGCGGATGAAGTGAGCTACAAACGAAAAGGTTCTCCACTGCTCCAATGTTAGGATCTCCGTTCCAGGCTTGCCTTCCGTGTAAATTATGTTGAGGTGTATGTTAGATGTTCAGGCTTTACACAAGTCCTTGTCAAATAATCTTGCAAATCCTCGATCTATGAGAGCTACGACGGTTTCCTGTCTAGGCTTATTTTTGTCTGCATGGGTGGCTTGAATCAGCAGGGACATAGTACAGTACCGGATTGTGTACTGATAATACCGATAATAAAGTCTTTACTGGAAGTATCAAGTAATTCTGTATTCATAATGAAGGTAATATCAATATTGGGTGAATACCCGGCCTTATTGGTAGATAAGTAAACAAGTGATATTGGACCTATGTTAATGATAATACAAACAATATAGTCTGATCACAGTATAAGTACATGAATAGTGATAATGCAGCAAATCACCTTGAAAAATATGGTTAAGGGTTAATATTCGGAGATTAGTATTATAAATTAACTATTGAACATACCTCGGTTTTGAGAAGGCGATCGAGATTATCGTTGTTGTCAGAACAGGGCAAAACAATTTACTCTTTGCCTGAAATTATAATAATGGACCTTTATCCTGTAGTTGTGAACGGACGGAAAGTTTTGTAGCAAATAATGTTCTGAACAACTTTAGTACTTTTAACCATACTTCCTATGAATAAAACATGGAAACATTGACCAATTTGACTGGATTAACCCGTAACCAGGCTGTAAACAGTCCATCTGTTATGTATCGTTCGGCCTCATAGAAAAATTATAGTACAAATGTTCATTTTAGTTCATCACAAAAAAGTCTCTTCGTTCCTACGTTGAGATCACTAGACCTCCTAATATTATTTCATTTAACCAAATTAAATCCTAAAAAGTCTATAAAATCCTATTATGACAGTAAAAATGGGTTTTATAACAAGTTTTAATAAGTGTAACTTCATCCTACAATTATATTTCCCATGAGACAGCTGTTTAAATGTAGGGGCCTACATCGACTGTCCAAATAATTAGAATGACAATATTGAGAACTCGCTTTATAGAATCTATCATATGAGGGTTTAAGATTTAAACTAACCACTTTAACCTGGAAAGCCGAGATTCTGGAGTTTTGAAGGTTATGAGATTATTGACCGTGGGATGTGTAAAGAACCATTAACAAAACTAGCAGGTCTAAGTCTGTAATAAAACCGTGTTGTGTGCGTTCATTCAGCGTCAGTACCCACAAAAATGGACCTGTGTGTGCAATATACAGCTGATAAATACCGGTGTTTTAAATGAACATCGAGGAATGTCTATTACATCAAGCGTACAGCTTCAATTTATACAATACATTATATGCAAGAGTAACTAAACAGATGTGTTTAAACAGTTTTAGCCTCACTGTTGCGGTGTTACGTGATGCTGGATAGAACAGTTTCGCCTTCGACAGAAAGTAGTAATTTACTGAGCGCAATTTGCTGGTGACGCATTTTAACTAGGTCCATTTCTATACTGGGTGTTCAAAAAAGGTGGGGACATATTTTACCTAGTGATTCCTTGGGTCAAAATAAAGAGAAAATAGAGAATAACATTTTTTCCAAAATCGCTTCGTTAACCAGATATCCGCCATTTTGTATTTTTTACATAAACATTTTCCCCTTCTAATATTTTTAACCAATCTTTATGAAACTTTGTATGTATGTTAAGGTTGACGAGACCCGTGTCATAAAAAAAGTTCATCTCGATTCGTCTTAAAATTTCGAAATGGCGGCCATTTAAAACTTTTAAACTCAAATTACTCGAAAATGACTGGTTTTATGAAAAAATGCCACATACGATTTTATTTAGCATTTTTAATTACTTATCAAATGGTACCAAGTTCAAAAAGATTGAATAAGAAATAGCTGAAATATTACGATTTTTAGTTGTAAAATGGGGTAAACCTGACTAGCTTCTGCCGTATTCTACCCCATTTTACAGCTAAAAATCGTAATATTTCAGCTATTTCTTATTCGAACTTTTTAACTCGGTATAGTTTGATAGGGAATCAAAACTGCTAAATAAAAGTGTTCTTGACATTTTTTCATAACATTAGCCGTTTTTGAGTAATTTAAGTTAATAAATTAAAATGGCCGCCATTTTAAAATTTTAAATTGAATCAAGATGAATTTTTTTTTCTAACATTTGTCTTTTCCACCTTAACCTACATACCAAGTTTTACAAAGATCGGTTGAAAACTACAAAATGGCGGATATCTGGTTAACGGAGCGATTTTGGAAAAAATGTTATTCTTGATTTTCTCTTTATTTTGACCCAAGGAATCACTAGGTAAAATATGTCCCCACATTTTTTGAACACCCTGTATATATAAAGCTCAAATACAATTCACTCACTCATCACGAAATCTCAGAAACCATAAGACCTAAGAACCTGAAACTTGGCAGGCATCATCCTTTTGGGTAGTAGACGCTCACTAAGAAAGGATTTTACCCTCCGACCTCTGGGCTCTGGAGTTTCCCATTAGTCCAGGAATTTTAGGGATAAAACTGCCATTCGACCTAACAAATTCGGACTAAGTGGAAACTTTGCACAGTTGTTAAGTAAGCCTAAATAAGTAAAATATCAAAAGTCCCCATAAATCCCGGCTGTGCTTCAGCCGCCATCTTGGAAAATGGCGGCCAATTTTAACTTTTTTGACAATATTTCACAAACTATTGGTATTAGAGAATTTTTGTAACTACAAAAGTTAAAGAACGTCTAAAAATAAATATTTTTCATATTACAAGGTTTGCTCTATCTCTAACGGTTATTAAGATAAATAATAAAAATAGTATCAAATTAAAAATTCCCAAGTTATTCTTATGGAGGAAAATAAAATTGTTGCAGTTTGCTTATTTATGGATATATTTTGCTCAAACTTGGCAAATGTATTTATTTTATACTAAGCTATTAGTATTTAACATAAATACACGCTTT